TGGCCACAGCGGCTATCTTGCTTGCTTGAATTGGTTACGGCGTTTTCTTGGCACTCACTCCTGGATTATTATCGGCACAGATAACCTGAGCACTGGCAACCACCATAATCCTCCTCTCCTAGAGGATCTCATCGATCCAATCAGCTTAGACCCCCATGTGTCTCCAGTTGGCACGGTTCAAACTGCAGTCAGGCCCACACGCACTCCGCATGGCTCAGTCACAGTCTTGAAACCATGCGTCTGGTACGACCACGATACTGCAGACTTGGTTCACCTAAAGCCCAAACCAAACAATAAGCTTTACTTCTCAGAGAATGGGAAAGCGGACCCTAAGTTCACATACACTTTCGCCACGCTCAACGGAAAGTCGACGGAGCGAGTAGTTGTCCTTGACCACTCTCGGCACATTGCCAACCTTCGGTGCTCCAGGAATGGCTTCAGCTTACAGTTCTTCAATATGGAAGCTCTGAAGTATGCCAAGACACACTGGCATAGCCCCTTCGTCGCGGTCATGTCTACGCTCGATTGCGACGGAGACCCGCACGATCCGCAAAATGCGTTTTGGCACGTTAGCTCTGTCTCATTTGATGATAAGACACGAACAGCAAAGCTGATTGCCGAGGAAATCGATATCGACGACGTTTTTGTTGACATTACTCTCTCCTGGGGGAAGAACGCCGGTCTAAAAGACAATGACGACAGCAGAGAGGAGACGAAGAAGCCTAGCTGGCCGCCCGGCAGTGATGGTGGTGTCATCGTGAATGATAGCGACAACAATGAAACGCCTGGAAGCAACGGAGGCGTCATCCAGCACGACAGCGACGACAACGACATCAAAGAACCCAGTTGGTTGCCTGGTAGTAACGGCGGTGTTATTATAAACAGCGACGACGCTAGCACCAACATCAGCACATATCCACCATCCTGCGGCGCAGCACCGGCCGCCAGCATCGACGGCTTCCCGGCGGCTGACTGCGGGCCAGGCTTCGACGACGCCCTCGACTCAGCCCTCGGTTATCTCGCCTTTGACGATGCAGATTTCCTGCAGAGCCTGCGTGCCTTCCTACCGGGGATCATCGACGTCCTGACGACCAACTCATCCACCTCTAACGACAACAGCCTCGCACAACGTCGCCGTCGCGCCCTCAGCCACATCTCCGCCGCTCACGCCCACCTTCGTATCCCACGCGGCCTTCCCGACTCCCTGGTCAAGATAGGGGTCGCGGCGGTGCAGTCGAAGCTGGCCGACGGAGCATTGCAGGCGATGCAGTCTGCCGCCGCGGGACAGGGTGTGCTTGCCCAGGCAGCCAGCTGGGTGGAGGGCGCGCTCGGCTGGCTGCAGGACGCGCTCGGTAGCAGCAGTAGTAGCGGTAGCAGCCGCAGCCGGACACAGACAATACCCATCAGTAAAGACTTCAGCGTCAATATCGGGCCGCGGCCGGCGCAGCTGGTGGACTCGGGGTACTGGGGGAGGGCCTACCCGATTCTGTCGTCGCCGAACAATGCGACAGGTGATGATGGGTCGCCTTCGTCGTCGGTGGATTTGTACTGCGTTGATTGCCGGGTCCGAGGCAATGCACACGTCGCGGGGCAGATCCAGTATACCATTGGTAAGTCATAGGGACCCCGGGGCTGGAAGTGGGAGTTTCTGGGAGTTTCTGAACTGATATTGGTGTGCAGGTACACGAAATCTGAGCATAGGCAGAGTTTCGCTCGGTGGATCGTTGGAAGCCAGCCTTGGCCTCGGACTTGCCTCTGCGGGTGGTCCGTATCAGGGTTCAGTCTACAAGACAATGGCGTCACTGCCAATGAACGCTTTCACTATCCCCAATCTTTTGAGCATTAGCCCGGTCCTTTCTTTAGATGCTAACCTAACTGTTGATTCTGTAAGTGGAGGGGCTGGGCAGGTCTTGTTCGGCGCAAAAGCATCCATCCCAAACTACGGAGTGAGCTTTGACCTCCTGCGTAATAGCGACTTGCAAGGAAACTTCGCGCCCGTCTTAACTACCAACTTTCGAACGAACGGCACCGTCAACACTGAGGCGCGTCTCGGCGTCCCGCTCAAAATGAGCCTGAAAATAGAGGTTCCTGCCGTAAAATGGAACAAGTCCATCTCCGTCGTCAACGAGCCGTACCTTCTCGGCTCAGTGACTGATGCTTCAGACAATTGTACTGACAGTGCTGCCTACTCTGTTCAAGTAGGTAACAAAGCTCATGTGGAGGTCCTCGGCTCCAGGCAGTTCGACTTGAACACAGACCGCGACCTCCCTCCCAAGACCGGTTGCGTGCAGTAGGTGTACAGCTAAACTGTTCTTCTGCCATTTCTGCTAACAAATCTCAGGGCCTCTAACTCAACTCTATCTAAGAGGCAAGACGTAGCCAACGCCACAGAGACGCAACAGGCTGCCGACAACAGCATCCCATTCTCGCTCGCCTCAGAGTCAAACAACTTCGGCGGCGACGGCATCCTCGACGGAAAGGAAATGACCGACCTGATGGACTTCACCATCAACAAAGGCAAAACCGATCCGACCTCCAAGAAGCCGCACGACCCCGGCTTCGCATACAGCAGGATCCGCCACACCAACAACTCCTCCGCCCCCTGGCACCTCTACGCAAGCCCATCCGGCACCTTCAGCCTCCTGCAGCGTAACACTTCCCAGCCGCACCACCGCCGCGCCACCGACGACGACGACGGCAATGACCCGATCCCCATCCCAATCGACGACGGCGACGACGTCGGCTTCTACTTCGGCCACGCCGGCGGCATCGCCTGCACGGATCCGGCCGGCCGCCTGATGTACTTCTTCCCGTCGACCATGGCGGCGCACGGCGTGTCGCGGCTGCGCTTCGCGACGCAGTACCGCATCCCGCACGGCGCCAACTTCGTCGCGCTGGCGGGCGGCGCCGTCGACACTAACCATGACGGCGACGAGGACACGCCGACGACGCCGGACGGGCTGATGATGGCGGTGGATAGTCTCGGGAATGGGTTTTACCCCGTCGCGTGCAGTTTGGATGGGGTGGCGAACAAGGTGTTTTTGGTGAAGGATTTAGACGACGGAGTGCGCAAGCTGGAGGCGGAGGAGATGAGGCATATTGTTACGGGTGGGGTGACATCGGGATGTGCGCCGTTGGCGTTGTTCTTGGTGAAAGATTCGGCTGCTGCGGATGTTCAGCCGTAGCTTTGAATCGTTTCATAGAGCCTTCGTCATACGAGGCATTTTGTACACACTTCTGCACGCATTCATTTCCTACTGTTTCTTTTCTCTCCTGAAGAACAGATGAACAAGGCCATACAGTCACCATTCCTGAGTCACTATCGTTGCTTTGACTTTATCTAGCGACCATACTCCGTGATCAAGGTCCTTGAGATGCTTGCCTGTGATCCATCCATTTGCACCGCCATACTCTAGGGGCTATACTACCGTAGAATGACAAACGCATGTGATTCGCTACGACCCCGCACCAAGCGCAGCGGCCCGTGCCGCAGCTTTCCGACGTTCGAAGTTGGGGCCCGCCGCCCTTCTTTCAAGCTTATTACCCCGCACCTCACGAATTACAGCCTGACTAGTCATCAGCCTCACCCCACGTTGGTAGCACAATAGATATATTTGTGTCAATAATTGGGCTTGGCCTTAAGGAGACACAGCTATCCGCAAATGTAAACGATGGTGCCGCGAAGAAGACCATAAGAGAGCGCAATTTGCATAGACGTGGTGGACATTGCGGCAGTACGAGAGCATTACCATGTGCGCGCGCGTATGGCTAGGCTCTGGCGTGGGCACGGGTGATGTCAGGCACGAATGCAAGGGGCTTTGAGCTAGCTTTTACGAGACCTGCGTAGCTTCGGAGCGGTCGGTCGGCCTGTTTCTGTCTGACATACCTATTCCTTGAAAGTGTTTCTTCGTTATGTGCTCAGTGAAGATTGAAAATAAGATTGACCGCTGCCAGTCGGTGGTGACGTATCTGTTTAATAACCAACTTCACAATTACCCCATTATTAATGCACACGTCGAAGCCGTGGAGGGGGTCAAAAGGTATTGAACCAGCTTCGTCCGGCCCGCACCGTGAATCTTGAAAAGAACTGATGAGCGACGGGCCAGCAATACGGCAAACAACATGGTGGCGACAGATGGAAAGTTACAACCAGGTCCTTCGGCTGATGACTCCCCAATGAGATAAGGTTACAGCCGGAAGCGAGGCATGCGTTCCTAATATGGAAGGTTCCACCCGCGCTAAGCCTAGCATAGACACTGAGCCAGCTTCAGCATCGTCCGGAACCTCGATTTGATACGATCATGGTGTCATGTGGCTCGTTTACCTGCTTCCTCCGCATTGCATTCACTTCGCTTTCATCTAGACCGTTTCCGGTGCCGACAAGTCGGTCGCACAACAAATACGCGCAGAAAGAACTGTCTCTCGTATCATCTCACACCGCTGTACTCCAGCTGAGAAAAAGAAGAAAGGGGGGCAGAGAGAATTTTCAAGCAGAAAAAGATGCTATGAAGGCTCTTCTCCGCCTGTTTGCACTGCCTGATCTGAGCCCCACAATGCTGGCTGTGCAAAGCACACATCCCAAACAGGATCAAGTAACAGACGGAACGGGAGGAATTCTCGGCAGTCGAATCCTTTCGCGCTAAGCGACCACACCATGGCACTATGCCAAGCAAATTTTGCCTCGGCGGAAACGACATGTGCCACATAGCAATCCTCCACAGCCCTCAGGTCCCACAATGCGGTCTGTTGTCGCCTTGTGGCGTTCGTATAGCAACGTTTCCGCCAACATCTGGGCAAAGAGAAGTCATTAGTTTAAATACTGGGCGCTTGTTGTCAGATCTCTTCCTCTTCAGAATTCCTAGCATTTCTGTGCGCCCTCTTTTCTGCTCTCATTTTTACAATCGTTGCCGCTGCACCAGCCACCGCCAAACCGCCTCAGAGAGGAAGACATAGAAATGCGCCACACGCTCCCCCTTGTTACCCTCGCCGGTGCCGGAGTCATGGCCCAAAGTAGTAGCACCGCCACCAATGGTACTCTAACTACCTCTTTCTATTTTCCGGGCGGCGCCAACGCCATGATGTCACCCGTGGCATCCGTCATCGGCGTCAACGACACCTTCACCGACATCGTCACCTACCTGATCAAGTGCCCGTCGTCATCTCTGTCCGCTTCGGATTCGGCTTCGGCTTCCGCCTCCGCTTCCTCTGCAACCACCCCGGCCTCGACTACCACTGCCCCTTTCAACCGCCGCACCGTTATTTCTGCTACCTCCACCTCCACCTACACCGATACCGGTACCTACAGCGCCTCGGATATGAAGAGAACTTTCTGCATAATTCCCGAGGACGGCGAGACCCTCATCGTTGGTCCTAGTACCATGAACCTCCTCTACACCTCCTCGAGCACTACCAACGACATGTCCTGCGCCATCACATGGGCCTCGTCCGGCTCGGCGGCCTCAGCATCGGCAACTGCGGCGGTGTCCGCATCGGCGACTCCCACTACCAGTGCCGAAGCCTTTTGCCGCGTGTATGTCGTCGACCCGGGCCGCAACTTCCAGGCCATCCAGGACTATAATTACCCGGACGCTGGAGAGGCGAGCATGTGGCCGAAGCTGCTGGTTACGGCGGGGTTGGAGAAACTGCAGGCGGCGAGTGCGAGTGCGACGGCTTCGATGGGTGAGTTTTCTTATTTCTGTTTTTTTTTTTTCCGTCGTCGTCTCTGTGGCATGTTGAGGGAACAAATTAGCTAATTTTATTCATAGATTCGCCCACGATTACCGGTTCTGGGGCCGAGGCATCGTCGACGGGTGCGGCGGCTGCACTGCGGTTTGATTTCCCTACGGCTATGGGCATGACGGGCGCTGCGGGTATTTTGGCTGTTGCTTTGGCGCTGTGAGAAAAGATCTTGGATTTTTAATGGAGCAGTTAAAGTGCCATGCATAATGTGTAGATACGTATATCACGAAGAAACTTAGTACAGTGATCATTTACGCGGTTCGTATTTTTGAGAAGGTTGGAATTTCTCCCTCTCCCATTTACAGTGCTACAGCGGCAGCGAGTGCACCCACAGCACCAGCCAATCCCATGGCCGGAATCACATGCATCGGTGCACCCGTAGCCGCAGCAGCACCAGCCGATGACGACGTAGTCTTGGGTATAAGGCCTACAAAAAAAGGTTAGCAAAGGACCTTGGATTGTAGGTGTGTGTACGCAGTCGAGGGGAGAAAAAGCTTACCATTCAGACTGCTCCACCTTATCTCTGAGTTACTCGAGCTCGCGGCCTCTATCTTTTCTATACCCGCTGTCACCTGCATCCTGTTGAACAACGAGGAAGGAGGGGCGCCCGTGTACGTGGTCGACCCCACGCTCACCGTCTCCGGCACATCGTCGCCCTCTTTGTTCCACGAGCACCACCACTTTTGCTTTTCCCACCAGATGGTGCAGTCCTCGGTAATGGTGCTGGACGAGCCGGGCGCCGTGTTCGTGGACGTGTATCGCATCGTATCGGGACCCTCCACCAATGTCATGCCTGTAGAGGGGAGATTGCAGTCGTCTGGCTGGGTGGAAGGATAGATGGCGGTTGGGCTTGTGGAGGACGATGACGTGGTGGTGGCGGTGTTAGGTGTGGGGCAGTTGATGAGGTAGGTGGTTGCGCTCATGTCGGATGCGTTGATGTGGACGATGGACGCCTCGGGGTAAGCCCAGAAGTCTAGCCGGTTGAGGTACCCTTTTGTGATTGTGCTGGGTGGTGTTTTGATGGCAGTCGTGGTCGTACTGTTCTCGGTGATGGTGGTGGTGTGTGTTTGCGCGCTGGCACAGCTAATACTGGCCGCGAGGAAGAAAAGATGGAACTTCATCAACACGATTCTTGGAGGGCCAGAGGATTTGTAGGTTAGATTGGATAACAAGATGAATGAGAGTGAGTCACTCAGTCGGAATTTTGCAGGCGGATGAGACTGCCAGAGTTGCACAAGAGGAGCGAAGCTTGGAGTCGCTTTTGAGCTGGAATCGGCCGCTGACTAGCATTTTATTTGTTCTACTGACGTATTCGCTGACTCCCTGACCGCATTGTCTTCTTCCGTGGCTTACCGATTGTGGGGTTGTGGAGGTGGATGCCTGCTGGCGCTGGTGGATCTAATCCCTGCACATGATCGACATTTCTCTCGTGTGCAAGGCATTATGACGTCGAGGTCAAAATCACCACCAGCGCACAGCTATGGTATTGGTCCGCTTACGGTGGGGCTGTTGTGGCTGCGTGGCTAGGATCTGTCCCCCTGTTCCGCTCGCACAAGGCTGGAGAGAGTTGTTGGTGGATGAAAGCGATCGACATCAGGAAGCACAACCAGCCCCCTCGCCAAGAGCCCTAGCCAAATTTAGTAAAAGTAGCAATCCTGGCCAATCTAATAAAAGATGTAGCCAACTTCAGTAAAATGCTGATCACGTCCAGTCTATGCTCAGGTTCCACAGAAATTCAGCCACACATCTCTTACTATATCCTTCGTTAACCTGCTGCAATTTGTGCTATCAGGCAATTCGTGACGTAAGAAGTGCATCCAACTGGATCGACAAAGCAAAGCTGATCATTGTACTTCTGAGCTTACCACCAACAAGTGCTTACGAGGAAGTGGTGGTTATAGGCCTGTTCTAGCTCTTTAGGCAAAAAAGATATGTTGAAATGGTAACGACCGATTGGTAGAAACGACAGTAATTTCTAATGATATAGAAGTTGAAGAAATATGTCCTGACGGAAGTATGCAGACTCTATAAAATGTAGACCTTAACTGAGATATGATATCCTTAAGAGGGAAGAAGTAGCAATAATAGATATACAGTATTTACTAGCGCTCTCTTTTAGAAGGCAGAAACGACATATTATTGCAAAAAATACAATAAGAAGTTTGGGCCAGCATCTAAACTTGCAACATACGACAACTATTTTAACGTAGCTCTTAGTAGCTTAAAGCTCCCCATCTAGGGCTCTGCAGATAGTATACTTGTGTTTTCTAATTGTCATCGCCGTCTTGTTGCAGACGCTTCTCACTCTCGTTGTATTAGGAACATCGACAGTTGGTATTGCAGAACCAAACTGAGAGATTTGCTTCAATGCAGCCATCGAGTAAAGCCTTTTTTGTATATATAAATACAAATAGCAAATTCTATTTCCAACCATCCAGCAGTAAGCTGCTGAACATCTTCGATGGTCTAGTGGTGATGATTTCCGCTTGTCAAAGCAGCTGCTCTAGCAAGCGCGGGAGACCGGGGTTCGATTCCCCGTCGGAGAGATTCTTCTTTTGCTCCGCTGTCGTCTGTGTAGATAGCTCGGGCGTGGTGGTGAGAATTTTTTTGGGGGGCGTTTGGTCAGGACTCGGGCTTGGCATGTTGGGCAAAAGAGCACTGTTACGGTTTTATGGCAGAGTGCAATCCCCGTTGGAGAGACTTCTCTTTTACTTTGCAGTGTATAAATGGCACGGACGTCGTGGTGGCAATTCTTTCACTGAGGGGATATCTTCATACCATGCTTGATTATCCAGCACTGAAATCTTTGTCCCTTCCGTCAGGCTTGATGGCTCAGTCAAGGATTCTCTTTTACCTATCGGAACAAGCTGCAACTGATTGCCGAGAGATGATTGGGTCACAAAATTTTTTGCTTGTCGGCAGTCAGCTCGGGAAGACCGGCCACGGCTAACCTGAACGAGCAAGCCACGTCGGCTCCGGTGCTAAGTTTATCCGCCTCATCCGGCTCGCTCGCCGGTTTCCTATCTGGGGGATTTTTCTTTTACTTCTCCAGCGACGGTCGTAAAATGCCTTGTCTCTCCCCCGTATTCGCAAAAAAGCCAAGATAACCGACCACTCTGATTAAGGATGCGCTTCGGAATGACGACGTGAAGCCATGCGGGAGGAGCATATACCCTAATGAGCTAGTTGGGTTGCTGGGAGCTGCAGCACAGCAACCAATCAAATGTTGGAGGCCGTTATTTTTATCCACATGGTGCTCCCCAACATCTGGGTCACCGTCTGTTCTGCGATGATCATCCAGTTAGACCATTTCTATTGCCTTTCTATCCAGCCTCGAACTATTAACGTACTTTATATCACGAACTACATTCCAGTGATGAATCACCTGCGTCTTTCACTGCAGCGACCACATTTATTACAGCCGATGATGATGCTCCGATCGGTAAACCTCCGTGTCAATCCCAGCCCCATTTTCACCTCAACTACTGCTGCAACATGCTCGTCAAAGGGTTGCCCCGATCCTCTTGTGCTGGCGTGGTAAGTCCGAAGCAGAATATGTCGGCATGTTTTAGAGAATAGGGAGCGTTCAAGATGGTTTAATCATGCTCTTAGTTCTAAATCACCCTTCTATCAGTAAGAGATACATAGTTTGTCAAAGAGCAATGGCAAGGGAGAACGGCTTTCAATACAAATGCGAGAGGACTGGCCGGACTATTTACATTCCTTAGAAAAACCAACGGGACAGTAGTTGTCAAGATCTGGGGTTGGAATGAGCGAACGAGTAAGCCGTACCAGTCTCTTACTCCCGATATTCCAGATAGAGAACCACCCATTATGGGATCGAAATTACGCCTTTTGAGGCAATTGTACCAACCCTTGATTGCTTGCAGAGCACCACCTGTTCCGAATCTATGGTCATTTACCATGGCTGCCACAGAAGAAAATCAACCGCTTGCCAATAGCAAGCATTGCTTATCACAAGCGTCAATAGCTCAGCGGTAGAGCGTAGGATTGCAGTTAACACTGCTGTCATCCCGAGGCCCCCGGTTCGATCCCGGGTTGGCGCTTTCCTTTTGCTTCTGGCTTCTTTTTTGTGTTGTGCATGGTTTGTGGCAAGGCTGAATGGAAAGGGGCCATTTACGAGGTGTGGGGGCGGAAGTGGGGCCGTGGTGGAACTCGGACAACGGCCGCTTTATTTTTGGCCGTGATGATTGTATTATACACTGCTACGAGGATTGGAGAGAAACCAAAGCTGACACAGAATGAAACAGCATTCTGATGTCAGTGGGCATCCTGCTGTCCCATGCCCGCTGTCTGAAGCTTTAGGGTAGAGAGGTGACTGCAAATGATTTCTAATCTTTTAATTCAGTCTCCAGATATAGTTTAGCATTTTTCTAGCAGTTCCTATAGCACATCTTTTTGAATTTAATTGGCCGTGGCATACGAAAACGTAGAATCATTTGAACTCCTCAGATAAGTACTGAATAGTGATGATTTTCTCAAGAAAGCATCACTGCGCACTAAACTAGAAGTGCAAATGGTTGGCATCAAAACAAAGATGGAACATCCAATTCAACTGTCAGCGAAATATTAACCCGAAGATTCTTGCGAGGAGTTTGTGTTTCGTACTAGTAATATATAGAGGAATATTACAGCCCAAGGCTATCCCGAAAATAACAGAACCCTCAAATCCAGGATAGCGATGTCTCACCAGATTCTTTTCTGAAAAAGAAAAAACTTATATAGACAGTTCAAACAATCGTCCGGACGTAAATATGGAATTGTTAATTCGACATTTCCATCTGGATGATAGCTTCAACTGCCTATAGAATAAGCAAGAAACAAATTCAGGCGAGCCATCCGCTGTAATACCCCTCTGTAATGGATTAACACCAGGTTTCAGTTATGATAGGTGGAATCGTGGCCTTTCAGGAAAAAGCAACTTCACCACAGCGGTTAGATGTAGATATCCCTGTAGAATTCTAGGCAGCAGCCGGAGAATCCCGTTTACATCATTTAAAGAAAACCTCATCCTGTAACTCAACCTTCAATTACTCCACGTCAATTCAAAACAATCACACCAACTCTACCATGTCATTTGAAAGCCTCCCAGTCGAGCTGTACCTAGAGATAGCCTCGCACCTGCGCCTCCGCGACCTCATCATCTTCCGCAGCGTATCTCAACGTCTACGTTCTACCATCAACGCTAATATATCATCTGTTCGCCCCACCGCTCGTCGGGAGTTGCTGCGCTTATGGGACCGAGTAGTCAAATCACCCTACTTCCTGCCCAGCCGCCAGCACATCATCCCGCACTTGCGAAGCTTCGACCGCCACACGCATCTTACCTCGTTGCCTTACGCAGCAACGGGACAGCTACAACTGCCTGATGAGTTCGAGACCTGGATCCTGGAGTGGCCTGCAAAGTCTGTGATTGGTTGGATATGGCCTGGATTGGACCAAGGACCGTACTATCAACCTTCATACAACGAATTCCACGACAAGCCTTGTGCGGACGTATGGTGGCAGCTAGCTGGCGGGAATCCGCTAGGGCCTACGACTGCGTACCGGCATGTTTATCCGTTTACCGTGAAGAAAGGGGAGGGCGGTGGGGACAAAGAACCCTTCTTGTGGCTCAATTGGCGCTTCTCTGGATGGTCTGACGACGATGACATTGGTTTCGGATTACCAGTGTGGATGGTCCTGCCCGGAGATCAGCAGCATTGGGCCTTTGGGACCGGGCATATGCTCATCGTTTCGGGGTTGGGACCTGCTTACGACGGTACGGTGCAGCTGTTCGAAGAGGGATTTGTGGATGAGGGGGACGGGGGGAGGCTGCTTCTCAAGGATACACCGGATGACGAGGATTTCCGTAAATATCCTTATAGGGGTTGGGGCAACAGAAAAACAAAGCTGTGGTTTCGGGGTCAATCTTGGACAGACTGGTTACAGAAGCAGCTGGAGATTTTGGAAGAGGGACATGATTTCTGGGATTGGGAAGCGTGGAGGTTCAAAGCGATTGACGCGGAGCATATGCCATGCAATGAACAGTAACAATTTAAATGCAGAAACGAAAGATATCACATTTCAGCCGAGGCCTTGGAAATTTTCCTTTTAATACAATCGAACTTTTCTCTGTGAATTATAGCCGAAAGATAGAGCTCATACCTCAAAACCTATCAGACTGCTTTCCAAACATACACTGCTGTATGGCCTGGTTTTGATTTGGTCGGTTAACGTAAAGAATAGTGAGACCCCAGCCTGCACTTCTCTTCTTTATTTCCCTAGAAAAGCAACATATGTGGGTAGCTGAAGCTATCGTCCAGACGTGTATTTAGGACAGCCTCGGCGAATTTTCAAGGAGGGAATGTTAAATCTGTAGATCGAACAAAGTAGACACCGGACTATTGACGGAAAAAGTCGTCATACAATAGCTACATAGATATGGTGGCGTTATACTAGACAGACTACATGACTACCGATGATGCGCAGTAAAGCAACGGCCCATCAACAGCTACAATCAAGGTCATAATGGAGGCTAAAGCAATCGTATTGAGCTCGCCATATAACACTGGTGGAGTCATTCAAAAGTTCCACGGCCCTCGGCCGTAACATTATCATGCCGCTCACGGTGGAGAGGCGAGAACTTGGTTGCAGTGAAAACCGGATTAACAACAAAAAGGGTAAAAGCCTTAGGCACTCTTGGGAGTACAAGATACTAGCACTCAGAATTTCGATCTCGATCGTGTCTTTTTTCATCACCGTGGCTCAGCTCACCACGTGGCCTCTCCGGTATATCGGTAAGAGAAGTGCGCCATAATATCCCACCATTGGTAGCTCATGCAGAATTCTCTCGGGATTCATTCCCTGCTCCTTCTGTTGAAGGGCTTTCCTCCGCCCGTGGCTATGGGTACTGCGCCCTATCCCGGCATTGTGGTAAATACAGGGTGCGAGAGTGCATAGGTTCTAGTTCGCTAGGAGCGGTCATCGAGGCTGAGCTCACCCATTGTTGCTGATAGTGACAGCTCCAGCAACATTACCCGGAAATGTGCATTATCCCAGTATTGAGGACCACGGTATATCGAGATCCTCCTTGCTGGGCGCCTCATGTCAAGAGAATGTATGGTTGAGTCGAGCTCAACTACACTGCCAGAAACTGGGGCCTGGGCTCCCGGATACGGTGACATCGCAGGCGATCCGGTAAAAGCCAAGGAAAAAGGCGGGAACGACAGCTGTGCAATGATAATTGGCTCGATTGCAGCCGCAATCAGACGCAGGGAGCATACTGCAGGGTCAACGGGAGCCCTCGGAGCATCTGTGGCTCTGGGAATCGGCTTCGTTTCACCCTGGCCATGCATCCCAATCGGCTGGAGACTACCATTTAGGCATCCTGCATGCAAGGAGTGAAATAAGCGATAATTTTATGACGAAATAACCAACTCTACACAAAGGGATTCGAGGAGTGCAATGGCTAATCGAACCGCAGCTGATGATACGCCCTGAACATTTACTGAGTTACCTTTTGGCCATTTATTATTACAATTTGCTTACAACAAGGTTCATACCGAGCCTGCTAACGCTCAGGAGATTTGCGCGCCGACGCATCGCCAACGAGCCTCGTAACTTTGGCCGCGCCGATATTTGAAGTTAACACGAATATGTAACGTCCGGTTTCCGAGAGGAAATCATGACATCAACGCGCATAGGTATACCAATAATTAATATTCTTTGCCAACGAGAGAATGCCATGTTGATGCCCTGGCTTGCACTAAATACGTGCAATATTGCGCGTATTACATTGAGACAGGGCCACACATCGTTGCTGAGATTCGCGGCGTATTGGCCGATGGGTACGCTGAAGGGCTGGTAGTATTCCAGCTGCAGGCCCCAGACACAGGATTCCCACGCGAACAGAGCAAGTACAAGAGAAGTGTTTTCATGAAGCCCCGACCAAGTGAGGAAGCAGATAAAGTCTATCGATCCTGGCCAGCAGAAGCAAGTTTGAAGATCATCTGCTGCATGTGATTTCCCACCCGCAAGCGGAAACATACAGCGGGATGCCAAGGCTTGAGGCATACACGCTGCGTATGAACCACACTTGGAAGGATAGCTTGCACGCTATTCCTTTCTGCGCGAATACCATGTGCTATACTATCGATCCTGCAACGGAACATGCCGCAGGTGTAGTAAGCGAAGGTACCATGGCTTTACTACCGAGAGGTGTGATCCACGGCAAGTCCCAGAGTCGGCAAGGCTGGCCTCCACAATTGCTACGATAATAGAAGAAATACTTAAACGCTTCTAGAATACTTCTGTCAAAGAAAAGGCCTGTCTGGAAGGTCGGTATAAAGATAAATCTAGCCCACGTCCGCATCCTTTAAGCCCCGACCATTGCAAACATTTACAAAAATCGGCTATTCAGGATGCTCGTATATACACTTCTTCAAGCGCTCGTCATCGAGCTGGTCGCGGCACAAAATTCGACGACAGCACAAAATTCGACCGCAGCAATGCCTTCTGGGACGCCTAGCTCGCCCCAATTCCGCTTTCCATTTACGACAGACGGTTCATGTGGACCAACAAATGGAAAAATGTGCTTGATAAATGGCACTTCTCCTTGCTGCAGGTCTGATCAATTTGTCAAGTTCATATAGTTCAGATGTTAACTCATTGTAGCACTAAAGGATATTGTGGCACTGGACCGCAGTACTGCGGCCAAGGCTACTGCCAAGCTGATTATGGAAAATGCGAGTCCAATCCCCCGACACTTAATCTCCCAGAGTGTAGCTGGGCTTTTCAAGGAACCAGTCCCCGTTGCGACGGGAAGTGTGGTTCGGCATACAACAATGCCATTTGCTCACCGGATGCTGGCCCTGATGCATTTGTGCAATACGGTGTCTACGGTTATGGGCCTTGTTGTAGCGCGGTCGGGTAGGCATATCTCCAGAGCTCCGGAGAGATGAGCTAGCTGACAATTAATAGCTACTGCGGGAACACATCCGACCATTGCAGCAACGGCTGCCAAAGCGGATGCCCCAACGGCACAGGTACCAATAGTGTACAAAACTCATCCTCATCCGCCACAGGGTCTGCGGCTGCAGCCACTTCGAGCGGTGTTGCAGCACACAATACTATTATATCATCAGGCGGTATCTTTGCTCTTGGATTCTCCGCCATGGCACTCATGTTTGGGTTATAAATAGAGCGAGGAGAAGTGGGAATAATGTACTTCAAGAAGATGCACTTGGGCTAATGTCTTTCCATTTCTAGTAAAACCAGCACACTTGATATTTGAAGCTTCAGAAAGGAGACTGTGAACTCATACCCTCGTTGCTCTTGCGGTCAGGCGGAAATGTTGCAATCTGCGGAGAGATTTCTTCGTCTTCGGTGTGCACTGGACGTTTCGCAGGCGTGTTTCCATCCAATTCAACAGGATCCATTTGTACAGGCGACTTTCCACACGAGCCATCGCCTCCACCCCCTGAGTCTTTAAGAGGAGGAGAGATATACCTTGGTGGTGGAGTTCGGTAAACTGTATTTTTAGCAAAGGGACTTTTTTTTCTTGTGTTAAGTCATACTTACCTCTTGCGTGCACAGATTTGGTTGCCGAGAGTTCCGCCGGCTGAGGGTTTATGGCACTGCTCGTGCCCTGAGGAGACCAGGTCATGTCGCTTGTCGTAGTTGGAGCTTCATCAGAGCGAGGAGGCGGCATTGTTCGACGCCTTCTCCACCAGATGAAGAGGGCCAGCCCACATAACAGCAGGAGACCGCCAATAGCTCCACCAACGGCGGCTCCTATCACCGTCGAGTTCGAGTTCGAGTTCGAATGCGATGGCAAGGGTGTTGAAGAAGCAGATTTAGTTGCCGAAGGTACTCCGGTTGGAGAGAATACCGCTGTAGCCTCTGGATTGCTTCCGAGAACTGCTGGAGAAAGATCCTGAGGGGGACATCCATCCTGGGCGCAAGCATTTGATTTGCAGCACCCGAAAAAGGAAGTGGTGATTTGAGGACAGACATAAAATTGGGCACCTGGTTCTTTGCAATCGAGCGTGGGTATCTTCAGGTCGGTTCTGAAAGATGCTGGATACAAGTCCTGCAGATTACAGCCCAGGGTGCATGGGTCTGTTAGACAGCACCCCACAAACCTTGAGCCAGAAAGGCAGGAGCGCCAGGATCCCGGGGGTGCATTGGGACAGGTGAAGTTCGACATTGCTGCTGTGCTCCACACGTGTGCAGGCAAAGAAAAACTGCTTACGGATAGATGTAGCAGAGCGTGAGCTCCGATCTGGCCAGGTCTGGCCAGGTCTAGTGGCTGTGGTTGCCCACTGGGTCCGACCGTACGCAATCCGCACAGCCCCGCATTGGTTCCGATGGGTGTCTACCGCCAAGGTCGTGGTAAGCCATATTCGACGAATGCGGTTGGCGTTGGAGCGGGGTAGTACCAGCGCATGCGAGGAAATTTTTGGCAGCAAAATGCAAGCTCTTCGAGCGGTGCAGGTGGCCCACTCCATTAAAGTCGAATCATTTGGTCCCGATAAGAGAATCACACCAGGGCGTGCAATGTAACTCTAGACGGGAAGATTGTTGATCCTATAGATCGATCCCGACTGTAGCCTTTGCATGGTTGACCTTTCCCGATTTTAGGTTAGTCCCTGTTACAGTTGCCATGTAAGCAAATAGCCTGCCATGGGAAGTGGAGCCGGGCATGGAATGCACAAGCCACAGACGATTTGACAGAGAGTCTTCCCAACTGCTCGGGTCGGCATCCAGGCGGGTGGATATGTAAAAACCAACCATCTAGTCTAATCAACCCACAACCTGCATATACCGAAAACATGCTGGACCACCGAAACTTACTGCGACTGTCGAGTTTTGTCTTCCTCTGCATCCTTGGCCAAGGATTTGCTCGTGAGTAATCCGATTTGAGAGAGATCGGCTCTGTGCTAAGTACCATCTGCTCAGAGGGACCGTCATGCTCCAGTTCGGCCACAACCATTCGGAATTCTGCCGACGCCACAAAACTTGCTGCGTGCCCCACATTCACCGGGAACATCAACATTGCCGCCGATGCCGGGAGAGATATCGCGCTTGATGGTATCCAAACGCTTCGAGGATACCTCAGTGCAGATTCTGCAAATGGGCTCAGGTCGTTGTCAGCCGACTCCTTGGAAACCGTGGACGGGTATATGTATCTGGAAAGGCTCGCGAATCTGGAATCTTTGAGCATGCCCAAGCTCCAAACAGTGGGACAACTCAGGCTGAACGATTTGCCAGCGCTGTCGAAACTGGGATTTGACGCCACCATCAACAACTGCTCGAATCTTTTTGTGAGCGATACAGCGCTGCTCACTCTTGATGGACTCGATCCGGAAGGAATTACCAATGGCTTCCAGGTCACGAGCAACAAGAATCTGGAAAATATCACCATGTCAGTGGCGTCCACAATGGCAACAGTCGCATCCAACGTAACCATCGCGAACAACTCCCCCGCTCTTTACGTCTCTTTACCAAACTTGGCAGCGGCACAGAACCTTGTCATTACAAATGCAACTCAGATCTCTCTGCCTGCACTCCAACATGCGTACATACTCAGTTTGATGAGCAATGCTTTTACTGAGTTCAGCGCGCCCAAGCTCGAAAGTGTTGGTAACGACACGATGGGAATTACGATACAAAGCAATCAAGGCGTGACCACGCTCGATTTTCCCGTGCTGGCTCGTACTGGAGTTTTGACTGTATTGGACAATACCCGGCTGCAGAATTTGGTACTTCCAAAGCTCCAACTCGTACCCAACGGCATTATGTTGGAGGGGAATCTGGCCAAGTGAGTTGCTTTCAGAGTTGCAACAAAACCACTCACTAACGAACGTTCAAAGCGTCTCACTTCCCAGCCTTCAAGATGTTGGACCTTTCATTCTCAACACGTCTTCGCCAGCCTTGGATTGCTCGCCTTTCCAGCAGTACAGTGATCAGGAAATAATTACAGGCTCTTTGAACTGCACCACCCCCAACCAGCATAGTTCGTCACCTCCTGTACAAACCTCCGGTCCTACTGGACCATCCACTGGGGCAAAGATTGGCATAGGTGCAGGCGTCGGCGCCGCAGGACTACTTGGGCTGGGGTTGTCGGTCTTTGTTTGCTGTAAATGTCTGCGACTACGCAATGTGCAACACGACAAGGGCCGACGCGCGAGTGAGGGGAAGATGGACCATACGAGAGAGGGTCTTCCATTGTACGAGCATGTTGTGCAGCTGCCAGACACTCAAGTGAGTGGTATTCGTGGATATTCTGGCAAGTGTGAGATGATGGAAACGTCTCAGACAGTGGGTGAGCTCGATGCACCAAACCAGGTACTTGAACTTCCAACAAATCGTGAGTTCGTGGAACTTGCAGCCGACGGTCCAGGGCGAGCTTAGATTGTCTCAGTGGCGGGGTTTTATTGACGAATTTATATATGTATCATCTAGTTATTGAGTTTCATAGAATGACGTAGTAATACTAGATAATGAGCACAATCGTGAGTTGTCATGTTGTTCTTCATTAAACCTGTCATCTGACGTTGTTCTTCATTCCCACTACAGTTATGTGAGTCATGCGTGTCTAGAGTTTGTACTACAGATAGCCTGCAACCTCGTTATCAAAATAGACGTGACATTAGTGTTGATTTGGGGTGGGGTTGGGGGTTACCACGAAAGGCAACGATGCGCGTAGAAAATTAGCTTCAATGCTGACTGGGAATCACCATGGCCCAACAGAGCCAGTCAATGCCAAAACACCGATTTTTTATTAGGATCAGTTCAACCGTAGGTCAGGCAGATTAAAGAAGAACGTTTTACCCTACGCTCTTGGGTGCCAGGTTTTATGGTATATTTCGTTGAAGCTCGAATATTTCGGAAAGACTTTCAAGCTCATATTGAATTTATGATAGAATTATCAGGCCGGACGAAGGATTGGTCAACTATGTAAAATAGATGTGCGGCTAATGACTAACATACTCTATGGATCAAAGTACGGACTACCACAGCGGGCTCGGACCGCGCTCCGCACAGGCAGCTGATGCAGTCTGGATTCTTGCAATCGGACGCGTACCATTCGTGCCGCGGGACGATTCCGCTGAGCACGGTCCTGATAGCTTCCAGCTGATAGGCGAGTCATACATTCACGGGCTTATGCACGGAGAGGCTGTGGCTGTGGAGGATTTTCACTTTCACCCAATCAATCTGGGGTAGCTAAACACATTTGGGACATTACTGTAACGGGCCGGCCCGAGCTCTATTTGAATTACATAGTTTCTAAAACGCTCTCTCTCTCTCTTCTCAATCCAAAGTAAAGCGACGAGCTTTGAGATCGTCGAGATGGAATGTATCATCCTCATCCGCCAACTTCTGAGCGCCCTCCTGTCTCTTGAAAATTGGTTTCAATCCATGATTGAAGTTGATCATGCATTGTATTGCCGTGACCAGCGTGGCAACGACAAACAGCCAGGCCACTGATGCGAAGAGGAGCATCTCATCCTTGAGCAATGTCTTAGCGCGGGGGCCTTCACCGCCCATGGCCGCAATGCGGCTCATGATATACCCCGCAGCGGCGCAAAAGAGGAGCTAGTCAATGCGTTAGCTAAAGGAATTTTGTGGGGTAACAAAGCGCACTTACGATAACCACGGCCATTCCCACTTTTAGCTCGCTACGGGTACACCACACTGCCAAGGAGATCTGCAGCAAAGCTGCCGGGATCAGGGCCATGACGATGGCAAACTCAGGCATTTCATAGTGCACGTTGATGACACCGTAAAGCACCAAAAATGCGATGAAAAAGTAGACACCGAGTTTCATCAGCACGAGGAAGACCTGCGGCGCGTTAGCAGGCCCAGATCGAAAACAACACACTGTGTGATTGGCTATCTTACTTGGTATGCGAGGTAGCGTTTTCTCAGGGCTACGTCGGCACTGACGTGCTTGTAGATTTCCCATGCAAAGTCGTTGTGCAACTTATAAGCCAACCCAGACATGCCGAGGGTGCTGATTCCAACCCATGCAGTAGAGGTAATAAGTGCAGGCTTGACGACAGGCCAGTAGCTGACGTCCGTCTTCACAAGCGGATTACTACCATCGTCGATGGTGGCAATGAGCAGTTCTTCATTTGTTTCTTTGGTTTGCCAGTAGCGCATGATGTTGACCCCAAACAAGCAGCCGTTGGCGACACACAGAGCAAACAACTGAATGTTATTTCTCAGCCGCAGAGCGTCAGTTGTGAGAAGTAATTGCCACCAGCAGCCAAACACAAAAAGACCGACGTTCAGCGGAATTGTGTATGACCTGACCATTTCGTACGCGCCAGGATTCACCCATCGCTGGTAGTGGATGAGCATGAAGCTGCAGGGGATGATGAGTCAGCCAATCCAGCTACCATGCACACAAAAGCTACTTACACTTCCAGGATAGTGATCACGGCAGCCTGCGCCGCGACAATCCCGAGGAAGCCGCTCTCCCACAGCGACCGCGGTTTGTACATGATGATGTGACGGAAGGTGTGTTGATCTTTTGCGGAACATCTGCAATATTTGAAAACGGGGCCTGGAACAATAGGGATGAATATTGGCGGGCTCTGTGCACAGCCCTACTGCCGATCAGGGGCAAATCCATATCGCCATGTGGGGCCGCGCAACACGAATGTGGCGTTGGTGACGTGCCGCCTTACCGAGCCACCAGACACACCTTCCTCCCTATTTCCTCTGCGAACACCCGACGATCCGGCCGCTAGCGAGAGTAGGTCCTATAGTGTCGCGCCGATTGGCCGCATGCTGCCTCCGTCGGACACGCGTCGAAGCAGTTCAATCTCTCCATCATGTACCGTTCCCGCCAAGGCGTTGCTGCTCGTGCAATTAAGATGACGCGTCTAAAATCCGTATTCGGTGCCGCGCCCAGAAAAACGGTTCTCCCCAAGCCACACTGCAATCTGCCGCCGTTTCTGCTTCCTTGAAGTCGCTTTCCTTCGCTAATCTCTCGCATCGCAACGCCGTTTCATTTTCCTAGACGATCTTTCCCGCCCTCGATACGGACTCGCCTATTTTTAGTCCCCCGAAGAATCTAGACTTCTTGGCAATGTCGAGGCAAAACGCAGTCAAAAGCGTCGCTGTTCCTTCCGTTTTATTGCTTGACCTTTTTCGCATTCTGTAGCACCGCGTCAGGTGCTCATGGCTCACGTGGTACTCACGCACAGGTGGTGTTGGCCGAGTAGTTCACAGACACACAGGCCGCGACTAAGCTTTAGTGGAAGCCGGCTCCAGGACGATCGTGCGGTACCAGAGCGCCAATGCGCATCGTGATCTACAAGGCGCTGAGCCGTCTCCTCAAGGCTGGACGGCACATATGCCGTGCCGGGCTCCGTGGTCTCCACAGCTAAGAAAACTTTGTCCATCCCTAATCGAGACCTTTGAACCTTCCGCTGTGCTACAGACGACAACAGAGAATGATTGAAAGAAAGTCAAGATGATGGGCGTTTCTTCTGTGGAAAGGAATGGCGGTGACTCCTTGTCGAAATGAAGCATGAGTAGTATTCCTCGTCCATCGGAGAATACTATTTGTGCTGGATGCAAGAGATATGGACTGATTCAAAACTAAAGGTCCGGAGGAAAATGTGAAGACAAGGGGGTTCACCCTTCTCCCGTGGCGGAACACTCGATAAACAACGACAACTCTTTGGAAGGAAGGCCGATATTACACGACAAAGTTCTGACTTGAACTCAACCTACGAATTCATTCTAAAGCCGCAAATCCCTATTCTGAGGAACCACGTCCCTGAGTTCCCTCTGCTGCCCCTTTCTCACGAACCCGAATTTTCCCATCTCAGCGCCGATCTTGTTTTCCCAGGACCACTTCCTCATAAGGTCTTCACCCAACCTTTCCGCCATCGAGTCGACCACGAAGTCACCCAGCAGCGGCAAGAACTCCCACCCGTGCAACGACCCACCCGTCGCCATCTGCAGCCCCTTGTACCTCGGATGGGGGCAGATCAGAAACTCGCCGTCCGACGAGCAATCCTTGGTCCTCGCAAACGGCCTCTCCGCAAACCTCGGCGCAATCTCCCTTCAACTCATCTCTGATCCACTCCTCTATCTCTGTCACGAGCCGCTGCATCGTCCCCTCGTCCACCACCGTCCACGGATACAACACCCGGTATTCTTTCTTCCCAGCCGTCCTATCCCCGTTCGAGTCCGGATCCGGATCCGGCAGCTCGACCGTGTTCCACAGGCCACCCGAGCGCCGCAGCATTTTCAGCAGGCCGCCAATGGATATGAAGATGTCGACGCCGGTGATGAGGTTGGTGTGGCACGCGATGACCTTGTACTGCGCGTACTCGTCCGGCGTCAGCTACACGTACGCGATGCCGACCGCCTCCGCTTCCGTCACGCCGTCCAGATTGACGAGCCGGGCGGACCACGCACCGGTGGCGAGGATGGGGGTCTGGGCGTGCAGCTCGCGGCCGTCTTCGAGGACGACGCCATGCACTTCCGGGGGAAGAGAAGGATGGGGAGGAGAAAGAATAAGAAGAGTAGAGCAACCGATCGACGGCCGTGCCGAGGACGAAGTCGATGCTCGGCTTGGGTAGGCCGCGCTCGTAGTAGATCTTGACGATGGCCTTGGCGTTGACGGTGGCGCACTTCTTGCTCGTGAAGCCCTTGGCCCACTTGCGCACTCGACCGAGTTATGCCTCTGGAATGGGCGCGTGTCCGTTGTTGCCGTTGAGGCGGGCGAAGATGGCGTCGTGCATGGGCAGCTCATTCCACGTGTGCGGCGGCTCGCGCTTGAGGTTGGCTAGCATCTCGCCCCAGAAGGACTCGAAGTCGCCGGACTGCCCGTCGGTGCAGAAGGTTACAGGTTCTACATTTTCTCGATTTGAACTGGAATGGAATACAGATCACTGAACGTGATGTTGAAGAGGATTCGCGTCATAGTAAGGGCAGCGGGGCTTGACGGATGATGGAGGCATCTGAACTCGAAGACCCTCAAGAGTGCGGTGGCAGCTTCTACAGAAAAATATTGCAATCCAAGGTCGGCGTGAATTTGCCTCTGGAACACCTGTTGAAGCTCATGTCAGAAGTCGTTGATTGCTATCCGGAACAAAAAAAGAGTTCAAGTTGAATTATTTAGTTCCAAGAGATAGCCTTTCTTCGACACGTGGGTTTTCAATTCCACATCTCGTCCGGACGGTAGCTTCATCTACCCATGACATGAGCAAAAACCATCTATTGGCTCGAAATCCTAGTCACGTTTTTTTTTGAGCTAATTGCGGGAAATGATCATTTACACAATGATGACAGTGTCCTACATGTGATGTTATTGCGGCTACGCGGGACACGGCCTCGTGCGGCTGAATGCGGGGGTCTCCGCAACTCTAGATCAACGCCACTACCCCGCTTCTCCTGATCGTCCCGTGCCCCTCCTCCCAATCACCTACTTGTTTCCCACATCTAGGAAATGGTATTGAGCTTTCCAGCTCGGCATGGCCGATGCAACGTACAAGACTCTCATCTTCCTTCCCCCCAGAGTATAACAATATAAGCGTACGCACGAAGAATAATTTATCGTCAAGATGCCCGTTGTTCCGTTCAAATAAGCTTGATTCTTTCCCCACACTAGGTAATTCAGACTGTTTCCGCTTGCGGAGAACCATGCTCCTTGACAAAACTGTCCGGTGAGCTGCTCAGCCAGCCACTTCAACGCCTCTCTAGAGTATCATTTGAACATCGTCATACAACAAAAGCTTTGTGGTCATAAAGCACTGGACTATGCTCAGTGATAGTGTTGCATCTTCGTGTGATGGAAGCTTAAAACAGGTAGGAACCAAACATGTGAGAGGGCGGGGTCGGACTCACGATGGTAAATAAGGTTCGCAAAAAGTGCAAGCAGCTTATCAAGCTATTGAGTAAGCGCCTTTTGGGCTGCCTTATTGGCCCGATTGGAGAGAATTCTATGACCACGCACTTCTTCAGCTACACAGCAAGCCGATCTAAAATCCGGCCCCTGCTTAGCCTTGCTTGCTTGTTGCGAACCGCCTCCGTAACTGGTTGAAAATATCAACTTTTACTGAATGGCATAACGCGCTTGTACGTAAGGGATCAGTATCTAGGAACGCCTCTAGTCTATTTGTGAATCTAGAACACAAGCTTGGATATATTAGGGACTCTAGAGCTCTCGCCCACCTTGCCAGACTTCCAGTTCAGTCATTTCCTTCAGGATTCAACTGCAGCTCTCCTCAGCTTGCACAAATCAACCACGCACGATGGCATCCATTGCCCAGGCCCACGCCAATGGCAAAGTTGTCGGCCTTGAGTCAATCTCAGACGGCCAGCCGCAGCCACGGCGCGAAATCGACGACCTCATGATGAATGAGCCTGTCGTCTTCAATCTTTTCCTGCTCGCCCTTGAAAGCATTCAGAAGGATCAAGCGGACAATGATGGCCAACAGGACAAGATGTCTTTTTTTGAAATTGCCGGTTTGTCTTCCTCCTTCGCCATATCCCAGTATATACTTTACTCATACATCTAGGCATTCATGGACTCCCGAACAGGCCGTGGAATAAATTATCTGTCCAGAAAAACATGTACACTGGTGAGATTGGGTACTGCGTCCATGGCTCTTCATTGTTCCCAACATGGCATCGTCCCTATCTGGCAATGATTGAGGTAAGGTACTATCCTTATACTAAATATACCACAGAGCGGCTAACGTTCGATCTAGCAAAGCATCTTTGACGCCATGGGGAAGATCGCAGAGAAGTTCAAGGATCCCAAGTACAAGGACGCTGTCCGGAAATTCCGCCTTCCTTACTGGGACTACTTCCACCCCCGCAAGATAGAAGGTGCTGACCCCAGCAAGAAACCGGACTACGACTTCAGCTTGCCTCTAGTCTTGAAAAAGGAGGAGCTGATGGTGTATAGGCCGGAGGCCGAAAATGACTTGGTGCCGATGCGCAACCCGTTGCGGGCTTTCTGGTTTCCAAAGACCGGTGGTGTTTCCGAACAAGACTGGACGGCGAAGATTCAGAATCAGCCTGTGGTTCGGAATGCATCATCCTACTCCCGGGACCGCACCGTGCGTTACGCGAGTCGTCAGAGCCGCGATCAGGATGACTACGCTGAGCTTGACAAGGCCTTGAATCGCGCAAGGACGTTCCTTCTGCCATACATGATCAGCTTGGTCCGCTCAGATGTGTACAAGGACTATCGCAATTTCGCGACAGCGGCCGTCGGGGGCTCCTCGAATGGATCGCTGGAAGACTTCCATGGAAACCTCCATGTGACAATTGGCGGACCAGGAGGGCATATGTCGGAAGTTGAGGTGGCAGCGTTTGATCCGATCTTCTGGCTACATCACTGGTCAGTGTTATGATTTCACTTTCAGCCTCGGGTATGAAGAAACCGACTGTGGCTAACGCATGTCTGAAAACAGCAACATCGACCGTATCCTCGCCATTTGGCAGGCGCTGCACGAAGGCTTCATTGACATGAGCAGCAAAAACCCGAGAGAAAGGGCCGACGGACCTCTTTACCCTTTCCTCCATCCCACGAATCAGGACAATCAGCCCTACTGGGACAGCACCCAATCCAAGTCCACCACGACATTCGGCTATACGTACCCCGATATCATGGAGAAGCCCGGTGGAAAATCCATCCGCGAGCGTTTCGATGAGAAGTACGGTTGGGGCTCTCCAGCAAACGTTGGACAGGAAATACATTTCCCTGAGGAGATGAAGCCCATCACAGTGCAAGGACCAAATGGAGCACAAGTCTTCCACAGAGTGACTGCAAAGGTTGCTCACCCTACCCAAGAAGTGAAGATGGCCGAGACGAGGATGATGGAACAGCAAGTTATGAGCAGCCCTGGTGCCGGTCCTGGTCAGAGCGGCAACCCACACGGATCGGCGCCAGTGTCATCTTTCCCCAGTGGTGACGAACTCTTGAAAAATGAGCCAGAGGGAACGCGCCTAGTGTTGCAGTGGTATGTTGATTGCGAAGTGGACAAGTAAGTTTCTCTTGCCCGATTGGCCTCCCATATTTTTGCGGATTTCATCCTTTCATCTATCAATTGCTTATTATAGTGATACAGGGACGCTATCGATGGTGTCTTCACCATCTTCTACTTCGTGGGCCCTCTGAGCGAGCTCAACAATGATCCCGAGTGTTGTTGGCAGACGGAACCCAACCTCGCAGGCCTCAATCATATCTTTTCCGCGCGGAAAGAGAACTGCTATAACTGCGAGAGCCAAGCCGAAGAGGGTCTCAAGGTGACCGGCACCAGCCCCATAAACGCATCCTTGCAAGAGAACATCGAAGCAGGGAAACTGCAGAGTCTCAAGCCGGAGGACGTAGAGCCTTTCCTGAAGAAAAATTTGATTTGGAGGGTTGTAAAGGTGAGCTTCTAAGATGTAGTCATCGCCGAGGTACACAACTCATGTCTTGTTTGTAGGCCGATCGAACCACCGAAGACCCAGCGCAGGTACCGAGCTTGAAGGTCAGCGTTAGCGCAACATACTCCGTCCTTCACCCAGGAAACATCCTACCCGAGTTCAGGGAAGGTCATTACTTTCCAGAAATCACTGCAAACCACCACTCGGGTAACCCGCCTGATCAGTAGGCTATGTGTAAGGCTCACGGTGAGACTTGAAAGAAGAAGCTGCTATTCCGTTTTTTGAGCGGTGTATAACTTGATGGAACAATAGCCCTGACCCTTGGGTTTTTTGTGGTATACCGTCGTGAACATCTAAGCTTTCCTACGATTGTCGTTCATCCTTCGGGGAAAAAACGAAAAAAAAAAAACACAGTTATTTACGAGAAATGTAGCCAGCCTTTCATCGTTAGGAGTTTGATGAATATGAATCTTTTGACTGCATCTTCTCTAATTCGGACGATGCGAATGTCCCACCTATGATTTGTTACAGTACCTCCTGAGGACGTCAATAAGCTTCTTTCTATCCACCCATTTGTCGAATACTTGAGCGTGATCAATACCCTCGAACCATAGAATATCGGGATTGTTGCTGGCCTGTAGCGTGCCCTCCCATTTTCCTTCGCCCGCAAGATATGCCCGGACCGTCCTGGTGTCGACAATCAGATCCCGTTCGGACAGCACCACAGTTACCTTTCGGTTAGTGAGATCTTCTTTCCACAGTATGTTCTCGTTCCAGAAGAAGCAACGAGACAAGGTGTGTGCTACACCCATGTCTTTCGAGGCGAAATAAGAGAGCTGATGTTCATTGGCGCCGGATGGTTTGCGGATGATCTATCCCACATGGTTCTGATCAGTCTTAATCGCGCTGAGGCTGTTGTAATACTTACAAAATTGTAAGCCACGTCAGGGATGTGGAGTAGAAACGTGACTGGGTCTATGAGAAGAAGCGGTCCAATTTTCGAAGCTATCTTGGGAGAATGCAGCATGTGGGTGGTGATGACGCTCCCGTATCTATTTCTGACTGTCAATATCCGGGCAAAGTCAAACTGCGAGCGGGGAAATAAGGGCGTACGAATGCGAAACCAAGACGAATCTGTCCCAGCCATGGACCTTTAGAATGCGATCAATCTCAGCACACATCTGATCCCTTCGCAGGGCTGGAGACGTGATCCTAAAGCTGATGGGCATGATCTCTACAGCAATAATGCCAACACCTTCATCTTCACTGCGGTTGGCGCCAGAGTTGATTTCAGATAAGAAGTCCACGTATGGGTGTAGACCAATACCAATACCATGAAGAAAGAGGATTGGGAGCTTCTTCTTTGCCGTGTGTGGTCGGTGCCAATAGGTAATTGTTCCTGATGGCGAAGTCGATTTTGCGAGCAGATTTTGCGGACGAGGCGGTAGCACGGAGAACCAATGGCGGCGATGAGTCCGATGAAAGTCGAACCCGTAGTATGACAGACGGGCGGATGTTATTGCATCGACCACAAAGACAATCTGCAAGATATGAGCGGATCCCACATCCGAGCACGACGAGAAGCGTCCTTACCAAATACCAGATCAAGCATCGGTGCGACATGAGGACTTTGTCCAGCGATAACCTCAAGCAGTTTGCGTTTCCCTTGCCGCTCTCAATCTTTCTGCCAAGTTGCTCCTCGATAGCATGAATATACTCGTCGAACTCGTCTCCACTCATGGCATGAAGGTCTGCAGTGTTCAAGAACGCCCATGACAAGAATTCTCGTAGATTCTCCCGTTTAATTTCTGATAAAGGCGCACCCATGAACCATCCTCTAAGATATCGTTCATAATCCGGAATATTAGCACTGCAGCGACCGAATAGCTCCCCGCGCTGCTGACGTGTCAGAGGTGGGGGGTGTATCGCGGCCTTCTGCAGGTGGCGTTTCCGGGGAATGTAGAAAAGGACATAGAAGGCTACCTCAGAGGCAGTCCAGACGTCCAAAATCACGGGAACATGAAAAGCGCCTGGATGCAGGAAACGTGCGAGCCAATACAGTAGAGAAAGCGGGGTAACGGCGCGGAGAAGGAGGATGCAAATGCGTATAAAAATGTACTCTGCTGTAGAAGTACCGATCATGGTTGCGCTATGGTGAGAACATCAGAAGAAACTGGTTGCACCATGTTCGCGCGGCGTGTTGTAGTTGCTTGTTGCCTAGAGCTTCGGTTCCGAAACATGTGCGACGAGACAGCCGAGGCCCAACAGATCGCGCTCTCAACAAGTCTAGAACGGGCCGGAATAACGAAAATCAGGAGCTGATTCGTGCCGAAGCGAGCATCTGCATCGCTTCTGCAGACGCATTTATTCACTACAAAATAATCTTATTGCTTGCTGAAAAATTGTTTGGGGGCGGGAAACAACTTAAAAGTGACATTCGAGCGCCGTGAAGGGAGGCAGTCTCGATCTTTAGGTGGCCTCAAAATCACATGTCCGGCCTTGCTTTTTCGTGATTCTGGTCCCATGTCATACCATTATTCCGTCTCCTAAGTATTAGCTAATTTGATGTGTCTCGTATTGACTATCTCTCATTCGCTGGACAATTCGGGCCGTGATAAGCTAACGCGATCTAGATCTCATGCTTCGCCACAGACCAGGGCGTTACTTCCTTGGTTGTCCGGTGATCATGACGTAATTTCAAAATTACCTCGCCAACCGGACGTATCCGGTATCGGCATGCTAATGCAATCCCCTTACTAGAGCGTAAATTTCGCAGGATTTTTCTGATCGGCACTCGACCACTCTGCAGCCTCTCACAGCCAACCATTTCAGGGAACGTCTTCACCCCCCGCGTCAACCACAATACATGGAAGAGCTTTATTCTATTCGAGATTCTAGCACAACACTGTGCCTATCCTATACCCCCCTTAAACGCCTGCTGTTGCAGGAGTCGTTCCTGGCACTGCCGTCAAGCGCATCCCCTGAACCAACGTGCGAAACAGCTGGACCCAGCTTGCCTTCATCACCCTTATCGCCTTCGAGTTCTGAGCAAAATGGCCTGTATTCGGTAGCTTCATGTGAAAGCGACCCCACAGTACCCGCAAACATGCATGACGCCGGATCCTGCTCCGTCGCCAAAGACGATTTTGCAGTGAGACCAGATCCGTCCAGCCAAGTTGACTACCTCTCGTATGCTTGGCATGAGGACGACCTGCACTCCTCATGGCGCCACATTATTGTGAATCGCATGGAGTACGGTCAAGCATCACGCCTTGAAAATGCGTCGTGGCGTGCATGGGCAAAATCAAGACTGGATCTGCCAACCGTCCTCCCAGAGACTCTCAACTGGTTAGCAGAATCCCTCGCCGTTTTCCGATGCTCCATGCTGACTGTTAGCCAGGCAAAAGGAGAGCGATACCACCTGGCTCTATGGACCTCGGCAGGAACCCGCCAGCTTTTTTGCCACCGATGCACCTAAAGCATCCGGGAATTCTACGGCAGGCAGTCCCAAACGCAACAACAGATCGATTCTGAAAAAGAGGGGTCTCTTGGAGACCTTGACCCAACAATCGACAACTCCAAAGCAAAGACAACAACGGCCCGGATCCACTCGCTGGGCTTCGGATATGCCTGTCGTTTCAAGATCCCCAAAATTTTCAAGGAAACCCATCAACGAGCCCACACTCAAACCCAACTCACATTCCGATGGACCCGAGGAGAAGCACATTCGATTCAGTGAAGTAGTCGAACAACGCATCGCTTTGGGTTCTGAAGATCAGACAAACCACCCGGGTCATTCTAGTCCACCACCCGAAGTCGAACAATCTTCGAGCGATGATTCTGACGACTCAGACGGTGACGATCTTATAATGATCTCACTCCCAAAGCGTCGCCGCGGCTTTGAACCTCCATGCTCTCCACCACGCCGGGTAAGCAATGATGCTCGGCCGGAGAAAGTGGAAACGATGGCGAGGCTCCCGGACACTATGTTGAAATATAAGACAGACTCGTCTACCCCCTCAAGTCCGTCAATACATCGTTCGTTAGGTTCTGCAGGGTTGAGTAGATCATTTACTTCGTCTTTCTAGAATCGTCCCCGGAAGTTGAGGGGGCTTATTTCCCGGTTGATATCTTGTAAGCAGCATCATTTAGGTTTCGATTCGGTATGGGGATTTTCCATTGTCACAAATTCACCGCGCTTAGGTTAGAGACGATACAAAAGTTTAATCGTCCTTCTATAATCGCAGTCGCGATCTATTCTTATCCGAATAATCGTTTAATTAGATATCTAGAAACAAACCGGAAAATAGAATTACAGCAACGGGCGTGTAGTTCATGGCGCAATTGAACTAAAACGAACTATAATTCCCTCTGCTTGGTTCAAAAGGGACAGCAGCGCTACTAGGGAGTCCATTATCCACTGTTTGGTTACTCTGTATGGTATCAAAACCATCGCTGAGGAAATCCCGTTTAATGGGAAACTGGGCTTTCACGCATGGTCCCTCCATCTTGGTTTTGTTAATTAGAAACCTTTCGATCATTTCCGGAGCTCAGCAGGGGGGCTGGTGGGTGCGAGACGGTTCTAATGGTTGGATGTTCTGTGTTAGTTTGAACTGCGCGAATGTTCGATGGGATATTATGGGAGAGGGCGGAGTGACCTGAATCGAAGAGCTGCCTTGACTGCGGTTCGGAAAGCACTAAAAACAGAGTGCGGCTTGTGAAGCGTCGCGTTTACTTTTTTGTTGGGTCCGGATGCCATTGTTAGAAAAGTGCGCAATCTGGAGCACGACCAACGCTAATTGAGTACTACCCGTTATAGCTTGCTTCTGCAACTAAACTCAGCAATTCCGTGGCGCAGGTAGTCTGGCTTGACTCTTTTGCTACTTTACCCCGCACTAAAAGTCTACGCATCGAGGACAAACTGCATATTTACGCCGCACTTGGAGTAGATTTACGAGAGGCGCAACTTGTTAGTAAGCCTCGCACTAGCCGCCTCGGTCCCCTTATTATTACAACCAATAACGGGCAGCTGAACCGTTCACTCGGACATGAATACACAGCATGTGTGTGAAGAAATGCAGGCGGACACCACTCTAACTCCCTAAGACTGTTGCAATACTATGGAGACCACCTCAACACGTCCGTGCGCAAACTTCTCGTAAACTATCCAGTCACCGCACCCATATTGCCAAGGGCAAGGTTCAACAGATATACTCAGCTTCCGTATCGATATTGTAGGCGAGTCCATAACGCTGTATTGATAGGGTGCGAATCAGACGTTAAGGTCCTACTTGATAAGGACAGGCTTCCACTCAAAACCGTCCCTCTTTAGAGCTTCACCGCTCATGAGCCCATGGACATACGTCTCTCCAATCATAATATAAGCATCGAGATCCCCATAATCAGCCTCCATCAGCCCCTTCTTTATCCGCCGTAACACAAACGGCGCCTTCGCCCCCGGGATGATATGAATCTCATCACCGATCCGCGTTGACGATGCCGCCAGACAAAGGTAGCTCGAGGTAGTCGAAAACAGCCTGCGGCCCTTTGTAAGGATCTGGAAATGCATCGTCACTTCATCGAACAAGTCCTCCAAGATGGCACGTGTCGACGGGTCGGAGGACGGAAATGCTTGGAGCAAATCCTGCAGTAGCGGGTTCATCAGATCCTGCAACTGATTGTCGCCGGCGTCGAGCATTTGAGAGACCAAAAAGATAGCAATGCCAGCTAATGTGACCAGGTAGGCATTTGGAGCGGGCTGGTGGTGCCACATGACCGACGCGTTAACTACGCAGGTCCGCCAAAACGCCTCTAGTGCTGTCTCCCCGCTCACGTATTGAGGCCCGAGGGAGGCTGCGAAGCGTGTCCACCAGAGAATTCTGTCCAGACCTCTTTCGTGCGGCTCGTCTGAGACGGCCGTAATTGTCTCCGCGAGATATGTTGGTGTTTGGAGAACGTTCGGATGGCGCTGAAGTGGCCAGGTGACCGATGCAGGAGCCCCTGCTGCTGCACTATACTTCGCTTCTGGGGTGCTGAGCTCCAATACCTGATCTGCGGAGACGACAGTATAGTCGGGCACCCAGGAGGGAAGGTTGTTCTTCCTCTCTTGCAGGCGCGCGGGAGTCTTTCCGCAAATGTCGATCGCTTTCTCTAGCGTTATGATGCGTTTGGTCGCCTCGATGAAAACTTCCGAGACGTGTTTGCTGTAGTCGGGCTTAATACCGAAGCCTGTTGGATGAAGACCCAGAAGAGCGAAGATCTTGTCTCTGGGGTCTGCAACTGGGAAATGCCGCGTAGAATTCAGAAGTAAGCCGAGAGACATCTCGTCACCGGTTTGGAGCCGGTTGCGAATCAAATTCGTCGTCATGACCAAGTCGTGCCGAGGTACGCCACGCTCGTCGCGTTCTACGGAGACGGTTAGTTGGTTGCTGGCAGATAAGATTGATAGCTCGCTCACTGGCTATGGCCGTTTCGGACGTCCAGCATTGATGTATCCAACCCGCGCTTCCAATCAGAGCTGCCACATTTGCAATCTTCGACCATGGAATCTCGCGCTGCCCGCATACCACAGTCACAGCCTGCGCGAGAGAAACATGCTGAACGCCCCAAATACGCTGAAAAACTGGTCGCCTGAATAACTCTGCCAATGCGGTCCATTGAGATGACCCAAAAGGGGGCAGACCCAACTCTAAATCTTCCATCAAGTCGTTCGGGCTTGGAAGCATATGTTCCGGGACGTTACACTTAGTCGAGAGCTTTTCGCAAAGGGAGATGGCTGCCGCAGAGTGCTCGTCTTCTTCTCCAGCCCAGAACAGAACCCTTTGAGCCCTGTTGAAGATGGCTGGCGTAGAGAGGACCTGGATTTGGTGCTCTTGAGGGTAGCGCTGGTCGATACTGACCTGGTCAACCCAGATGAGCCGCGATTTGTCCTTCTGGCGAAGTCGCCGCAGTGCGTCTCTAAGCGTCATAGTGACCTTGATGAAGCTGTTCTCAAGGTAGACTGGATATCTGATGTCCAGTCTGCTGTCGAAGTCTATGAGACTATCTTTGCCCTTTCCTCTTCGATCGAAATTGCCCTCGTCGGGAGAATATGATAGAGCTTCGTATTGGAATCCCTCATCAATGCTGGTAGAGATCAACCGGCACTGAAGCTTCTCTTCTCCATCTCCGGGAAGTAGCTCCATAATCCGAGCCGCAGGCTTGCGTTCTCTAATGAGGCGGTAGAACTCATCATCCTCAGTGTATTCATGCTCCGTCAATCTATTGCTTAGACTGAGCAGCTCTTCTGTGTCATGGAGTACGCCCACTCGTCGTTCTCCACTCGGATCCGAGTCGGCCGCCGGGAACTCAACTGTTGGTCGGCCATCCTCCCCAATGGTGTACATTGAGACAAAGTCTCTGGATTCTGGAGGCTTATGACCAAGGATGCGGATGCCATTCTCCGTTTTCTCGTAGTCGCGGACTTCAAAGCCAGAAACTCGTGATCGTTCCGGATCCGAGGGAAACGGCGTGGACTCGACCAGTTGGGGTCCGTATTGGCTCCATTGGACATCCTTCTCAAGAATATTTTTGAATACCACCAGGGCGTCCTGTTGCCCGTTATCCGTCTCGCTGCTGATTGCGGTCGTCGCTTGGTCCTGTGGCGCTGCAACCATCGGTCTTCCCACGGCGGGTTCGAGCTTCGTTTTGCTCCAGTCGACGGTGTTGTCGAGGAAGCCCCACAGTAGATCTAGCCGCAGCCACCTGTCCATGTATAACGATGTCGGAACCCGCCCCATCAATGTCATGGGCGTGGCAATGGAAGGATTAAACTCAGTGTCGCCCAGACGGACCACCTGGAAATTCCGACTGAGGGCTTCAACGACCTCATCCGTTTCCTCTTGAGGCAGTCCTGCACGGTAGACGAAGTTGGCCTGGGTAATGCATTTGAGAACGGGATGTTCCTGATCGTGGGTGTTTCTGGGGTCGGTGAGACAAGAAGCGCAAAAATCCACATTGGGGCATTTCGAGCATTTGTAGCGGATGCCAGTTATGTAGTCTTCGATCTCTTCGCAGCCTGGTCCATCGCAGCATACCCCGTAATGTATTGTGTTGCATTCGCTATCATCATCAGGCTGGCCGGGGAGTACTATGATCGGAGTTCTGATCGTGCTCGACATTGTGTGCGTGCTTGACTTGCACCTGGGTTATGGGCTCCGCCACAACGCTGTTCAGACGCTGGAATGTGGTGCTTAAGATGCATTGCGGGTGTCTTCTTGAAGTATAGCGCCTTGATATCGCTGCTGCCTGACAGCAGGATTGGATACCCTACACTAAGCTCTGAACCAATCAGACCGATTCCACACATTATCTGACTAGATAGTGGCGTGTTTCATGATGAGGGGCTTGGTTCTCTGTTGGCCTGCACCGGTGGGGGCTATGTACACAGGTGGGGTCCACGTTCGACTACTGGACCTCATTGCTTTTTAATGGAATCCTGCTGCCTAGCTTACTGTTATTTTTGTTCCCTACGTTCTATCTGATGATAATTATCCCAGAAAGCTGAGACGCAACCACCGCACCAACTGACCTCCTCAGCGACAACATGGATCATCTTGATGCGCCATCAATCACAAATGGTGATGAAATAAAAATCGCCTACGTCTGCCTCGAGCCTTACGACAATGGACCGTTCATGGAATATCCCCTTCGCCGCGGGTATGACCCAGCTGACGCGAGCGAGTGTGATTTCCATCGCAGCGACCCGGATTATGGAAAGGTGTGGGATGACGTTCCCATTGTCCAATCTTTTCTCCAATCCTGGCTCTTCTTTGGCCTTCTTTGGGAAGTACATCAAATGGCGGAAGTGCACTTTGACCAAAGCGATTTCATCTCCCGTGAGAATCTCGTGAATGGTTCGATTCGACGACTCAACACCGCTGAGCTTCCAGAACGACTGTTACTTTGGCAGAAAAAATTCCTAGACCTTTCCTTGGAGGACATGGAGCAACGCATTCGGCAGTTTGACGCTTGCTTGCAGATGGCTTACAAGGTCTGCTATCAGCTTGGGCAACGCCGTCAGACATTCATTGACGAGCACTTGCTTCTGTCTTTCATGTCGCTCGGTAATTCTCTCGAAAACGCAATGTCACGCATATTCTGGGACTGTCGTGGGAAGCATCTGGGCGATAACCAAAATAACGAGCTGCCGGCATGGATACCAACGCATCGGGCCTGGGATGCCCCTGAGGTTCTATTTCAGAACATGGCGCATCGAGGATGGTGCCCGCTGGAGCTCACCATGTTGCGAGAGAATCTACAGACCAATGAGATAATCTACGCAAGCCAGATGCCGAGGGTTGGCGATCGGCTGAGACATCAGCTATGCCGGGCGGATGCTTGCACGGCAAACAACATCGACCAGGAGACGTACCGAACGAAACACACGTCCGAGTGCTCAGGATGCAAGGACGTTGTCCTAGACTACGACACCATCTGCTCCACAATCAAAGCAGGCCGCACGCCTCTCATCGTCTCGGTTCAGACGGACGAAGGCATGAAGTTCGCAATGACGTCCGATGAGGCCCTTCCGAACGCCCAGAACCCTCGAACGGGAAAGCTACCATACGTGTGCATCAGCCACGTCTGGTCACACGGCCTGGGCAACGTCCACCGCAACTCCCTGCCACAATGCCAACTCGAAATGCTGCACAAAGTCACCGCCCCCGTCCTCACTGACGGCGGGCTGCCCTTCAGCGTCTTCTGGATCGACACCATCTGCGTCCCCGTCGACCCCAAAGACAATTCGCTCCGGCACCTCACCATCGCAAACATGGCGTCCATCTACCAGAACGCGCTCTGCGTCGTCGTCCTCGACGAGTCCCTCATGCGCACCGCCATCCACGCGGCCAACCCGTCGTCCAAAGCGCCGCCGACCTTCAAGCTCGACGACCTGATCGACCAGCGCGAGCTGACGATCCGCGTCATCTTCTCGGACTGGTGGCGGCGGCTGTGGACGCTGCAGGAGGGCGTGCTGTGCGCGAGCTTCTTCGTCGTCTTCGCCGAGGGCCCCGTGCAGTTCCAGCGCGCCGTCGTGGCGCGCGCGGGCGATCACGCCCGCAACCTCGCCCACGCGTCCAGCCCCGTCGTCGAGAACATGCTGCTGAACCTCGTCGCCAGGGCGCATGTGCCGGGTAGCGCGGAGTTCCGCCGGCAGGTCTTGACGCTGCTGTGCCACCGGTCGACCAGCAGGGCGGCGGACGAGCCTGTTTGCTTGGCGACGCTGCTTGGCGTTGATGCGGGTGAGATCCTGAGGATTCCGGGGACGCAGCGTTCGCGCAGGATGAAGCGGTTGTGGGAGCTTCTCGGGAAGGTTCCTGCGCCGATTGCGTTTCTCCCGGGTCCGAAGCTTGAGGTGGACGGTTTTCGCTGGGCGCCCCAAACGCTGATTTCCAACCAAGGACCCGGGATGTTGTTTTCGATGGTGTCTGTGTGGGACGAGGGCGAAGGTATCGTCACGTCGGAAGGGCTGCAGCTGAGAGCCACTGGCTACCGCCTGGCATCTCTGGGCGTGAGCTTGAAGAGTAACTTCTATATACTTCCAGGCGATCCCGGACAGCTCTACGACGATGACGAAGTTCTGCGCATCTTCGACGGCACCGCCGCGCCTGAGCGAGCCGTTACCGCGATCGTCAAAGGGCTAAGGGGGGAGACCAAGGCTTTCGAGGCCGTGGCCGAGGAGGACCTGGTGGAGCCGGTCCTCATCATGGCGAATAACCGCAGACTCGATATTCACCAGACTCATGCCATACTTGCCACAAACCCGGTGTTGAAGGATGGTAGATGGCACACCAGATTCCTGCTCTCTGTTCACTGTTATACTAACTCTATCACCATGTTCTCTCAAAGGGAGCGTGGCAATGGGACAATTCGGGCGAGGCTGAGGGAAGAGAGACAGGCTGTTGAACAAGGAAGACGAACAGGCATGGTTGCCTGGAAAAGGGATTCTGAGCCAATAAGGGAATGGTGCATTGCTTGAAGTCAGGATGCATGGTAGACCTAATGAGCATTCCATCATAAATCCATTCGTCCATTTTGTTACCCAAAGTAAAGAGTGTCATCGGCAACGTGGATATAAAGTAATAGCCAGATCCAAAACAAGCACGAGGAAATGAATGGTCAGCCAACAACGTGGCTTATATTTCGTCCGTGCCATTACCTCCCCTGCAAAGCAATAGGCCGTCCCTTCCCGTATTACAACACTCATAACGCTCAGACACTGCTCCTCTACCAAGCAGCTGGATCTCCCGACTGGTGACCGGCAGTGATCTCCGGGAAATTCATGGCCTCTCTGAACTGCGGAATGGTCGAGTCAGGCCGCACGACGGAGATGGTAGCACTGACCGAGATGCGCAAGCCCGCCACCTGCGCCGGCTGCGCTTGTTTCCGGTTGGCCTGCAAGCACACAAACATCAGCTTTTTTTTCACATTCTTTCCTGAGAGCAAGGATAACAACTCCAGTGGGTGTCCGGTGACTTACATCCGCAACCCTCCAAACCATCATCCTCTGCAAAAACGGCACCACATCATTCGGACTCAGACTCTGCAAATTACCCTGCTGCTGCTGGACTCCTCCTCCTCCTCCTCCTGCCCCCCAACCCGACTGCTGCTCGATGTAGTCCAGCAAGATGGGCGTGATGGCCGACGTGCCCGTCACTTTCAGCCCCTCGGCCGACTGCAGCGCGCAGTTGTCGCACGCCTCGCGCGGCGCCGAGAAGATGTGCGTCAGCCCCGCCAGCAGCGGCGACGACTGCCATTCGGAGGCGTTGACGGGAATGTCTCGGGTGGCGCCGACGAAGAAGTAGATGGTGAAGGCGCCGTTGAGGGCGTCTCTGGTTGTGAGAGAGAGGGTTAGCAATGGGGGGTTGGGGTGGTTGGTAGGAGGGGAGGGGAGGGGGGTAAAGGGGAGGAGGGAAGAAGGCGTACTTGTTCACTTCGGAATCGATATACCACTGCAACACCAGCCGGCTGCCCGGCGGCTCGTTGCACAGGATCTCGTCCCCGCGGCGGAACGACGGCACGTGCTCCGGGCCGTGCTGTTGCGGCTGGAAGCCGGTGTTCTGAGGGGTATTGCCATCGTAGTGGCCAAAGCCGGCGCCGCCACCGTGGTGGTGGTGGTGGCCGCCATCGTTGAAGCCGCGGTTCTGGCTTTCGTCGTAGCTGCCGCCCTGGAAGCCCATGTTCTGGCTTTCGCCATGGCCGCCTTGGAAGCCCATGTTCTGACTCTCCGATCCACCGCTGGGCTGGAAGCCGCGGTTCTGGCTGCCGTGGCTGTCGTACCCGCCGCCACCACTGTAGCTGCCAGGCGTCGGTTGGTTGGTGCCCCCGTATCCTCCTCCTCCTCCTCCGTAGCCGCTGCCGGGTTGAGGCAGGCTGCCGCCTCCTCCATATCCGCCATGGCTGCTGCCGGGCTGGGGCTGGTGTCCACCGTGGTGTCCGCCATGTCCGCCATGTCCGCCATGTCCCCCGTGTCCCCCGTGGCCGCTGTAGCCACCACCACCGGGTCTGGGCTGATCGCTGCCGCCGCCGGTGCCGCAGCCCTCGGTCCGGTGGGTGTTGCTGCCGCACTTGCCACAGTGCGTGCTGCTGCCGCCGCCGCTACCACCACCACTGTAAGTGCCGCCCCCGCTCTCATGGCCGCCACCGTGATGATGATGCCCGCCGCTAGCCTCGTGGCCTCCATGGTGGTGGCCGCCGCCGCCGCCGCTGCCGCTGCTACCACACCGGTGGTTGCAATGGGCGTTGCTACCGCAGCTGCTACAACGCGAGCCTGCGCCACAGTCGTTGCAGTGCGAGCCGTGGTGTTGCTGGCCGCCGTGCTGGTGTTGATGGGAGCTGCTGCCACAGCGGTGGCCGCAGTGAGCATTGCTGCCGCAGTTATTACAGTGAGCGCTGGTGCCGCAACTGGTGCATCGGGGGCTACTGTGCTGGCAGCCGGTGGAATGGTGGTCATTGCTGCCGCAGTTGGTGCAGCGGGCGTTGCTGCTGTGGCAGCTGTCGGCGCCGTGCGTAGTGCTTCCACATTTTCCGCAAGCGTGCGAGGAGGTCTTGCCGCAGCCGCCGGTCCGATGGTCTTTGCTGCCGCAGTCGGTGCAGTGTGCGCTGTGTTGATGGCACTTGTCAGTACCGTGGTCGTTGCTGCCACAAGTGGTGCAGCGCGTGGTGCTGCTGCATTCTTTGCAGTAGACATTGGTGCCGCAGCTGGGACAGTTGACTTTGTTGCCGCAGCTGGAGCAGTGTACGGTACTGCCGGGCTTGAAGTCGCCTGGCCTGGTTCCACCACCACCACCAGCATAATCGCCGGGCTTGGGTACGTTAGTGCCGTAGTCTCCGGGCTTGGGTACCCCACCGCCGCCGTAGCTGCTGGGCTTGGGCACGTTGCTGCCATAATCGCCTGGTTTGGGTCCACCGCTGTAGTCTCCGGGCTTGGGCACGTTGCCACCGTAACTGCCAGGCTGAGGCTGGCTACCACCATAATTGCCGGGCTGAGGCTGACCACCACCATAGCTGCTGGGTTGTGGTTGGCCACCGCCGTAGCTGCTTGGTTGAGGCTGAGATCCACCGTAGTCGCCCGGCTTTGTTCCGCCACCATAGTCGCCAGGTCTGGGTCCCCCACCACCGCTGTAGGAACCAGGTCCAGGCCCACCACCACCACCACCTCCTCCTCCTCCTCCTCCGCCGCCGTAATCTCCAGGCCTCGGCGGTGCGTAGTCGCCAGGTCGAGGAGGTACATGGCCACCGTAGTCGCCAGGAGGCTTGACGGGCCCGCTGTAGTCGCCACCACCACCAGGCTTCGGCATGCTGCTGCCGCAGCTGGAACAGTGGTGCGAGCCTCCGCCGGTCTGAGGCTGTGCGCCCCCGCTATAGCCGCCAGTTTGGCCGCCATAACCACCGGAGCTGTAGCCTCCGCCACCACCACCTCCGCCACCACCGCCGCAACTGGAACAGCGTGGGGCGCCACCACCACCGTAGCTACTGGTCTTGGTTTCGCGGCTTCCGCTGGTATACTCGGTCTTGGGCGTGTTGGTCCCGTAAGTGCTGCTACTCTCGTAGGTAGTGCTGCTGCTGTACGTGCTGCTCTCATACGTACTGCTACCCCCACCATACGTGCTCCCGCCATACGCACTATCGCTCTTCTTGTGCGTCGCCGTCGTCACGACGGGCTGCTGCTCGACCATCCTGACGGGCAAGAAGCCCGAGCCGGAGTAGCGGAACACTTGCGCAGCTCTCACATCCTTGGGCCGCATAGCTTCAGGGATGTTGGCGAGGCCACCACCGTAGCCGCGCTGCTGGCGCTGCAGGCTCCAGCGGTAGTTGGCGTCGAAGTTGGCGAGGATGACTTGCTTGTTGCCGCCGACTTCGATGTCCGGGTAGGTGTAGCCGAATTGGCGGTGGTCGCGGGCGTCGCTGCTGTTCCAGAAGTGCTCCTCGCCGTTGACGATGGCGCGGCGGAAGGGGTAGAGGTTCGTGAAGGCGTTGGGGATGCCCGCAGCGGGTGCGCGGTCGGTGATGAAGTCGTCGTGGAGGGCTTGCCAGATGGCGAAGACGCGGTCGATGTTGCTGTTTTTTTTTTGTGTCAGCGTATATCAGTGTCATACTTCCATTTTGCTTCTCTCTCTCTTCTCCGGCCAATGATGGCAAATAGGGATAGGGAAGACGGGGGGGACTATACGAACCAGTGATGCAGCCAAAACACCGGATCAAACGCCGCCACCGGGATCCGCGACATGTGCCCGGCGCCGCCGATGTTGACATGGTACGACCCGTGGAAGTCCTCCAGCGACCCGTTCGTCGGGTTCCGCATGTCCCTCTGCAGCGCCGACGTGGCGAAGTTGCGGTAGTCGGCGTACGGCGCCGCCTCGATCAGGTCGAGCATGACGCGCAGCTCCGCCTCGCGGTCTTTGTTCAGCGCCACGTCGAGCGCTTCGAAGTCGTCGACCTCGCGGTCGCCGCCGGGGCGGGAATGCCGTACGGTGTGGGTTTGCGAGACGGTGTCGCTGCGTCCGCCTTCGGCCTTGGCGGCTGCTTCTCGCTCCATGACTTGCCACTCGTCGGTGGTGATGCTGTTTTTGGTGGGGAAATTGAAGGTCTTGAGCGGGTTGTCCATGGGCACCAGGCACTTCTCGTCGTTGGGCTCCTGGGTCTTGGGCCTGTAGACCATCAATTGCGCCTCTTTCAGGACGGAAGGCAGGCGGAAGTCGTAGGGGAAGGATGTTTTCCCGCCTGGACCGATGCCGGGGAAGACGGTGTTCTTCTGCTCGCGGGGATGGAAGTAGTCCCAGTACGGGAGCCGGAATTTGTCAGCTGCCAGGCGGTACTTGGGATCGTCGAACTGCGCGGCAATTTGTTGCACGGTGTTGTAGATGCTTTGCTAAAGTAGTGTTCAGATGTGCTGTCTGACAATAATGGGGAAGGAATTGTTGAAGTACCTCCATCATGGCCAAGTAGGGGCGGTGCCATGTTGGGAAAAGAATTGAGCCGTGAGTACAGTAGCCACCGAGCTCTGGTGAGTCGCCGCGAACATTGTCCCATTCACGCTTTGGGAGCCCGTGAATGCCTGAGCATGTCAGTATGATTTATCCAAAAGATGTGTTCGGAGAAAGTGAGGAGAACCGGCTACTTGAAAGTATGACATCTTGTCCTGCCATTGTCCTGTGTCTTTTTGAAGGTATTCAAGTGCAAGCAAGAACAGATTGAAGACATCAGGCTCATTCACTACGAGATCGTCGATCTCACGACGCGGTTTCACGTCTGAAACTGATTTGAGGCCAACCACGACGCCGTGGGCTTGGCCGAAGGCGAGGGAGGCCATGCTTCGCGATTATGGGTATTGGTCAAGACAATGGGAAGAGAGGAAGGTCAGAAAAGTAACAGTGGTTGGATCTGGAGACACGCCACAATGGAAAGGTCTTTGCACGTGTTTATATACACGTCTGCACTAGCTGAAAAGCCCACATAGAATGTATTGATAGACAGAAGGATTTTGAGAATGCCATGTACTCTGCTTAAACGGTAGCTCCATTTCCCTTGCGCTGAAATGGGTGCTTCAGCCAGCCAGGCCCGTAAGCTTGACGACGCCTTTTCACATGTGGAATAATAAGAAACTGGATTCAAGGTTCAAGTGGGCGGGGTAATAAAGCAGCTGATATGCTAGTTAAGGAGCTGAAGTTGCCCAGAAGTCTTTGTAGGGGCGTGCGGGGAAGAGAACTACGGGAACGAAGGACCAATGGCCGTTAGTCATGTTATTAAGGTGGCTATGTAAGCTGTGCGAACCAATGAGCCAGCTCGGGAAGGGCCGCCGGCTCGGGGTTCAGCTCGGGCTGAGGGCCCCGCTCCAGCCGTGCCGTTCGCGCCGGTCGAGAGCGCGAGGTGTCAGCACCGGCCGAGCCGATTGCACGACACTAACCGAATACAGAATGATCCTCAACCTTAGTGGCGATAACGTTTGCCTTAGCCGCATCTTGAGGCTTGTTTCCAGGCCGACTGGCCCTTCCGAAAGGTTCCTACCTGCATCGACGTCTCTCCGTGTCTTCCATATCGTCTGAACCCGACCCGCGGACGAGAGTGGGTCGTGCGAGAAAGCCCGCATGCACGAAGCTTGAAGCTCTCAAATGAGCGAGTTGACATGAATTCACCGAGCCGTAGATGCAGTGCCACGCACTGTATAAATGCACGAAGCTGTCCAGAGCGGACAAAAACCTGTTCGTGCCACAATCCTTCGCACAGCCTTCCCGTGATCACCCATCCACAGCCACCACCAACAAGCGCCCATCAACCCCAATAACCACAAAACATGTCCACTCCCGACTACGGCCGCCGGCTGATCGTCCCGCTGGTCGAGCACAAGGCCGCCACCAACCCCAGCGGCGTTTACTGCACGCTGCCCACGTCCGCCACCAACCTCGCCTCGCACGCCCTCGACATCACGTGGCGCGACCTCGCGCGGCTCGTCGACCAGGCAGCATGGTGGCTCGAAGCGCAGCTGGGCAAGCCCAAAGCAGGCACGTTCCCGACCATCGCCTTCATCGGGCTAAACAGCCCGCTGTACCACGTGCTGGCGCTGGCCAGCGCCAAGACGGGTTACAAGATTCTGTTCAACTCGCCGCGCAACAGCGTCGAGGCGCAGCTGTACCTGTTCGACAAGACGGAATGCAAGGTCCTGCTGCGCGGGCCCCGCGCCGGCAGCATGGTGCAGGATATCCTCGAGGCGCGGCCGAAGATGCGATGCGTCACGGTGCCTGAGCCCGGCGATTGGATGAGGGAGAAGGGCCAGGTTAAGCGCTATCCGTATGACAAGTCGTGGGAGCAGGGGAAGGATGACCCCGTCATCGTGCTGCATTCGTCTGGGTCAACGGGCCCGCCGAAGCCGATTCCTATCATGAATTCGTCGATGGGGACGATTGATGCGCATCATTTGATTAAGGATGTTGCTGGGAAGAGGGATGTGTTGAGGACGATGGAGGGGACGACCATGTTCAATCCGATGCCGAACTTTCATGTGAGTCTGAGCTTGTTGCGGAGACGGAATTTTGCTGACCAGACTGCAGGCTGCGGGAGTGTTCTGGAACTTCATGTCCGCAATTTACTTTGACGTACACGTCGTCTATGCTCCGGTCGGCCAGCCACTGAAGGCTGAACTAGTTGAGAAGGCGTTGGATCAGATGAAGTTTGATTGGATGTTCCTGCCACCGTCCATCATCGAGGACTTGGCCCGGGACGAGCATGTGCTTCCGAAGTTGGAGAAGATGCGGTACATCGGGTTTGGCGGCGGTAAGCGAGTTCCGAATGTAGTGCCTCTTCCCGTCAACTGATGTACGGCAGGGCCCCTTTCACAACAACTCGGCGATGTCATTGCCAAACACACGCAAGTGATCAATGTTTTGGGCACAACGGAGAACGCTGTTCCGCCGTACAACTTTGTCCCGTTGAAAGAATGGAACTGGATCCTGGTGCCACCGGAGATGAAGGGTGTCGAAATGCGGCCACGGGAGGAGGACGAGTTCTCAGAGATGGTCATCGTGCGTGATGAACACACGAATCCCTTCCACTCGACCTGGAGCACCTTCCCCAACGAAGCCGAATACCACACCAAAGACCTCTTCGTGCGGCACCCAACCGAACCACACCTCTGGCAGCATCGGGCGCGGTCTGACGACGTGCTCGTGCTCTCCAATGGCGAGAAGGTCGTCCCAATCCCGATGGAAGGCCAGCTCTCCCAGTCTCCACACATCTCGGGCGTTGTCGTCCTGGGCCACGGCCGCTTCGAAACGGCAGTTCTCATTGAGCTATCGTCTCAGGTGCAAAGGAAGCACTCGCCGGCCGAGAACCTCGCGGCCGTCGCGCTCTTCATTGACAAGGCCAACGCCGCGGCGCCAGCCTTCGCCCGCATATCGCGGGACCGGGTGCTCTTCACTTCACCAGACAAGCCCATGACGCGCGCGGGCAAGGGCACCGTCATCCGCAAGGCAACGCTGAAGCAGTACGAGAAGGAGATTGAGGACCTGTACGCTGGGCGGTCCAGCATCGCCCTCTCCTCAACCCTCCCTCTCCACGTCGACACCGAAAATACGTCCGACACCGAGGCCGCGCTGACCGACCTGTTCGGCAAGCTGGCGGGCGCGAAGAAGAGACTTGGCCTGGACGACGACTTCTTCGCCGCGGGCATCGACTCGCTGCAAGTGTTGACGGTGGTGCGGCAGCTCAAGGCGCAACTGACCAACGAGCACGCGCCGCTCTCGCCCAACCTGGTCTCCCTCAGCATGGTCTACGCCAACCCGACCATCCGCAAGCTCGCGCGGACGCTGCACGCAGCCGCAGCAGGCGGCGGCGGCGGCAAGGATGGGAATGCAGGCGCACGCAATGCCGATCAGCGTGCGAAGGAGATGAAGGAGATGTACCTGCGCTACGCCCACGACCTCCCGCACCGGACGGACGCTGCTGCCGCTGCTGCCTCCGCCGCTGCAGCCGGAGCCAAGGAAGAGCCCGTCACAGTCGTCCTGACGGGCAGCACCGGCTCGCTGGGCTCCTACATCCTCTCCGCTCTGCTCTCTTACCCACCCCAGCGCATCGCCCACGTCTACTGCCTTAACCGCGGCTCGCCCTCCAGCACCTTGAAGAAGCAACGCCAACGCTTCGAAGACTCGGGGCTGCCAACCGCCGGCCTCGACCAGGGCAACCGCGTCACCTTCCTCGAGACCGACCCGGGCGCCGACCTGCACGGCCTGTCGGACGCGGCCTACGCCGAGCTGGTCCAGCGCACGCGCTACATCATCCACAACGCGTGGGCCGTCGACTTCAACATGGCGCTGGACAGCTTCGCGCCGCACGTCAAGGGCGTGCGCAACATGATCGACCTGGCGTATTCCGCAGGCCAACAACAACAACTGAAGTCCCCGCCGCCCATCTTCTTCACCAGCACCATCAACACCGTCCGCAACTACAACGTCGCCGCCGGCCCAGGAGAAGTGCCCGAAACGCCTATCCACGACGTCCAGGCCCCCGGCGAGGGCGGCTATGGCGAGGGCAAGTACGTCGGCGAGCGGCTGCTCGAGGCCGCCGGCACCGTCAGCGGTGTGCCAGCGGCTATCTGTCGCACGGGCCAGATCGGCGGGCCCGTGGCGAGCGAGGCGGCGCGCGCGGGGAAGGGGAAGTGGAACGTGCAGGAGTGGTTTCCGACCATCGTGCGCTCGTCGAAGCACCTCGGCGCGCTACCGACGTCCATCGCCGGCATGGATCAGGCGGACTGGGTGCCTGTGGACCTCGCGGCGGATGTGGTGGTCGATGTGATGTTTGATAATTTGCGGCAGTTGCGCGAGAGCAAGACGGCGGGACGGCCCCTGGTGCAGTTTGATCATTTGGTTAATCCGAAGACGAGCTCGTATCCGAAGGTTATTTTGCCGGCGTTGCAGAAGAGGTTGGCGGAGGGTGGGAAGGGGCAGTTCCCGGCTGTGCCGTATGAGGAGTGGCTGCGGAGGTTGCAGGATGAGGCGGCCAAGCCGGATGCGGATCCGGTCAAGTGTCCCGGCATCAAGCTGTTGGATTGGTTTGAGGGGTTGGGCGAGGGGCTGAAGGCGTTGGAGAGGGGTGAGCCGGCGGGCTTCAGGTTGCAGACGAAGGAGACGGTGAAGAGGAGCGAGACGTTGAGGAATTTGGAGCCGGTGAATGCGGAGTGGGTGAATACCTGGTGCCAGGGGTGGGGGATGTAGATGGTGTTTTTTGAGTGTGGCCAGCGATGGGCTGATGGAAAAGGGGGCGGGATGTGCCCTGTACTATCTTTAGCTGACTATCGTTCCTTACCTCGCTCGCTTTTAGTCTTATTTCCCATTTCTGGTACAGAATTAGTTGATTTCCTTCAAGTACATAAAGGCCTTCATTTTTATCATCCATTGAAATAAATGTCCATGCATCATTCCATTTTCACATGTACAAACCTTAAGTTCTACCTCGTCCCTTATCGACCTCATCTTCGCCTCACTGGATAATGAATCCATCCCTCCGCCCTGTGATTAACTCTCGCAACGTTGTGATCATTTCAAGTCATATATTACTTGATATTATGAGAAGTTTCAATATAAACTTCTCTTCCTTTCTGGAGATTTCTCAGGCACATACCCTTCCCAGCAGCCGCTCCCACCTCGACGCAAGCTATGTACCCAGCAGGAACACTTCATCGTCTATTTGAAGCTACCTACTTCTAAGATTACTCTATTTCTATCAACTGCTCTGATAGTTTGCCAAAGAAATCTCTAGCAGCTTGTTCATTCTCAACTGCACACGCAAAAAATCCAACACGGCAAAACACAGCTCGGCTCTTCTCGCTCTTCTTCAGAACGATCCCCAAAACAGCCCACTTCTGTTGACGAGGCTTCCTGAATCTGGACAGGCTCACGATATCATAGACTACCGGAAGACAGAATAGTTCCAGCGATGACTTCTCGGTTTCAGGGTCATCAAAGATGATGTGTCCATCCTTCACCAAGATGTGTTCATCTGTACCAGGATTCCTAAGCAGACTCAACGGAGTCGTCAACCCATCCCAATCTCGAACGACTGTCCTACTCCAAATCGGTGCAACAAGACGACCTTTCAAACTTAAGGATCCCTCGACAACTATTCCCGCTACAGTGTCATTCCTCGTAGTCGTACTTGCCCGAACGCCAGAAACGCATTCCTCGGCATCTGACCGCAGCATGTACCCGAAGCAGAGCACAGTGCGTTCCACCGCAGCCCAAGACCACGACGGAGCACGTCGGTCTGTCAGCTTAACATACCTGGTCCCGTGAACCTGCCACAAGAGACCTCGCGGCAGCGAGAAACCCCAGATGCCCGCGTGGTACGCATCGTCCGCCCCAAGGCCCCGCAACTTCTCCTTCATCTGGCTGGCCAGTCCGGCTATTGCAACCAGTCTGTCGCTCACATGAGTCAGGTGGCGCCGGTTGTACTCCTGGACCGTCTGCTCCCATTCGAGGAGGCACGAGCCGAGCGTGTCGAGGTGCAGTCGAACCCTGATGTTGTTCTCGCTGGCGACGTCGAGCGGAGTTTTCCACAGAATCTTGTCGCGGTCGAGCATGCGGGTCATGATGGCGAGCGCGTTGATGATCGGTATGCCGTTGGGGTACGTCTCGCAGCGCGTTGTGGATCGGCATTCCCAGAAGATTTGCTCGCGGCCGAAATAGAGGATCCTGCGGGAAAGGAGTTGCTCTTGCAGTACCCAGGCGCGGCGCAGCACGCGCGCGTCGAAGCGGTAGATCCATGTGAGGTAGTTTTCGCCCAGTATGTACGACGATTTGTCCGAGGGGTGGCGCAAGGCCAAGGTCAATTCGGTGGGAGCGACGTCGGACGGGATCCGGGGGAAGAAGCATCCTTGTGAGTCGTCTGCTGCGCCATGTGCGCAGACGGTGAAGAATGCATTGGAATAGACTTCACCCATCTGGGATGCTTCCTGGCGCCAATCTTCAGCCGAGTCTTGGATGATGCAAAAGCGATCAATCCAGAGATACTCAATTCCAAGCTCTTCTATGATCATGAATGCGTGCTGGAAAGTCTTTGGCAAGTTCTGCAGGGGGTATCCAGATTGTAGGGTATCGAAACTCCGCCGAGAAAGCCTAAAGCTTTCCTTCGCGGACTCGGGGCCCCAGCAGTAGCTTAGCGCCGTGTATCGAACCACTGGATCCAGATTTGCCTTATCGACTAGGAACATGCGCTTTTCAGCAGCGTCCAGCTTTAGTAGTCTTGAAGGTACGAAGTTCTGAGCGCCACCACATGAGTCGTGTGTGTCCAAGCACCTTCTCAACCATTTTTTCACCGTTGCCCACGAGGCAGGTGAGTCTGTGGTTTCTTCAGGTGGATGATGTAGTTTTTGGGCATCTTTTCAAAAGCCAATTAGTGACATTGTACAACCAAATAGGTAGGGTGCGGTCTTGATACCTCCAGACTTAAGTAGAGGGAACTGAGTCTCAGGAATTAATCTCTCAACACCAATTCGAAATGCTAGTCTATCTGGAAGAATCGCAAAAGATGTTGCAAAGTTCCGGAATGATCTTCTTATACCCATGTGTTCGCAGGAAAAAGACAACACGGTGCAGATGGCACAGTTTTCTTCGGAAGATCTCTCTAATGACTGGAAACTCGAGTGGTGTCCAAAAATGTACTTGAAAATTTCTGGTCGTTCTTTGGGGTCCTCCGGCTGGCAACAATCTCGTTTAGCCCTGTTGTTACTGTCGCTCTCATTTGAACTTCCTCCTGGTTTAGTCTGATGGCTAGCGATATTCTCCGTGTTGAGAACTCCAGTATTCCATTTGCGCATGTTTTCCAGAAGGTCTCGGCCAGGCCCGTCGGTGCCATCTACAGTGTCCAGTTCCACGATCCTCGGTGTCTTCTTCGGGTCCCAGACGCCCTCGAGCGCCTCGAGGCAGACTTGACACAACGTATTGGATCTGTGGTACATATCAATTTTGGTACAGGCGAGAGACGAGGTGGGTCTGGTCCGTCAGCTGCGGGGTACTCAAGATTTTCCCAGCCACCATCGCTTGCAACCGGCTTAGTAATTTGCGGCCCCCACGATGACGGGCCCCATTGCAGCCGTTTTAGTCTTTCATCAGCCAAGATCTACTCATGATTTGATTGTATAGGTCTAACAAGACGAATGAGATGGTTCTAGCCAGACATGATATATCTATGCCCCCTAAAGCGGAGTTTAGTGAAATCCCCTTTTGAGCTCAGAAGTAGGGCCACAATGTCCCCATATCTTAGGGAGGAAATTAACCTAGAGGTAGTAGAGAGTAACCAACCCGTGAAAGGTATGGGATTGTACTTTTGAGTCAAATGGTACAGAGCAGAAGGAGTTAAAAAAAGGTTTGTTGAGGTGAAGAAATTTCGTGCAGGCCTTTTGTGGTACTCCTCTCGCCGTGTAGTCCTATTCACTGATCTTGGCTCTGTTGAAGCGCCATGGAGATTTCTTTGGGCAAAACTCTTGAAGATCATACTTTATTATTTTAAAATTACTTTCGCCGGGTCGGGAAGAGAATTTAATCCAGGAATGACGTCAATTGACCCCATAGTTAGCCACACTCAACCACGGACGACGCAGGCAGAAGTAGTCACAGCCGCCCTTCAAATAGGCTTCTACGGCCGTGAACATTTGCTCTGCACAACTATACAACGATGTCCTCTTAAGACAGCGCGACACCCCGTGAACACAGCCTTTCACTCAGGCTGCGCTCGCATCCACAGCGGTGCCGCGATGACTTTCAGCTGGGCTACCCGAACTTTGAACGCTATTGTGCCATCGTGTTAGAAGCCACGCGACCCATCATCCTCTTCTGCCGCGGCCTTAGCGAGCGGGGGCACCTTGACGTCGCTGACGCTCTCGGCACCGGCCTGCTTGAGCTCGTCGACCAAGCCGCGCAAACGGTGGTCCCTTTTCCGCGCGTCGAGCAGCCAGCGGTCGGACAGCGAGACGTTGTTCCCAACCCCTACAGGGATGAAACCCTCGAACTAGGCCTTGACTCGTCCGCCCAGATTTGGAAGGACACGCTGGAAGCCGGGAAAACCTACGTCTTGCGCCTCGGGTCTGCGGCCTTCGACGAAAATGTATTGTGGTGCCGCTACCGCGATGCCGACGACGCTGCCGACTTGGTCGTGCAGAATCCTCCCCTGCGGCTGCAACGCAACAAAACCGTGAGCTTCACCGTCTACCACGATCCCGACCCGCCGACCTTCACCGGCTTCTTCAGCGTCGAGCCTGCTGTCTGTCATGTGCCGCCATCGGACCCGAATAACCACATTCATAATATGGATCCTCTTCCGAACGCGTTCAAGTTCGTCGTCGACATCACATCAAATGCCCCCGCACCAATCACCGTGTGCATCCAACAGAGCGTCTTTGGTTCCACTCTGCCATTCGGCGGCCTCAGCAGTCTCGGCGAATTCGCGGACTGCGTCGACGCTGAGTCGGGAGAGGAAGCCCACTTCTCGGTCGGCTTCCAGTGCTTCGACAGCAATCCGTGGCCTGAATGGCCCGAAGACGAGGACCTCGTCGAAATACCGCCGGCTGGGAGCGCCACCGTGCGCTTCGTGCAAGAGTTCGGGGAGCATGACCAGAAGCACTCGTTCAAGCCTGGGCGGCGATACCGTGCGCAAATGTCGAGAGGGGCGAAGGGCGGGTTCTATCAGTGGATGTTTGGCACGAAGGAGCAGATTTTGAGGGGCACGGTGGAAGAGAGGAAGGCGAGGTGGGATGAGGCACATCCGAGAGGCCGAAGGGAGATCGAAGTACAGCAGGTGAATGAGCCGGTAGAGTTCGATGCAGTGAATTAATTGACATGGTACATTCGAATTAGTGTGGAAGAAGCGAATGATCAGTCTTAAAGGAAAATGATTGCAACACTCTTTGGCGAAATGCAACCTATCTAGCTCTAGGAATGAGTAGCCGGTTGACTTTTGCAAAGGCTAATAACTAGTCTCTGTCACATCCAGAACAGGCTTGCTAGGAAATTGAGAAGAGCTTGCACCATTCACTGGAGCAGAAAGCTTGGGCTAAATAGTTTGAACAATACCACTTGTTACGTTTCATCTTCTGGAGAAAACATCCACACTGTGGTTTCATTCTTACCCGGTGGCTGTGAGGGGACACCGGACAAGGACTTTTCTGCGCCGCACATGACGTCAGTGGACCCCACGACCAGCGCAGGCAGCAGCCAAAACCGTGATATCCCACAGGCAGATCTTCAATTCCAACACATATAAAGAGATGGTTTCCACCTGTCAAAGAGAGACCACAGAACCGCAACAAGGAACTGTTTTCAGAAATGTCTTCGAACAACGAATCATCGCAGCCCATCCTCTCGCTCCGCTTCGAGCAGCCCTATGGCGACCGCGATGGCGTCCTCCAGCTCAATTTACCAGATCTCGACGGGTATAATGATCTCATTATAACCTCATTAGAGAACAAGCAGAAGCGCCCCGTAACACTTTTGAGCCCCGGTCTGAATAAAGAGGGAAAATTGGATATCGTCGCCTCCCTTTGCTCCGGACTCCTGGAATTGATCGAGCATGATACAAAAAAGTTGATCATCTTCCCGCGTGGACCCGAGGAGCCTGTTGTCGGAAATTTACTAGTGAAGCCCTCGGACGCATCCCCACGTAGCAGACATTACACCGGTATGACATACAACTCAACCGCTGCAATCTGGAAAGGCACCGTACAGGCTGGAAAATCCTACGTCCTGCGTTTTGCATCCCCCGAGGCCAACAACGACGACACAGACAAAGTATGGTGCCGCTTCCGGGACGCCCCCGCCTCCGCGACCAAAAGGCTGCCCGTCCGCCTGGAGCGCGCAACCAGCAGCCTGCGCTTCACCGTCCGCGCCGACCTCCCGCCACCGCGCTTCTCTGCCGTCTTTAGCGTCGCTCCCACTCCCGTCTGCCACATATCCCCTTCGGGGGACAATTACCCCTCCGCGCCGTTCAAGTTCGTCGCCGAGATAACATCTGATGCGGACCAGCCCGTCACCGTGTGCACGGAGCGCAATCCGTTCGGACGGACGCTGCCGTTCGGCAACAGGCTGAGCTGCCTGGACAGGTACTGCATTGCATCGACGTCGCTACAGACGAGGAGATGGAATTCCCGGCCTGCTTCCAGTGCTTCGATAGCGATCCATGGGGCTCGTTCCCGGAGGATGGCGATTTTGTCGAAGTGAGGCCCGGCGGGGTGTGGCGGTGGGAATACGAACTTGATGATCAGCATGATTTCGAGAGCGGGCACAGGTATGAGGTGCAGCTATCGAACCGGGCGAAGAACGGATTTGACATGTGGATGTTTGGGAAGAAGGAGGACTTGTTGAGAGGAACATTAAAGGAGAAGATGGAGAGATGGAAATATGCGAAGGCGCATGGGACTATCTCGGCTGTGCAGGCAAATGAGCCAGTGACCTTTGATGTAGTGGTTGACTGATTGGGCATTTCTGGGAGCAACTAATTCTAGGGGTAATTACCAAACAGCGAAACATATGCTGTTTGGGAATTATCCCTCAATTCTACCGTCGTAGCTTATGAATGGAAAGATAGGATATAGACGTTGCGCTGTTCGGTGTAGGATGTTGTTATCTTTTCAATGTTAAGAAGCCGAACACATGCCAATAACAGACAGTAGTGTTAATCGTCTCTGCAATTTTGCAGTGATTCTTTGAAGGCTAACGAGGGATTCGAACTTGTGCTACCAGTGAATCCTTGTATGACGGTGAGATCGAAGCGTGTGGGGGCCGGTTTTGTTATCGTTGGCGCAGTTTGGGTGCGATGCCATATTTCCTCGGCCTAGTATTCAGCCGAGGACCCGCTGTCTTGCATCCAATATTGTGCAACCCCGGCTTTGCATACCTGTACCAAATTTATCCACCCAATCAAAGTATACGCGTGTCTCTCTGCTTTTCGAATGCTTATTAAGCTAGCCGGAGTGGGCATTAGATTGCAGTGCCAAGATACACCCTTTGGGGGCGAGATAATGTCCGTAGGTTGCAATCCTGATTGATGTCTTGGAATGCCAATCACTGAGTTTTTAATGTGGGTCAGTAAGATCAACTTGCATCATCTCCCTCCGCTTGTGCATGAGATTCATTTCCAGCTTTTTAAGTTGTCCGAGGCCCATTTGATCTCTGTTTCAGTCAGACTCCTGGAACAGCGAAATGAATGAGCACCAAAAGCCAGAGAGAGCCACCAGCTCGGTCACTACACTTGAAAGCTCATCATCACCACACGTCTCGCGAGCAAGCTCTAAAGCTTTGGCCCCTTCACAGCAAAGCACACTGGATATTTGTCAAGATACGAATGGATCCTCAGACCGAGTAAATGCCGCTGCATCTGCGGAACCTCTTCTCTTGCAAGAAAAGATTAAAGCCAGACCTTCAGTCCTCAAACGCCTCGGAAAGTGGTTAATCATTACAAACATTGGCGCTCTTCTCTTACTATGCCTCGCAATTGCAGGGCTTTTGTTTCTTTGGTTCGGCGGTGATGCGAATGAGACATGGCGACGAGTAATGATTAACGGATACGTTAATCAAGCTGTCACACTTTCCACGCTCGCCGTACGTCTTGCACTTGCGACCCAGGCTGGTGCGGCCATCTCAATGTTGGCCAGCACGTTGATCGAACGCCATGGAGTACCACTTCACCAGGCTCCTTCAATATCCATCATGCGATTCATCAACAATGGCCCAGTACTTTCAGCATTCGACTTGTGGAGTGGAGGGCATTGGTATCGCAATAGTCTGATCTACACTTTACTTATTCTTCTAGTCTGCACTACGTCCATCTCGCAGTTCACATCGACATTGCTGCTTTGGGATATTGAAAACGGTAACGTGCTAGGCTTTCCGGTCGAGAAAGATCTTGACGCTGGCTTCTCAATGAATGACTACATGGAACACTTTCGCACTCTCCTCACACAAGCTCCAAATTACTGGGCGTCGACTCCTTCGACTTACAACACCTTTGCCGAGTGGTCTATAAGCGCAGACGCTTTGTCAGATAATGCCGTGGATACGGGCCCAACAATACGGGCGCTGCTGCCAATCACGTCGGACAATGACCTCCTCGAGCTGGAAGAATACAATGGTACCGCATCCCTCTTTGATGCCAGAGTCTCGTGTGTCAGACCCACGATCAAAGACGCCGCCTTCAACTTCGACCTACAAGTGCTTGAGAACTTCACAGGGACACTGTTCCCGGGTTCTGTGCCAGAGGTGATCGAGAGAAACTCAGTTTTGAGTACGTCTGGCATATTTCCAGAAGGATTCCCTTTTACTTGCAGGATGGACAATATGCAAGTCGGCAAATCATTCGTCGTATGTGCCTTACCGAGGACGGCTGGTGGCCTGATCAACTCCTTGGATCCAATGAACAATAAATCCTTGTTTCACAGTTTGGATCCACCCGACCCAGGAGTTGGCCTTTGGCATGCAAGTAGTAGAAATGATTCAGGGAATCAGTGGCCGGTTCTGATGGGCCATACAGTGCTGTTCTGGACGCGCAGCCCAGGCGAAAATCAAACATCGTCAAACCGCAGCGGTGGATTTGATATAGTTGAGAAGGGACCGTGGCTGGAATACACAATAAGAGATACCGGAGACACCTGGAGTGTCAGCGCTTGTTTCGATGCTCTGTAAGTATACCATGTCCCCGATATCTACACAAGTTACGAGAGATTGACCTTATTGCAGATACGGCCAGAACTTTTACTTTCGTCCATGGCATGACCAGGATTTCAGGATTTCAGCAAAAAGGGAGTCCAAAACTCGGAGCCGTCTGGATCCCGCGCCGAAGTGGGACACGATTTTGAACCAATTTGATACCAAAGAGCTGCGAAATCAGCTGGGGAGCAGCCTGGAAGAGAAAGCATCGCGCGACATCCTGATCATGGACTATGAAAGCATCCAGGCCGCCAAAGAAGCCCGCATGTCCTCATGGTCTCCAGAACGCAACTGCACATTCCGCCCAGGTACGGCCTGATCTACACTCTCCTATTGACAAACTCACTAACCAGTGATGCAGCCACACATGGAATATGGTGGTACCCCAATACCTCCTGGCCAGACCTTCCACCCGCAGACAGTAATACCGACTGCCAGCAACTCAACGCCTCCACCCGCATCAAGCACGACTTCCTCCACGAATCCATCTGGACGCACTTCAGCAACCCCTACAGCCTCGTCGGCCTTGGCACCAATAGTACGTACTCACCTACCGCATCAAGCGCCGAGATGGGTTTCACATCATCCACCCTGCACCCAATCCTGACCGCCCTCGCTATCGATATCCTCGCCGAAACAGACAACCCCGCGCTGGCCTGGCAGGCTATCTTCACGTGCGTGATCCGGAACGCGTACTACGACATCTCATCCTACTTCACGGCGCGAGAGCGTGTCACGACGACATCCCTTCTCTCGCCGCAGCGTCCAGTGCGGTACCGAGGGCTCGGAATTGTGTTGGTGAACATCGTCCTGCACCACGTTTTGGTTTTGGTCATGTTGTACTGGTTCTGCGCCGGCACGAGATACACGCTGTTGGGGAACTGCTGGCAGAGCATTGCGCAGCTCCGCGCGGCAGAAATGGAGGACGTCTTTGGCAACATGACATTGGAGACAGACAAGGATGTGAAGAGGAGAATCAGGCGTTCGGAGGGGACGTCTAAGGGGTTGAGGTTCAGGGTGATGCCCCAGGCGGGAAGTGATAGGGTCTGTCTTTGTAGGGTTGGTGGGTAGGCTTGAGTGGAGCAAAGAAAGATGTCCAGCATTTAGGTGGTATGTGAATTAGAAGTATGCCTGAGCAGTATGTATGAGTCTGAAAGTAAAAATGAGACCGCAGAATTCCACACTAAAAGGCCTGGTACTGATTTCGTCAATGCCTCGACAAATCCATTAAACCTCCTTTACACTATCCAATTCATGCGTGACTTGCTGAGCAATCTCATGGTTGCGCTGGTAGTTGTGGGATCATTCAGCCCAGGATGCAGGTGAGATATTACATTCTGACGAGGGTTTCAGCAAAATTTTGAATTTCAAAATAGCAAAGAGAGTTGTGCGTACCCCACTAGTCAAGAACACAGACGCCTTTCTTAAGATTTAACACAGCAGCGGACATAGCAGTGCTGTTCCTAGAATGGGATAGGAATGTCAGAAATACGCTGTACAGGGTAAGACGCAACGACTTGTAACTGACCTCGCCGTCACCCCAGCTCCATCCACCGTAACTCTTGCCAATAGCATCACAGTAGTCTCCAATGCCACCGTTGGCTGGCTGAAGAGGGCAAGTATTGACAGGGTAGTCGGTGAGTACGAGCTCGCACTCGGTATACGTTTGAGGCACAGGCTTCGGGGCGGCAAGCACGCTAGTGAAGAAGAGAGTGGAGAGGAACGGAATGAACTGCATGATTGCTGACGTAGGCTGCTGGGAAGAGTAGTGGATTGATAATGAACTCTGACTTGATGGACACAACAAAAGATGTCGAGGCTGTTTATATAGCCTCTTGCCCTCCTCCATATAACATTGCGGCTTGTCTTACCGCGGGACTTACATGCTTCTTCTAGCAAACCGAAGGAAAGAGATTCCAGGTGGTAGCTTCTGTTGACTGGGATGGAGCTTGTAATGGGCCAAGAACTAGAGAAGTGGTCTGATAATCCCACCACCAGCGTGGAGCCCAAAAGTAATGCCTTCGTTATGCAATTCTCGTAAAATTGTTTCCATTCAACGGTGCAGAGTTTCAATGCGGGCAGGTAACACTGAATCTTGTGACTTTGGGGACTGAGCCAAGCTGATCGCCTCGGGAGAAATGCCATTTTTGGCAGCCATCATCTACTTCCATGAATGACGGTAGGAAACGTTCACGGTTCCCATGAGACATCAAACGAATCGGTGAGGCACTTTCCTCATTTATCAGCTTCCCGTCTAAACACGACCCGACCAGAGGTAAGATCGGCCGATGTGCGCTCCACTCCGATCTTGGCGCCAAGGAGATCCAGATCGAGATACCATTGCGAACTGTGCAAACCATAAGCGACGAGAACATCTTACTGCGTTAAGAAGCTCTGGAGAAATACGAAGGCTATAGAGCATGGGTCCGACACGGCCATCATCCGATCCTCGGCTTGCACGAGACAGCTTCCTCACGATTAAATCCACGCCTCCGCAGGGTTGTCAGCATGGTTAGCACTTCACATTTAACTTGCATTACCGATGGGAGAGGGGTAACAGCGCAACCCACATTTCTTGTCGCTCTCGCTGCTATGTCTCTGCCGCAATTACAATGTGTCTATGAAGTCCTTCCTACGCTTGGTGGTGATTCGGAGGTTAAACAAATAGAGAGCTATACTTGTTTCAATGGCAGCATACGAACAGCATCATCATAGATCTCTTAGAACGTTAATCTTCTTCTTTCTTCATAATCGCACTAATAGATCTCTAACAAGTCCGAGTCTTAAGCAACACGAAGCGCCAAGTTGCTTGGACCATTGTTCGTGGACTTCATATGTTGAGACATAAATTGGCCCACACTCCGGCGCAATTTCTCTTGATTGGCTACTTGTTGTTGATAATTTGAAATGTGCACGGCCGCATAGCCCCGCCTGTTGACGCTGCTGCTAGGGAAATGTTGGCATCCTTCAGATGTGAAAGCGACCGAATACGAGACACGCGAACAGTCCGAGAGCACTATAATACAGATTATTGGGAGAAAATATAATAATAATAGATACAAGAAATTTATTTGCATCCTTTTGAGTGTCAGAGCGGAGCTAAAAACTCATCTGTTTCCATGCCATTTACGACATGCAGAGGACATGCGACTACGCGTGTTACAGCTATAAAAATCCACCATTAAAGTCCAGTAACATTTGCTCGGGCCTTTATCTACAAGAGATACTAGCAGACTGTTAAGATGTGTAGAGCGCCGTGTCAGAACGAGATAAAGCGGTAAAGACCTTCAGATGAACGGCTGGTGGGGGATAGATGGGGATATAGTTCAGGCGGATGGAGACCACAGTCGTGAAGCAGCTAATCGGCTATATTATGTTTCACCATTCCCTCATGCATAGGAGTGATCAAAACTAGGTACAACATCAACGCCACAGACGCGTGCCAGCTGCGTACCTGCCGGTCAAAGATAAAGGCACCATGCCAGGGCATAACATGCGACAACGACAGTGCAGCGGGTTTCAGCTGCTCAATCGCGCCAAGGCTAACAATAGTGGAGCCTTGGTTAAGAGTCATAATATTTGTGGTCGCGCCAACAACCACATGGGGAACAAGCGTAGGGATGCGACTAATTGCAGCATTTTTGACAAATCATATGTCATGCTCACCCCGGTGACTTAGCCAGCTCGCAACTGCCGAACCTCGCGATCGCAGTATTGGATAGCGGTACTCTCATATCTCACCAACTGCATTCGAGCACTCGTAAACAGATAATACCTACCCGTCTCTATTATAAGTAAGCGCAGAAAGTTTATATAGAAAATGTGCTCCCTTCAATTCCACTGGCGTTAATATATTCTTTTACTTGGAAATAAATAGTAGAGATAGATATAAGGAAATAAACAACTAATTAAAGATAAATCCCCACTCACAATACGAACCGTATCTTGCTAGGAAAGGTATTCATATAAAATTAGTATTTGAAAAGTCCAGACAATGTTTAAGACACGGTGGGTAATCTTTTTTATCTATTTAAATCTTATAAGGTTTTGAGACAGATCGCCGTTTCTTACGACATTTACTAAATCCGCCATGCTATTAGCTCTCACATAGTGGCTGTTCAGATTAAACAAGAAACCCGCCATCATCGGCATCCGTAGTGCCGAACGACTTTGACCACAACATCCTTCCACAAGGCCAATGGCGGACATACTTAAGACCAGCATGGGTGCAAGAGTCTAATTGCTGGAGCAGGTGCATTTAATAGGGAGAAATCATGTTGCAACTGGTCATGAAAATTAATCGAACTAGGTTTACCGTAACGAGTGCCGTGAGGCTTAAAAGGGGAGTCGGCCGGCAGGTGCTTATGCCTTGCTAAGGTGATTAACTGTCGTACACAGATACAAAAATACATTCTGCAACAAAGTACTAGGCTGAAAAGGGGTCCATAGCGTATATACAACTAAATTTGAAGATCGTTTCGCGCGATTTGGGGCAGGCTCCACGTTCAGCCTTGACGGTGGGGGCTGAATATTCGGCCGGGGCCTAATCGTGTTTCCAAAATAAAGGTGTTTCCACCGCGAGATTCTGGCAAGGCTGGTGACCAAGGCGTCCCGGTATTTTTCCGGTTACAGTTTTCTTATAATGGAAAAGAAGCAATATTTTCATTCGCAGATCATTTCCAATAGCGAAACCCTCAGCTCAGGGTAAGTTGACAAAGACGATGCAGAAGACTGGCAGGAGACTAATAATGTGAGCGACCAATCAACATTGTATGCTGATTGTGTGGCGCGAGAAGGTGTGGCCACACAAGGTGCAACGCGCAGTTGCGGCTGCAGGCGCACCGCCCGATGACGTAGTATGCTTACGCAAATATCTAAATTAAGCACAAACCCACTGGTCACAAATAGCCTGCCTTCGCCCCCTTCTCACAGGGCTTTGAAAAGTCTACTTTTTGTATTTTTGCATGGATCACATGTGGGAACACGGTAAACTACGGTGGAAGTGGACTGCGATGTCGACGCCACAAAAGGATGGAGACCTTGAAATGTACGCCGCTCAAGGATCTCTTCTGTCCCCTCACTAAAAGATGGCTGATACAACAGGATGAGTGTTGATAGTGAACTTGGACCGAGACGCCGACATGAGTCGCCCTTCGAGCCGATTCAACTAAAAAGGCCCACATGGACCAAAAGGCCAGCCTTCCGTGGAAGACGGATATTTACCGCCTTTTCGGACGTGAAAAGTAGATTCGACGAAAGATTTCCAAGCTGGCGTGGAGGAATGATATGGTTCAGTATACTCGCTATTCTCATTCTGGTTCTTAACTTGGCAACGTTGATCTGGGCTGCTCTGAATCGGGATGACACCTCGTTCTCAACGGTGTCCACAATGTCCTGCGAAAAGGCAAAATCATCATCATGGTGGCTCAGCCTGCTTGTCAATTTTCTCGGATCTGCGCTCCTCGCCAGCTCCAATTACTGCATGCAGTACCTGAGCGCTCCGACGCGGGATGAAGTCAATAAAGCTCATGCCGCTCATTCATTTTTGGACATCGGAATTCTCAGCTTCAGAAACATTCGGAGCTTCAGTAAAACTAGAATGACACTATGGCTATTTCTTGCAACCAGCAGTGTGCCTTTGCACTTGGTGTAAGCGTTCATGCCTCAGTAGAGACACAAAAAAGCTAATTGACCATAGACAGAACTCCGCCGTCCAAAACATGCTAGCAACCCATTTTCATGATATTGCGGTTGTCTCGACTGAGTTCTTGCACGGTGGTGCCTGGCACAATCCGAAGACATCCGCAAGCATTTTGAATCATGTGTATGGTACGACCATGGGGGAACATCTAGACCGACTTCAGCATCTTGCTGCCAATGGCCAGATTCATAATTCAACAAGATGGTTCAACATGACTGCGGATGAATGCATCGAACGTTATGATACCAGGCCACGAGTGGGATTGGGGAGCATCCTCGCCGTGACAGATCAGCCAAAGAAGCAAAATGATACCGTCCTTGCGTATGAGGAGGGAGATCCCAGTGGAGGAGACTTCTGGGTATTCAACTCCCACATACAAACTGTTGACAACAACCTGGTAGTGGAAAACCTTCCAGGTCGTCCTCGGCTAGCCTACTGCCTTGCCTTGAAGGTTCCCGGGCGCTGTAGCGTCCAGGTACATGTGTGGTTCTTGGCGGTAGTATCATTTTGTAATGCTTTAAAGGTCGCGTGTATGGTCTTTACCCTGCGAGAGAAACGGGAACCGCTTGCCACAGTAGGGGACGCGATCGAATCATTCCTTCGAACGCCCGAAAGCTCTTCAGAGGGCATATGCCTCTACTCGGAGGCCGAGGTGAAAGACTTATTGAAGGCAAGAAAAAATGGAAATCTGGAGTGTGTCAACGCCAAAAAGTGGAATGGAAATCGGCTCTGGTATTATGAAGCCGTTAAAAGCCATCGCTGGCTAATATACACAAGCGCGTAAGTCCTGACATCTTCACCATTAGATAATGCTCTCACAAATAAGCAGATGTGCCATTACATATTTGTTGACCTCATTCACCTACAACAAAATCATGGTGAAATATAGAGGGGACCATGTGGGGACAGACTTTCGCACTGTGTGGCAACTGGGCCTTGGAAAACTTGACGCCCTGAATTCAGGTGGAACGGTCGACATCCTGCCGGCTCACACAACTTTCAGCTTGGACGATGATAAGACAGTCACATACTCGCAGCCTCGAGCTTGGGTCATGATGCTCATATCAAACATACCGCAGGCCATGTTCTCTGTCATTTATCTCCTCATCAACTCCAAGCTCACTGCAATGGTGTCGCTTCGGGACTGGACTTCTTTGGCATTGCGACGCCAGCCCTTGCGTGTCAGCAATCCCATTCCTGGTACAGGTCAAGTTTCCACATACTGGCTGTCTCTCCCTTACAAGTATAGCTTGGCGCTTGGGGCAGCTTCCACTCTCATGAACTGGTTCCTCTCCCAGAGCCTTTTCTTCTACCGCTACAAAGTGTTTGACGAGGACGGGCGGCCATGGCAGCATGAGAACCCGTTGGTCTCCTGGTCGGTGCGTGAACAGTTCAGTACTGGTCTTGGGTACTCGGCGCTCGGGATTGTCTGTGCCATGACTCTCGGCGGTCTGATCCTTGCAGCATTGTTGGTTTTATCCTTCCAGAGATGTGCGCCTGGACTTCCGCTCGGTTCCAACAACAGTCTCGTAATCAGTGCTGCTTGCCACGCCCCAAAGACAGATACGCATGCTGCGGAAAAACTGGTGATATGGGGGTCGGTTCGTGGCGAGAACAGCGAATTAGCGCATTGCACGATCACAAGCCAAGAGGCAGGGGTACCTAAGTCCGGATGTTTCTACGCGTAGTCAATACTGGACCTCAATACTCTGTATCGGCTTTTGAGAAGGCTTGAAATCGTATGGCTGGCCGATAAACCGGTGTGTGTGGCTTGACTTTTTTTTTTTTTTTTGAAAAAAAGAGCTACCTTAACACTGAGTAAACATGTTTCCAAAACACTGAACCGCCAGCATGCTTCCCAAAAACGCTGATGAGAGGATTCTGCGCCCAAAGGGTCAAGAGCGTCTGGACAAAGAGGACTGTCGCGCGATCTTACGGGCGGATAATGCCCTCGCGTCACGGGAGAGTGGGTGTGAATGTCCTGTTTCGAGCTGGTGTCGCGAAGCTTCAAGAAGTGACGCAGTCCGTGCGACGGAAAGCTTTGGGCCCTGTCCCATGACTCACAGCTGCCCGTTAGCCCCCGAATTTTGTTTGGCTTCGCCATGTTCGGTCGATGGGTGGATTACGTCATGGGGACCCTGGCAGGCAGAAGTCACAGCGCCTTCCTTCCAAAGCTTAGGTCGCCCTCCACCTCACCACCACTCGTCTTGCCCGACATCCTCCGACAAACATCCATCTTATCCAAGCATGGCTTCGCCAGAAAAGGCCTCAGAAGCACCTCTCGCGCTCAACCCCACCCACGTCTGCGGCGATGGTAACGGCATTTTCCAGCTGAACCTCCAAGCATGCAGGGAATATACTGTCTGGAAATCCTCACCTACGACACTGAACGCTCTCTCACTTTTGCTTGCAACATTCCAATCTCCCTTGAACGCCCCGAAACAGCTTCTTCCCCATACCTCTTTCCGAAGCTGGACCTGATCGACGCCCTGCGCTCCGGCTTTCTCGAACTCGTCGAACAAAATACGCAGCAAGTCGTCCAACTCCCACCAACTGCATACTCGCCTTCCGTGGGGCATGTTGACATACCGCCACATCCACGCCCTGGCCACACGCAGGCCATCATCTTTATTGTCTTCGACACCAGTGCGAAAATCTGGAAGGGCATTTTGCATCCTTACAAGAAGTACAACTTGCGCTTATCAGCTTCTGATGGTGACGCATGGTGCTACTACGCCTCTCTCTCTAACGAGGCTTCCTCTTCAGACTTCTCCACAGACCGCTCACAAGACAGTGGTCTTCCAGTCCGCCGCGACCCCGGCATTATCCACTTCACCGTCTACGACGACCCCATCCCGCCCACCTGCTCCGCCGTTTTCAGTCTCGCATCTCCCGTCTGTCATCGTTCCGGCACCCCGCAGTTCAAATTCATCACCGAAATCACGCTCGATGCCTCGGACGCCGCAAAGGGTCCTGTTACCGTGGGTCTCTACGACGAGCCCTTCAATACCGACAAGATGGGCTGCGCCAGTGAATACATTCGTTTCGTAGATACGGAGACTGGCGAAGAGGTCTACTTCCCTCACGTACGCCCGTGCTGGGGCGAACTCATTCCAACCCCACCTGACTTCCCCGCGGATGACTTCTTTGTCGAACTGTGGCCGGACGGCAAGCCCTGGCGGCATGAGTACACGCTTGAGCTTGAAGAGCAATACCGTGACAACCACGGCGGCCTCGAATTGTTAGAGCTGGGAAAGAAGTACAGAGCTGAGCTTTCGAGCAAGCTGAAGTCCGGTTTCGCGATGTGGATGCACGGCAGGAAGGAGGACGTGTTGAAGGGGACCGCCGAAGAGAAGCGGGAGAGGTGGGCTCCTGGACCGAGGGGAAGGCCAGCCATCAGCATCCGGCAGCTGAATGAGCCTGTGGAGTTTGATGTTGTTGATTAATGAGACACGGATCCATTCAATAGGGACAAGTATCACTTTCCGGGATGGTGAACGTGAGGATTTTTAGTATTCTCATTGGCTTCATTCATTACTGAGTTTCATTCACTCCATTAAATCAATCTTTTTAGGATGGTATTGACGTGAAATTCGTAGAAAACGTGAAAGGGCCCATTTGAAGTAAAATCAAGCGCTAAACCCTATAGCAATCTCTCATTGCATGCGGTGCGCCCTTGCTGTGAAGTACTTCCTACCACCACAGGCAAGATGCATCTCTTTCGCACCAGACTATCTCCTTTCAGATCAGCAGCCGGTCAAGCCCGAATATCGTCATAGTGTCACATAGATCCACTCTCCCTACTACATTAATTTCACTTCTTATTAGTCCAAGACTCCATGCTAATGTTCGATTACAGAAATGAGCATTGGCAATGGACGTAGATAGAGTGGGTCTAATCCAAGTAATATTCAGAAATTTTGAGCTAGCATAGACTATTGGGAGCCTCATTCAAATATTCATATGTCTCGTGGATGCATGTGAGATCAGAGGTTTGAAGATCATCAGCTTCGTCACAGCTTCGTCACTGTGTCAACGGCTGAGGTACACAACTAAGGAGATGGACTGTGATGTACTGAATTACCCGAAGAGAAGGCACTAAATACTCACCTTGGGGCTCTCATCTGCTAAAAGCTGGATCTGGATGTCTCATAGTTCAGATTGATGGATCATGACAATGACGGCAATGAGAAATCGGGTCCGTCCTCAGTGGATTTTCCTGTATGCACGTAAATTTATTACTAATAATCCGACATTTGCGTCCGGACAGGAGCTTCAACTACCCACGTACAAAAAATACAGAGGATTGCTGCTCACTGTGATGAAGTCGTCCAGGTGTGGCACCTGTTAATTTTCTCAACATTGTTTACAGCCACTCCACCGCTTGCATCAGTAATTGACCTTGCCTACTGGTTAATATCATATTTCGAGCTCAGAAAGGAGAAAAGTGTGAACGTGATTCGGGTACATGGCTCATCCTCTGGAGGCATCTTTCATGTAGTCTGTTTCCTGTATTCGCAGCGTTCTCGATAGGATTGGCCTTTCTGTAGGTTTTATCTCCTGATGAGATCCTCCCCATGCATGAGCAGCTGAAGCAAACGTCCGATTTTCAGAGATAAAATGTTTCTTTAACGTCTGGAAATGTGCTTTAAGTGCTTATTTGGGGACAACTCAGTTAATGAACGGCAGAACGACTGACTATAGGTTAATAATGACTGATGAACAATCGATTACAGAAAGATTTGCCAGAAAACAGGTCAACTGCTGCAGAAAAACAAAATCTGGTGTATCCTGCCTAAAATTGCGCATAAACTACAAATAGCTATCAACAAACGGAGGACTTTTCCCCAAGTCTACAAAACACCACGAACCCAACACCAAAACCCACAACCAAAACCGAAATCTATCTAAATCTCCCCCCACCCTTCACTCGAGACGATCTCATACGACTCCGGCGTCGGCGCGTGATCCGGCGACATGTCGCCCAGCGATGACGAATCATACCCTCCTCCTCCTCCCTTCTCCTGCTCCTGCCCCAGCAACACCCCCCCATCCTGCACCGCACCTTCCTCCCCCAGCAGCAACGCCTTCAACACTCCCTCGCCACCCCTCCACAATTCCTCCACATTCCTACACAGCATCTCCACCATACGCCCCACCACATCTCTCGGTACGCGCTCCTCCGCGAACAAGACATCGATCCTGATGCCCCCTACTCCTGAACTCCCACCACCGCTGCTGCTGTTTCCTGGCACCGGCGTCGCCGTGACCTGCACGTCCGCCGCATCCCACGGCGCGACGGCCCAGCCGAGCTCGCACTTTGTCGTGGTTGCTTCCTCCTTCTCCGCGCCTTCACCCCAACCAGGCAAACACCCCTCATCAAACGTCTTCGCCGCCGCGATATTATTCCACAACAATAGCGATCCGAACCTGGGCAACACTTCTCCATCGCCACCACACCAATCCGTGCACCGCCTCACCAGCCGATCCGTCTCCAGACACTCGTACGGCAGCGCGGCGAGGCGGGCGTCTTCGACGGCGGAGAGGAGGGCGTCTGCTGATGCTGCTGATGCTGCTACATCCTCGTCGCCACCAGCAGTAGTGTTGACGTACTTCGCCAGTTTGACCCGCACCGGCACCGTGTTCAGCGTCGGCCCGCAGACGGACGCGGCTGACGACAGGGGCAGGGCGCGGTTGGCGATGGCGCGGGCGAAGACGACGTCGTTGTTGTTGTTGTTGTTGCCGGACACGCTGCGCAGGACGAGGGCCCAGGCGGTGTGGAAGAGGGTTTCGAAGCTGTGTTTGGTCCTGGTCGTGGCCTTCTGCTGCGGAGCGGGACCGCCGAGGGCGATGTGTTGCGTGATGTGGCCGTTGACGGCTGTTGTCGTTGTCGTTGCCGTGGCTGCGTTGTCGACAGCAGTGTGTGAGTCCCGGCGTGCATCAGTAGCGATAATGGGCGTCATGCGGGAGCCCTTCAGCTCGGAGCGCCAGAAAGCCTCGGCGCCGCTGGTGGATTGGCGGTGGCGCCAGGCGTGGAGGTGGCTGGGGAAAGATGGCACAGGAGCGAGGTCGCGTTGCTCGTAAGCGGCGCGCAGGTCGTCGAGGATGAGGGGAAGGGTGATGCCGTCGTAGAGGCTGTGCGGGATGCGGATGATCAAGCGGCTGGCGTTGAGCTGGCGGTGGATGAGGAAGGAGAAGCGCAGGCCGTGCTTGCCGTATTGTTCTGGGCGCTGGCGGCTGGCTGAGATGATAGATGCGGTTGCTTCTTCCATGTCTTTGTCTTTGGCGGTGGTGTGCTCCTCCCACTCTGGCTCATGGGAGCGGAAGACGACTTGCATCAGATGCTGCTTGAACGGCACGAAGACGGTTCGCAGGATCCCGTGGTGGGCGACGACGCGGGAGCAGGCGTCCCTGACGCGCTGCTTGTCGATGGGCCCGGCGAAGTGGAGCCAGACGTGGTTGACGGTGCCCTGGTGGGGAGACATTGCGGCCTCGGTCATGGCCTTCTGCACCGACGTCGCTTCAATGACGTCTTCGACCTCGTTTCGGCTCACCGCGAGCGTTTCTCGCAGGAACGCATCGACGTCCGCGCCTTCAGGGAACGCAGAGAAAGGCTTGTACTCGGTCGTTGGCTCCATCTCAGCCGAGGGCTCGCACTTGGCGGCCATTTCCGCGAACCGGGGCCGTCTCATGATGTCGGCGACGGAGAGAGACAGGCCGGCCTGGCGGGCCTTTGCCGCGAGCTTCATGGCTGACAGCGAATCTCCGCCCAGCTCGATGAAGTTGGCGTCGGTGTGCACGGCGTCGACTTGGACGTCCAGAACCCTGGCCCAGAGGGACTGCAGGATCTGTTCCATCCCCGTCGTTGGCGCGTTCCCGGTGATTGCTTGAGCTTCGAGTTCGCGATTCTGGTTCATCGCTGCTGCCATTTGCCGAAGGGCTTTGCGGTCGACCTTGCCAGCGGCGCTCAGGGGAAGTTGTGGGAGCGGCAAGAAGACGCGAGGGACCATGTATGATGGGAGGGCTTCCCCAAGCTTGGCCTTTGCATCAGCGAAGACAGCTGTGAGTTTGTCCTGATCTTCCATCTCTTGGTCCCCAAGGGCGACAAACGCAGCCAAGTAAGCAGACGCTGCATTTCCCCCCTCCGGCGTCACCAGCTCAACCGCAACATCGCACTTCTTCTCCACCGTCCCCACACAGCGCCTCAGATTCTGCTCAATCTCCGCGAGCTCGATCCTCTGCCCACGCACCTTGATCTGAGCATCCTTGCGCCCAACAAACTCCAGCGTCCCGTTTCCGTCCTCAGCATACCTTACCAGATCGCCCGTCTTGTAGAAGCGCTGATCGGTCCGGCCAGCAAACCTCTCTCTCCACTTCGGAGCAGCGATGAAAGCAGCAGCCGTCTTGTCGGCATCATCGACGTAGCCACGACCGACGGTCGGCCCCTCGAGGACCAGCTCGCCGACGGCGCCCACCGGCGCCAGCCTGTCGTGCGTCTCCGGATCGACGACCCACGCGCGGACGCCGGACAGCGGGCGGCCGATGTTGCGCGGGTTCGATTCAACATCCATAGGCGCCATGGAGCAGCAAGCCACGGGCGTGCACTCGCACGGCCCGTACGCCTGTAGCAGTGTAACCTTCTCCCCCCACGTAGCCAGCAGCTCCGCCGTCGCCGCCTCGCCGCCCAGCACGACCGTCTCCATCGACGGGACGGCAGCGGGGTCGAGGACGCCGGCGAGCGAGGGCGTCATGAGCGCCCAGTTGGCGCGGCGCGCGGCGATGGCGGCGGCGGGATCGTCCTTGCGCTGCGTTTCGGACAGGACGCATGTGCAGCCGCCGGCGGCCCAGATCATGAGCGTTTCGATGATGGAGGCGTCGAAGCTGTAGGACGCGAACTGCATGGCGCGCGTGCGGGCGTTGACGTGGGCGCGCGCGGCGAAGGAGAGGGCGCCGGCGACGATGGCGCCGTGGGTGATGACGCAGGCTTTGGCGGCGCCGGAGGTGCCGCTCGTGGTGACGACGTACGCGGCGTCGGAGGGGGTGATGGTGACTGGGGGGCAGGGGTCGGTGAGAGTGGTCATCTCGTCTAGGACGAGGCAGTGACGGACGGTGTGGGTGAGGAGCGCGTCGAGGCCGGTGGACACGATGACGGTGGTGGCGTGGACTTTGCGGCAGATGGACTCGAGGCGGGCGAGCGGGTGCGCGGGATCGAGGAGTAAGAAGGCTGCACCGGCTTTCATCACACCCAACATGGCCACTTGCGTCCACTTGGACTTTTCGAAGCAGAGCGGCACAGTGTTTCCGGGACCGATGCCCATGGATGTGGTTAGGTGGCCTGCAAGTTGGGTCGCTAGCACATCCAGCTCGGCGTAGGTCAGGTCGCCATCCCAGGAGGAGACGGCTGGTGCGTTAGGTCGGATACGTGCATAGTGTTTGACGAGATCATGCATGCAGAGGTCGGCGTAAGGCACAGGGTCCAGCTCACGGTTGAACTCGGAGACCTCCTTCGTGTCTTCGGGGCTGAGGTAGTTGACGTCGTGAACTGTTTGGGCAGCTCCGTTGCCGATCTGCTGGAGCACATGTTCAAATTGTCCGAGTAGACGGTGAGCTTGTCTGTTGCTGGTGAATTGAGAGTCAAAAACGAGGCTGGCGTCGATGTTGCCGTCGGGCAGCATTTGGCAGAGCAGAACGAAACCGTAGTTGGTGAAACTAGAGACCAGCTGGGCGTCGTTCTCACTCATAAAGAAATTGTCTGAGCTATCCTCATCCTCGGCGCTAGCAGGCTGCACGACCAACAGGCTGTTGAAAGTGCAGGCTGCATGGGCGCTGGCGCTGACTTGGCGGATTCGCTGCAGTCCAAGGTGCTGCACTGGATTGATGCTGACGTCTTGTGCATTCTTGGCCAGTTCAGTAACTGTCATGGTACCATCCAAAATAAAACGTAACGGAATTGTGGCGAAGGTGGGGCCGATCATATCTTGGATACCGTCGACCGGGGCCGTTCTTCCGGAGAGGGTTACGCCGATAACCACGTCTTTCGAGTCGGTGTAACGGCTGACGAGCAGCGCCCAGGCAGTTTGAATCATGGAGCTTGATGTGTTCTCACCGCTGCGCCCGAGGATGATGCGTCTTGTTTCGTGGGAATCGGGCTGTGGGACGATGGAAGACGACACGGGTGGGAAGGCAGTGCGTTCTGCACCTTCCAAGTAGGAACGCCAGTAATCCTCCGCCTCCTGTGGATGCAGTCCTTGATGGAGGTACTGGATGAATTTGTTGTACGGTGGTGACTGCGGCACGGTTTGATCCTGGTATAGGGAGTAAAGTTGCTGTAAAATTAGTTTCCAACTCCAACCATCAAAAACAGAATGGTGGGTGAACAAAACAAGGTGCTGGGATGTTCCTTGAATCACGACACCAGCGCGAACAAGGCGGTTGCCGGACGACATCGGGATTTGTCGAGCTTCCCTGAGGTAGTCGTCCAAGTTGTTCCCGGTTGCGATTTCTGCTTGTTCCTTGACGACAACTTGTACGGATCCCCATCGGTCCAACTGAGTGATCCTTGTGCGCAGTACAGGTGTGATGGCCACGAGAGCCTTCCAAGCAGCTACAGCTCTCTCGGTATCAGGAACCGGAATGACGCATTCAGCAACGTACGCTCCTCGTTCAACGTTTGACAGAGCCATGAGGCCCTCCTGCAGAGGAGCGCAGGGGTAAATGTCTTCAATCGCGTCAGCGTCAATCTGGCAGGCTGCAGCCACCTCCTCGACCAAGGCGTTCGTGTTGCCATTCATCATGGAGAAAGGCTCGATAGCATCATAGGATGCAGCGGTCGGTTCGGGCTTGGTTGCCAATTGCGCCATGTCCGCCAGCACTGGATTCTCGAATATATCCTTGACTGTGAGGACAATATCCTGCCGGCGGGCAGCTGCAACGAGCTTCATGGCATCCAGGGAGTCTCCACCGAGGCGAAGGAAGCTGTCGGAAACGGTGATATTGTCAAGTCCGAGGACGGACATCCAGAGAGCAAGCAAACGCTGCTCCATTTCAGACGGTCCACGGGTCACCTCTTGTTCCGAGATCTCCTTCGCATCCGGAGTTGCTTTTTTAGTCGCCACCATCTCCCGTAATTGCAGACGGTCAATGTTGCCAGCCGTAGTCCGGGGCAGGCTGCGCACTGGGAGGAAAGCCTTGGGAAGCATGAACGATGGCAGAGCGCGGCTGAGCCTGTCTCCGGCGCTGGTAACAAGCGCATCGAGGAGCTTCTGCGCAACATCGTCGTCCACGTATCCGTGCTCGAGCGCCACGAACGCCGTAAGAGATCCTTCATCCGTGACCTGCACAGCAACCTGCCGGTCCCACATGACCTGGCTCACCATCTTCTCCACGTCGCGGGCCACGAACCGACGGCCATCTTGCAGCTCAACGAGCTCTTGCATGTCTCCAATCACCTCCACCTCGCCATCTTCTCCGAGCCGGGCGAGCTTCCCAGTCGCATACACCCGCTTCGAGCGAGCAAAGCCAAGCTTCTCCAACCACGCAGGCTGCACGGCACTATGTCCAGCCGCGGCCTTCTCAACAACAAGCTCGCCAACAACGCCAATCGGCACCAGCGCATCGCGGTTCCGAACATCGACAACCCACGCATCGCGCTGCCGGAGACTGTCCAGGTCCTCCGCCGCCAGCAACTCGACGTCCGCAACAGCCAGGTCAAGCCCGCCATCCGCAGCTGTCAACAGCTGCCTCAACACGTGCTCAAACTGCGCAACCATGCGCTCGACCAGCGGTGCCCCCAGCACCCTATCATCATGCGTCGCGCTGGCTTTCACATTCGCCTTGTTGTCGTCGGCGTTGTCGAACACGCACTCCAGCAGCAGCGGGTACGTATGGAAAGTGCCCGTGTCGAGCACGCGGCCGTCGTGGACGAGGTCGCAAACTAACTCCTCCTCCTTCTCACCGACCTTTTTCTTCCTCTTCTCCGGATTCAGCGTCAACAGCGTCCGGAACTCGCACGCCGCGGCCGCGTCGTCGCCGAGGCGCCGGATGGCCTGCAACCCGCGGTGGCAGTGCGGTATCGCCGCCGCGCTCTGATCTTGGACGCGGCTCAGCAGCGCTGAGACGGTTCCTTCGTCGTCGCCACCACTGAGGTTGATGCGCAGCGGCGCCGTCGTCAGCGTCGGGCCGGGGATGCCGGCGACGTCTGCGACGGGCGTGAGGCGGCCGGACTGCGCGATGCCGAGGGTGACGTCTGTGGACGATGCGTAGCGGGACAGGACGAGAGCCCAGGCGGTCTGCAGGAGGGTGGCGGTCGTGATGTTGCTGCTGCTGCTGCTGCGCGGCGACAGTGGCAGGGAGATGGCGCGGGAGACGGTGCGGGAGGCGCGGGGGGTGTAGTCGAGGAGGAGGGGGAGCGGGAAGGGCGTGGGTGTGGTGGCGCCGGCGAGGGTGGTGCGCCAGAAGGTGTCAGAGGCGGCGGGGGAGAGGGTGTTGAGGTATTTGATGAAGCGGCTGAAGGGAGGAGGGGGTGCGCTGAGTGATTTGCTGGAGGAGTGGTAGGCGGCGCTGACGGCGTCGGAGAGCATGGCTACGGTGGCGCCGTCGTAGATGGCGTGGTGGGCGGTCCAGATGAAGGTGGTGGTGCTGTTGTTGCTGGTGATGAGGGCGTAGCGGGAAAGCTCGTCTCCGAAGGACATTGGGATGGTTTGGTTGCGCTTGACGTAGGCGTCGACGCTGGATGCTGTTCGCCAGTTGATCGCTGGCTTGGATGCCTTCAGCACAGCTTGGAACATGCCTGCCTCGCCAAGGTGGACGATTCTAGTGCGGAGGATGTGGTGAGTTGTCACGACCGACTCCCACGCAGCCTTCAACCGCTCTATGTCTGTCCCACGCTTCAGATCAAGCACGATCTGCGCGACGTAAGAGCCAGCCTGCTTCCCTGATGCGGTCATTAGTCCTTCCTGCAAAGGTGTGCAGGGATACATGTCTTCCACATCGCCCACCATGACCTTGCAGTCAGCCGCGGCATAGCGGATGTGTTCTGAGGATGCATCCGGCATCAGTGAGAACGGAGCGGCGTCTGTGTCGTTCTTCTTGTCAGCGCCGCCCAATGCCGTCATGCATTGCGCCATGTCGCGGAGGACAGGCATCTTCATGATGTCGACCACGCGCAAGGAGAAGCCCTCCCGCCTGGCGACACCCGAGAGCTGCATTGCCGTGAGGGAGTCACCTCCCAGTCTGAGGAAGTCGTCCTGCACGCCGACTTCTTGCGGATCGTCCAAGCCGAGCGACTCAGCCCACATCTCCTGGAGCCTCCGCTCCATCTCCGACGAGTGAGTTTCCGATCCCGATCTCGCCGGGACATCTTCGTCGACGGCACCGAGCTCTCCAGCCGCAGCCGCAGCCGCAGACCCAGAAGAAGAACCGCGACGACCGACCGCCTTGAGAACATCCCGCACAACCCCCTCCCCATCATCCACCACCAGCCTCCTCACCACCTCCTCAAACCGCCCCACCATCCCCTCCACCTCCGCCCTCCCCATCGCCCCCGACGCATACACCACCTCGACCTCCACCCCCCTGCCATCCGCCTGTGGCTCGCACACCACCGTCACCGGATAGCTGTACGAGCTCCCCACCTCCACGGCCTTGGACTCAACCACCCACTCATCCGCCCCATTATCGGCCTTCGGCGGCTGCACAACAAACAAACTCCTCACCCCCGCAACCGCAGCCCTCGCTGCCACATCGCGACTCCGCGCAAGCACGCCCTGCACCCCGCGCAGCCCCAGCGCCTCATGCGGCGCCATGGCCGCCGCGTCGTCCTGCACGCGCAGGAGGACGGCGGACAGCTTCTCGTCTGCCGCGGCACCGAATGCGATGCGAACAGGGACAGCCGCGATGGTCGGACCCGCGAGGGCGTCGGCGATGCCGGGCAGCGGCGCTTGGCGGCCCGAGACGATGGCGGCGAAGAGGATGTCGTGGGTGGAAGTGTAAGAGGCGAGGAGGAGGGCCCAGGCGGTGCGGAGGGTGGTGGCGAGGGTGACGGGGGTGGTGTGGGAGGAGGAGGAAGAAGGGGGGAGGCGGATGGTGAAACGGCTTTCTGTGTCGGGGGAGGCGGTAGTTGTAGGTGGGAAGGGCGTGGCGGTGGCGTTGGAGAGGTAGGTTGACCAGAAGGCGGTGGTGGCGGGGGAGGATTGGACGGTGGTGAGGTAGTCGATGTAGTTGCGGAAGGGGACGGGGGTGGGGGATGGGGTTGGCGTGGTCGTGCCGCTGCTGTGGTAGAGGGTGCGGAGGCGCTGGAGGAGGAGAGAGACGGAGAAGCCGTCGTACAGCGTGTGGTGGGCGAGCCAGACGAAGGAGCGGGTGCGAGAGGCTCTGTCGCTGATGATAGCCACCCTGCTCGCGGAAATGGTGGAGGTATGTCTGCTCTGGGCGAGGAACGCCTTCAAGTCATGGCTCTGCTCCCATTCCACGGCCTTCTTGCGGAGCACCACCTGCATTGGTCGAGGCGGTTTAGTTTGCACCGTTTGAAAGATGACGGTGCGGAGGATCGTGTTTTCCTGAACACACACTTCCCACGCGGCGCGGAACTTGTCGAAGTCGAAGTCGCTTGGGAGCTTAACGGCATGATATGCCATGTAAGCGGTGGGGTTCTTCGCCGACTCAACCACAAACGCCTCTTGCAGCGGTGTGGCAGGATAGATGTCTTCGATCTCATCCTCGCTCTTCAGCTCGCAGGCCGCAACAGCCTCAGCTCGAATCGATGCCGCCAGACCGCCGATCAGATCAAACGGCTTGGACGTTGGGGCCTCATCAAGCTCCAGAGGAGTCTCAGCCTGCATCGTCTTGGCCAAGTCCCTCAGAATAGGATTCCGCAGGACCGAGGCAACAGACAAGCGCATGCCCTCAGCCCTGGCCGCCGCCACCAACTTCATTGCGAGGAAGGAGTCGCCTCCGAGATGGAAAAAGTTATCATCCATCCGCACCTCTTCAGCAGCGAAGCTAGGCAGCACGGCCGCAAGCATGGCTTTCAACTTCATCTCGACAAGCGACTCAGGGGCGCGCCCCTCCCCCACCGCCATCCTCGCGGCACGCTGCTTACTCCCCAGTTCAGCCGCCATGGCGCGCAGCTTCTTCCGATCCAGCTTCCCCGACGACATGCGTGGGAACGGCTCGTCGGTGACGGCCACGATCGTCGACGGCACCATGTAGCGCGGCAGGCGGCTCGGCAGCTTCGTCTCGAGCATTGCCACCGTCTCCGCAACGTGATTATCTGTAGCACCGACAATTTCGACCATCAGGACGAGCTTCGAATCGACCACCTCGACCGCCAGGGGTACGGTGGTCGGCAGCACGAGTGCAGCTTGTTGCTCGATCTCGGACAACTCGACGCGCTGCCCGCGCACCTTGACCTGCGAGTCGTTGCGCCCGACGAACTGCAGCTCGCCGTCCGCTTTGAACCGGACCAGGTCACCGGTGCGGTAGAAGCGGCGCAGCTCTGCGGACGGCGTGGCAGCAAGGAAGTCCGGTTTCTCGACGAACGCAGCGGCCGTTTTGGCATCAGCGTTCAGGTAGCCTCGTGCGAGACTCGGTCCCTCAAGCCAGAGCTCTCCCGCCGCGCCGACCGGCACGAGGCGCGGGCGCGACGAGGACGCCGTCTCAGGATCAACGACCCACGCGCGGCAGCAGAAGCTCCTCCCGATCGAAAAGCGATCCGACGACGGCTGCACAGCCGTCTGGAAGGTAGCGTAGACAGCCGTCTCGGTCGGACCGTACGCCTCGACGAGATGCTCAACGCCTTGGGGCGGGGCCCAGGCGCGGAAGATTCCCTGCTTGATGACCTCGCCGCCGGTAATGACGGTTCGGATGGTCGGGATGGACGACGCCGGCGCGAGGATGTCGAGCATGGTCGGCGTCATGAACATGGTGTCCGGACGGAGGGCGTTGATGGCGCGCGCGACGTCGTTCATGCGCTGGGCGTCGGATATCTGGCACACGCAGCCGCCCGTCGTCAGCGTGCTCCACAGCTCGAAGATACTGGCGTCGAAGGTGTAGGCTGAGAATTGGAGCACGCGGGATGATGGGGTCAGGTTGATGAGCGGGCTGTAGCGCGTCGAGCTGGCGAGGAATTGCGAGTGCTGCATCATGATGCCTTTGGGGACGCCGGTTGTCCCGGAGGTGAAGAGCACGTAGGCGAGGTTGTTGGGCGTGACGGTCTCGTGGAATTTGCGGACTGGGAGGTTCTTGATGAAAGAGGGCGAGACTATGACTTGCTGTACGTGCTCCTGGAGTCGGGCTGCCGTCTTTGGTGATGCCACGACGATGTTTGCTGAGGTATCTTTTAGTAGCCCGAGGAGTCGGTCAAGTGGCGCCTCTGGATCGAAGGGGACGAAAGCACCGCCAGCCTTCAGGATCGAGAGCATGGCGACGACAGTCCAGGTGGACTTCTCCATGCACACTGGAACAATGCACTCGGGACCAACTCCCAGATTGTGCAAATGGCCTGCCAGCTGTGAACTGAGCTGGTCAAGTTCACTGTAGGATAGCTTGCCGTCCCATCCATACACAGCAGGGCGATCTGGCTGCTGCTTGCTGAACTGCTGAATAAGGTGGTGAATGCAACTGTTGACGGGAGCACTGGATGCCAGCTTTGCGTTCCACTCTTTCATGCTGGTCAGGTCTCTATCGCTAATCACCTCGAGATCACCGACTGCAGAGTACGGGTTCTTGACGATGCTCTCTACCACCTTTGACACGGTGGCAGCAAGGTTCTCTGCCTGAAGCTTCGAGATTTTCGAAGTCCAGTACTCAATGACGAGGTCGATTCCAGTGTCAGAAACATAGCCGAGGAACGTGGCGGCGTACTAGAAGGGAGAAAGACGCTCCGTTAGCAAAGAATCCTTCTCATGGCCAGTGGGTATTGCAAGAGGGTTTGTGCTTCCGTCTGGAGGAGAATCCCATTCTCCCATAGCAATCATCCACCCCGATATTTCAAAAAACAAACGAAAATGCGCTTACCTCCGTCGGATCCATCTCCCTCACAACCCTCACCTCGACCCCCTCTCCCCTCTTCTCTCCCCCCACCACCCTCTGCAACGACATCGCCGTCCCGAACAACACCTCGCCCCCCTCACCCGCACCACCCATCGCATGCACCACATCCGCCAACGGACACTCCCGATACGGCATCTGCTCGATGCCATCATCCTGCACCTTCCTCAAACACTCCAGCACCGTCGCCGTCGGCGGCAGCCGCGCGCGGCAGGCCTGGATGTTCGTAAACACGCCGAGCGCATCCTCGGCGGCATCGACGGCGCCGCGGCCGCTGCTGAGGTACCCGAAGACGGGGTCAGAGGAGGTGTTGGTGTAGGCGCGCAGGACGAGGGCCCAGGCGGTTTTGAGGAGGTCGGAAAGCGTGAGCCCATGCAGGCGGCAGAAGGATGTTGTGGTGGCGGCGTTGATGGGGGGCGTGACGGGGGCGAAGGAGAGGGTAGGGTTGGCGGAGTTGTTGTCGCTCCAGGGGGGCAGGTGGCAGGGTTGGGCGCCGGCGAGGTGCTGGGTCCAGTACTGCAGGGACTGTGTGTGCGAGGAGGGGGGTGGGGAGGTGATGTGCTCGATGTAGCTGCGGTAGGAGAGGCGCGAGGGGAGGAGGGAGCCAGTGGGGGTGTAGGCGTGTTGCAGGTCGCGCGTCAGGATGCTCGTGCTGCTGCCGTCGATGCAGACGTGGCTGATGTCGAGGCGCAACTGGAGCGTGGTGGAAGGATTTTTTCCGGGCCTGGCTACGAGGAGGCGGTGCTCTGGCTGGCTGGCAGCCCACGGCTCGACGGGATGCGCTTCGACGTCGTAGACGTGAGCGATTGCCGCTTTCGCTTGGCGGAGCACGACTTGGTCGAAGCTGCCGTCGCCGCGCACGCTCTCGACGAACACGGTCCGCAGCGCCGCGTGCCGGTCGATGACAGCCTGCCACGCGCGCTCGAGACGAGGAACGTCGATATTGCCGTTGGCCGATTGGACCTCGAGGAAGAGCTGCGAAGTGTAGCTGCCCCTGTCGCCAGCCCGGCTCAACAACATGCCGTTCTGCATCGGCGAGCAGGGATACGCGTCTTCCACCTCCTCCGCCTCCACACCCATGCCCGGCAACACCTCCCGCGTCAGCCGCGCCGTTTCCGCCGGCTGTGCCCTCAGCAGCGGAAAGCGATCCTCCTGCTGCTGTTGCGTCGGCAGGGCACCCAACTGTGGCGCCACGGCGGCGAGAACGCTCTCGCACTCGCGCATCCACTGCCCGATGCGTTCGCGGTGCCGCATACGCGCGTTCATGGTGAAGGACAGCTTGAGCCGGCGGCCGCCGTCGACGACGTTGCCGAGGATCTCGACGAGGCCGAAGCGCGGCAGCGCGGTGCCGAAGCCGTCGAGGTGCATGAGCGTCTGGTTGGGGACCTCGGTGAAGAGGCTCTCGGCGCGCTCCAGCTGCTGGTATTTGCCTGCGTAGTTGAACGTGATTTCCATGGGCGGATAATGTAGGCTGGCGGCGCCGTAGTGCTGCTTTTGCTGGCGGCTTTTGTAGTAGTGCGAGGCGAAGTGCGCGAGACCTTTGTCGGGGAACTGGGCGCGGAGGGCCTTGATCTCGCGGATGGTGTCGGCAGGGCTTTTGTACGTCTTTTGCGAGACTACCATGGGCAGGATCGTGGTGAACCAGCCCACCGTGGAGGAGAGGTCTATGGTCTCATCCCAGGATGGTTCTCTGCCGTGGCCTTCGACGAAGAAGGCTGGGACTGGTCTTTCGGGGAAAACGGCGTGGAAGGCAGACATTGTAGAAGCAAGCAATACGTCCACTGCCTCAACCTCGAGAGAAGACTGGCTTGCAGCACCAAGGATCATGGATGATAGCTTCTCATCCAACACCAGCACCTCAGTGACTGCGTCTCCGTAGGAGTTTGGCAGCTTGTTCATGCCCCAGAAGCCGTAGTCAGGTTCAGGAAGCTCGAAAGGTAGCTGCTGTGGCGGAAGACTCCGAATGTATCTTTCTTGGAGCTTGCACCATTTCTGGAACGAGCATCCATTAGTAGGAGCAATGATTCCACCTCTTGTGATGTGCTCCTCCAGCTGGTTCAGGATGACACGCCACGACACGAAGTCGGTTACGAGGTGATGGGCGCAGACAAACAAAAGCTGCTCCTTTCCACCTCTGGTGGTCATGAGGTCGGCGCGGATAAGGGGACCGTACTTAATATCGAGATCTCGTTGCGCGTCCTTGATGATGGGCATCAGCTCTGATTCAGAGGTGCTGTTGACGATATGAGAGCAGAGTTGATAAGACTCCAGCACCTCGTCAGAGATGTACTGGAACCAGCATCCACGCTTCATCTCGAAGAACCGAGCTCTCAACATCGGGTTGTGCGAAACGACTGCCTCGAGCGCATTATCGATGGCATTCCGCGTGACATTTCTGTTCAGGCGGAGCAGGAAGCTGATGTTGTCCTGGTTGTCCCCCTTGGGCGAGAGGTGGAAGAACAACTGCTGGATCGGAGAGAGCTTGAAAGGTTCCCCCTCATCCCCCTCGTCGTCGGTGGAAGGCAACGATTCGGTCTTCGGAATGAGCTCATCGACCATTCCAGAGGTGATTTCCGCAATAGTCTTCTTCTGAAGAATGCGCTGCACAGTGATGGGCAGGCCGACAGCCGCCGCCTGCGACACGACCTGCATGGCCGAAATCGAATCGCCGCCGAGGCTCTGGAAGGCGCTAGTGCGATTGATCTCCTCTTCAGGCACATTCAACACGCGACTCCACACCCGGCGCAGCTCGTTCTCCGCACGGCTGAGCTTCGACTCGGCCGGCACAGCAGCAGGACTCTGCTTCCGCGACAGCTTCGCCTCACCCAGGGCACGCAGGCCCTTCCGGTCCACCTTCCCATTCATAGAAATGGGGATACGCGGCACCGCGATGAACGCTGATGGCATCATGAACTTGGGCAGCACGTCGCGGACCTGCTTTTCCGCAACCTGCATCTCCGCATCCAGCCGCTGCTGGTTGACCTGGTCGTCGACACCCTCGCACCAATCGCCATCGAGCGCGACGAAGCCGACCAGCACCCCGCGCCCGGGGCCGTTACCTACCTTTCTCTTGACCAACTCAACGATGATATCGCGAGGCGGCTGCATGGCGCGGCGGAACTGGACCTCGATCTCGCCGCACTCGACGCGCTGGCCGTTCAGCTTGACCATGTCGTCCTTGCGGCTGACGTACGTGAAGCTGCCGTCTGACTGCTGCTCGACGAGGTCACCCGTGCGGTAGAACCGCAGCGCGCGCAGGTCCGTCTCGGTGGGGAAGAGGCGAGTGTGCCATGTAGGGCGGCCGATGAAGACGGCAGCCGTCTTCTCCGGCTCGTCGAGGTAGCCGCGGCCGACGTGCGGGCCCTCGACGAGTAGCTCGCCGACCTCGCCGGGCGCGGTCCGCACGTTGGGGTTCTCCGGGTCGACGACCCAGCAGCGGCCGGCGACGGCGAGGCCGATGCTCTTGCCGTTGGACTGCGGCGAGATGGGGGGCGTGCATGTTGCGACGACGGATGCTTCCTGCAATCGAATAACAAAACATGTTAGCCTTCTCTTCTTCATATATGCAATAGACGACAAGGTTCTGGTAAAAACGGCCCTCAAGGGGGCGGGGCGGGCTGGAAAAAACTCACCACCTGACCGTACGCATTCATCAACACCACCCCCTTCTCGACCCACCTCTCCAGCACACCGGCCGACATGGCCTCTCCCCCCTGCACCAGCGTCTTCAGCCCCTCCAGCCCCCCACCCTCCACGAGCTCCAACGCCCCGATAAACGAGGACGTCAGGATCGCCCAATCCGCCCGCATGGTCTTGACCGCATCCGCGAAGGCGATTGGATCCAGCCGCGCATCTTCGGACACGACGCACACGGTTCCGCCGACGACCAGCGTCGTCAGCATCTCCGTGATGGACGCGTCGAAGTTGTACGACGCGAACTGCACGGCGCGCGTGGATGAAGTCATGTGCATGGCGGTGGCGTGGCCGAGCGCGCCGGCGACGAAGGAGCCGTGCTCGATTAGCGCGCCCTTGGGCGTGCCGGTGGAGCCCGAGGTGTAGACGATGTAGGCGGCGTTGTGGGGTTGTGGGGGTGGTGGTGCATGGTGTCGGGATGAAGAAGAATTGGTGGAGGTGGAGGAGCAGGGGGAGGATGGGGAAGATGACGAGGGTGAATTGGCGGCAGCATCTTCCAGTTGCCGGAGAGCACGCTTGTCGAGACAGAGCGCCCGCGGGAGGAGCTGGGCTAAGCGTTTCTGCGAAGCCGGAGAGGTGATGGCGACGCGGGCTTTGCATTTGCGGATGATGGTGTCGAGACGTTCCGTAGGGTGGGCAGGGTCGAGCAGTACGAAGGCTGCTCCCGCTCTGAGGACAGCGACAATGGCGACGACTGTGGATGCATCGTGTTAGGCTACTACTGCACAGGCAGGGGTTGGATAGATGGCCGGAATACCTGTCCATATTGACTTCTCGAAACACAAGGGTACGATGACTTCAGGGCCGATGTCAAGCTCATGAGTCAAGTGGTCTGCCAGCACTTGCGAGGCAGCGTCAAGGGCGCGGTAGGACATAGACTCGCCATCCGATGAGCAGACGGCCTCTGCATGGGGTCTTGCATGGAAGTGTTCTTCGATCAGTTCAGGGATCGTGCGGTCGTGAGCCGCAGCTTCACGTCCGTATGGGGCCTTCATTGCAGCTAAGTTTTGGAAAACGAGCGAAGCTGATCCGTAAAACGAGCGAAGAAGATTCTGAGGGACTGTATAGCTCTCATAGATTGTTTGGGCTGAGAAAGATTGCGATTTCCCTTGGCTCTTGTAGGGAGCTGAGCTCTGCCACTCTCCAGAAAGGAGCGTGGACGATTGCCACTGATGCCACCGCTAAACCCATCACACCTCACATCTGTGCGTTCTAGATTTCAAAACGAAGTAAAATTTCTTCTGGCGCTCGGAGCAAAACAACAAGTCTAGTAAGTGTGATGTGCGCTGTACTAGGTTCAGATGCCGAAATGCGCACCTGTCTTGACACAACCGACAAGACCGAGAAAACCGATCCATAGCCGAGTGTCTTGGGCATGGGAAATGTCCATGTGGTCCGATATTATCGTGCAGCTGTACCCACAGCAGCGTGAGTGTCTCGCATCTGACAGGCCTCTCAGCGCTTCTTCTGGCCCAACCACCGCCAGCACGACAGATGCGGTTGGTCTCGGCAGGTGATGTTACCTCTTCTGGGCCCGGCAGGTCGTCACGGCAGCCATATGCGGTGCCGCATTCAGCACCTCCTACTGGACAAATCGTCATCCGTCCACTGAAGGCGAAACAAGTACAAAAAGAAAGCATGCAACTCAGTGGCAATTGCAACCTTTGCCTAGTCATGTATGCAGGTCGGAAAGCACGGTCTCGCGTGCAAAAGCCTTCCTAAACAGGGCTCCCCCCACAGCCTCGAGCACACCACAATCGGAAGGGATGTTTGCCAATGATCCTCGTTTGGGACCAATGCGGTTTCAGAGAATACGGAAAATCGAATCTGGACTCCTGCGGATGCTCATCTCGGTGGATCACTGGGGTTCTGGATCCCAGTACCAGGTCATTTCGCACGACATTGCAGCAGCGAACATTGCCCTTCACGGCAGTTGCAGGATGATCACTTGGTCGCGAATCTGTAAACCGGTCAGCAGCAGCGTATGGACCTGCGTTTAATCTCTCCGGACCATGCTAGTTTTCCTAAACGAGCCAGCTCAGACGTGGTCAGATACAGGCCCGATAACCCGAGTGAAGTCCCCACGACCCGGAGCACGGCACACGGGACTGACTCTAGCCGGCCCACCGTGTAACCATCGGTTGAATTATCGTCCGGGGTAGCTATAGGTGATGCTGGGCGTCAAATCAGAGCTGAAAAACAAGGATTGGCCGGCAAGGGCGGCTCCGGGGATCTTTCTTGGCGCTACTGCCGGCAGGCGAAATTCCTCAAGCCGAACGTCGTTTCTTTATTTTTACGACGGCTTGACTTGCGTCTCCACACACACAACCTTCACACATACAGTCACAGTCGTTCGCATCTTCCCGATCGCACCCCGGAGCTCCCTTGCACGGCACCTCTCTATCTGGCAGAGAGACCTCGTCCTGCAATCTTCGTCCATCCCGGCCTCAGCTACATCAGCCGTGCGGCTATACTGCGCACATGTCCAATGACAGTGTTGAGAAGGGGAGCAGCCCGGAGGCAGATCCGGGCAGTGAAAATCCCATATCGAAAACCGACGAGACGGATTCGAGTAAGGCCGAGAGCACGAGTGGAAGCCCATTGAGACTCGTAAGTCACTTCCCGTTTCGTGCCGCATCGGTTCAGATTTCCCTTTCGGCAAACAAGACAGCTGATGTGCCTGGTACAATCTGAAAATAGATCTACGATGCGGCAAGTGGGGCAGACGTGCTGGTCGTCTGCGTCTCGCTCGTGTCAGCGACGATTGGGGGTGCTCTGATGCCGCTCATGGTGCGTAAAATTACACTGAGTTAACCCCACACCCCTGCCCCCTGTTCTCCCTTTCGTCCGATCTCCCATCACCGAGATTGTCGAAACAGATTGCTAACAGGGAGGTGAAGACGATCGTCTTCGGCAAAATGACTGGGGAGTTCCAGACCATCACGACCTCCCCGGGCAGTTCCGGCGGCTATAGCAGTAGGCTGAACGAATTCACCCTGTACTTTGTGTACTTAGCTATTGCCGAATTCGTCACGGTGTACGTAACTACAGTCGGACTGACTCTTGCTGGAGAGCGGATCACTTGCAAAGTCCGGTGAGTCGAATACGGAATACGCGGGACAGAACTGGACTAACACCCGCACCTTGGTCGCCAGAACGCGTTACCTCGCTGCAGTCCTCCACCAAGGCGTAGCTGCGCTTTCGGACAAGCCGAACGCCCAAGGCGAAGTATCCCTGCGGCTCAGCAGCGACGCAGAGCTCGTACGGGTCGCACTCAGCTCGAAGCTGGGGCGGGCCATCAGCGCCATCTCGACCGTCATTACCGCCTTCGTCGTCGGCTTCGTCTTTTCCTGGCGACTGGCCTTGGTGCTCAGCTCGACGCTGGTCGCCTTCGTGCTGATCGTGGGGCTCTTCTCCAACGCCATCGTCAAGTATACGGGGCAGAGCGCTGCCGCCGAAGCCGAGGCAGCCACCGTCGCATCCGAGGCTATCGCCGACGTCCGCAGCGCCGCTGCCAACTGCGCGCAAGATGCTCTCGCGGCCAAGTACGCGTCGCGGCTTCTTGACGCGCGGCGACCGGGCGTGCTGGGCAAGGTGGCCGGCGCGACCATGATGGCGGCAGTCACCGGCGTGATGTTGCTGGCGTACGCGCTCGCCTTTTGGCAGGGCTCGCGGTTCCTGGTGACGGGCGCCCTGTCACTTGCGGATGTGCTAATTGTGTTGCTTGGTAAAGTTCTCTTCCCCAATCCAGCAATCCCCCCCTGGATGAATACAGGGATCCCCCTGCTTTCAGCCCGCCTCGTAGCTAACAGGCTGACCAGCCATCCTATTGGGTACCGTATCGCTGGGTCTCATGGGCCCAGAAGCGCGGGCCGTCGCTGATGGAATGAGCGCAGCCGCTCGGATCCACACAGCGGTGGGGCCCTCCCCACCAACAACAGCTCACAACACGCCGCACGAGCAAGGCGGCGGCAGTGGCGGCAGTAGCGGCCGCCTCCGCAGCGCCGAGGACGATGCACTACTACCGGAGCAGCGCGTCGTCAACGGCCACATCGAGTTCGAACACGTCCACTTCCACTATCCCAGCCGGCCCGACGTCCCCGTCCTCGCCGACTTTTCGCTCAACGTAGCCGCCGGCAAGACGACGGCCGTGGTGGGCCCGTCGGGCTCGGGCAAGAGCACGCTTGTCGGCTTGCTGGAGCGCTTCTACGATCCTGTTTCTGGGAGCATCTCGCTCGATGGGCAGGACCTGAGCAGCCTTGATGTAGGCTGGCTGCGGCGGCAGATGGCACTGGTGGGGCAGGAGGCGCTGCTGTTCGACGCGTCGGTGTTCGAGAACATCGCCCACGGGCTCGTCGGCTCAGCCTGGGAGAATGCGTCGGAGGCGGCCAAGCGCGAGATGGTGCAGCGGGCGGCCGAGACGGCCAACGCGCACGCTTTTGTGGAGACGCTGCCGCAGGGATACGATACACGTGTGGGCGAGCGCGGCGCCCTGCTGTCAGGTATGTGGCTTGTTTTTTTACTTTTCTTTCATTTCCTTTTGCAGTGGAGCCTGGTCGCCGGCTCCATCCGCCCGTTGCCTGCCCGAAAATGCCCGTGGGGAATCTTGATGAAACGTTCGGCTGTGCGGATGTGCAAGTGGTAGCACACAAGCAGTGCACAACAAACGCCCGGATATAACGTCTCCGTCCGGGTGGCGTTTTTCTGCCAGCCACAATTGCGCTTCAGCTGCCCCATTGACGTGAGCGTGACGGACGCCACGTTGCTTATCCTTACCTCCTCTTGCTGACTCGCATTTCTCGCGATCCTCTGCAGGCGGTCAGAAACAGCGCATCTGCATCGCTCGGGCAATCGTGGCAGATCCTCGGATCCTCCTGCTCGATGAAGCCACATCTGCGCTGGATCCCGTCGCCGAGCGCGCAGTCCAGGCCGCCTTGCGGACAGCCATGCAGGGCCGCACCAACCTGGTCATCGCCCATCGACTGTCGACCATCAAAGATGCCGACTGTATTGCCGTCATGGGCAAAGGTCAGATCGTGGAACAGGGGTCGTACAGTGAGCTCGTCGAGAAGCGAGGCGCCTTTTTCCACCTGCTCGAAGCGCAGAGCTTGGCCGTCGATGGCGTAGCTGAGAGTAACGCCGGAGTCGCCGTCGATGAGGCACGTGAGTCACTGCCTGCCAGCGTCGATGAGAAGCAGGATATTCTCGCCGAGAGTGAGCTGCCTGCTGCCCAGGATGATGGCAAGGCGGACCCCACTGCGGCACGCGGAGATGCAAAAGGCTTCATCTCCGGCCTGCGCACCCACGATCGCCCGTGGCTATTGGTCAGCATTGTTTTCTCCATCCTGTGCGGCTGTCTGGCCACCGCCCAGTCAGTCGTCTTGTCAGCGGTGAGTAGCAGACACGCAATTAGGAAGTGTTGGCTGTATAGACTGACCGCAAACCATGACAGTGCATTGCTGCGTTCGGCAAGAACGCGTACAACTACGCGCGGCTACGGCACGATGTAAACTTCTGGGCCGGGATGATGCTTATGCTTGCCTTCGTTGGCGCATTTTTGCAAAGCGTTCAAGGCGTCGCACTAGCCATCTGCTCGGAGAGCATGGTGCGCCGAGCACGTACAACCATATTCAAGCACGTGCTGAGGCAAGACATGTCCTTCTTCGACATCCCCGCGCACTCTGCCGGCGCGCTGAGTACCATGCTAACCGGGCGGGCCGCTGACCTTGATGGTCTCAGCGGCGGCTCCCTTGGCATGCTGCTGGTGGGCGCGTCAACCATCATCTCCGGTTTGATTGTCGCCATCGCCATTGGCTGGAAGCTCGGTCTCGTGTGCACCGCAACCGCCCCGCTGCTGCTTGCTGCAGGCCACCTCCGTCTGTCATTTCTCCGGAAGAACGAGGCCCGCACGGCTGCGGCATACGCCGCCGCGACGACGTATGCCGGCGAGGCATGCAAGTGCATCCGCGTCGTCGCGGCCCTGACCCTGGAGTCCACGGTACTGCGTCGTTACACGGTCACGCTGACCGCGCAAGCGCGTACGAATGCCATCTCGACGTGCAAGGCGACCGTGTTCTTCGCGCTGTCGCAGGCGCTCGTGTACTGCTCGTTCGCGCTGTGCTTCTGGTACGGCGGCCGCCTGATGGCGCGCGGCGAGTACTCGATGCTGCAGTTCTTCATCTGCTACTCGACCGTCATCTTCGGCGCCCAGTCCGCCGGCAGCGCCCTCTCCGCCGCCGCCGACACTTCCAAGGCACGCGGCGCGGCTCGAGAATTCGAAGCCATCGCAGCCATCAAGCCGCACATCGACGTCGATGACGGCAGCGGGATAGACCTCCCCACCCCCGTCCGCGGCGAGGTTGAGCTCCGCAACGTCTCCTACAGCTACCTAACGCGCCCAGACAAGCCCTCCCTCACCGACGTCAGCCTGCGCGTCGAACCCGGCCAATTCGCCGCCCTCGTCGGCCCCAGCGGCAGCGGCAAGAGCACCGTCCTCGCCCTCCTCGAGCGCTTCTACGACCCCACTCCCTCCTCCTCCTCCTCCCCCAACCCCGGCACCATCCTCCTCGACGGCCACGACCTCCGCACCCTCAGCGTCTCCTCCCTGCGCACGCAGATCGCGCTGGTCGGGCAAGACACGCCGCTCCTCTCCGGCACCGTCCGGGACAACCTGACGCTCGGCCTGCCGGACGCTACCTCCATCACCGACGACGCCATCATGGCCGCCTGCCGCCAAGCCGCGCTAGCCGATGTCATCGCCTCCCTGCCCGACGGCCTCAACACCTTCGTCGGCGGGCTCGGCGGCGCGGCGCTGTCGGGCGGCCAGCGCCAGCGCGTCGCCATCGCGCGCGCGCTACTCCGCAAACCGGCCGTGTTGTTGCTCGACGAGGCGACGTCGGCGCTGGACAGCGCGGCCGAGCGCGTCGTGCAGGATGCGCTGGCGGCGGCGGCGAGGGACCGCACGACGATTGCGGTGGCGCACAGGCTGAGCACGGTGAGGGGCGCGGACGTGATTTTCGTGCTGGAGGGGGGCAGGGTCGTGGAGAGGGGGCGGCATGCGGAGTTGTTGGCGAGGGAGGGGGGCGTGTATGCGAGGATGGTGAGGGCGCAGAGCGTGGAGGCTTGATGGTGGTGATGATGATGGGTCGGTCGGTTGGGCTTGGTTGGGCTGGGGGATCGGCGCGATAGAGGATGTGGTTGGTGGGATGGTGGGATGCAGGAGTCGCTGATCGGCAGCGGATGGGAAAACTATAATTAGATGCATGTGTTTTTGGCTTTGTAGATGCTTTAGTTTTTCACTATATTGCTGTTTGAGTTATTTGTTTACGTGCAGGGAGGATAAGCAGGACATACAAAGAAGCTTTATTGTTTTGACGGGATTGCGATCTATAAGGTTTGACTTTTTTGCCATGTTGTTTTTTCCTCTGTGAAATGAGCAATAGTCGAAGAAAGCCTGTTACACGAAGAAAACAGGCGTGTGGTTCGCAAATCCGCTCCTCGCGATCGTTTCCCATCGTGGAAGCATCGTGCCACCACACTTCCATTCTGCGCTGTCACTCGAAATGAAAATTTCTTACTCCCCACATGTGCCGTAACCATACTGTCGGTACCTTCGTTGTCATCAGCCGCGCCTCGTATTGCGAAACCCGAGCCTTTCCGAAGCCTCGATTGGCTCGGCCGAGTCATTGTGCCGCGCCTCATCTTGTCCCGGCAGCCCGGGTCCTTACATGAGAAACAAGGCTGGCGGATGTGGCGCGCTTGCCCCATGCGTGAGCGGAGCCGCAGCAGGCTTGTGTGCGGGTGGATGTGAATTGTGGGGGGTGGGGACGCAGTTCAGGAACGAGTACGACGAATATGAGGTGCGGTTGGTTCAGAGTTGCGCTGTGGCGGCGCTAAGCAGGAGATCCCGCCGCCGCCACGGCCCGCGCGGGCCGGCGCTAGTGACCCTAGCGCGGCCTCGCCCGCAGATCCCATCTCTTTTGCTCCTCCTCTTCGGGGCGAACTGCCGAAACAATAGGCTCAAAGGAGAAATTTTACTTCGGTACCTGTCCGGACCTTGGTCCGAAACGGTCTTGTTTGGGGCTAGCTTATCCGACCGGTATCGTACGTGCTTGCCGTATTCTCCCTGCTTGCCTCAGGATCTAGAACACATCTACAGCGCGACGAGTAATGCCTTGCATACAGTGCCTCCCAACAAATTCCATACTTACTGATGCCTTTTGTTTAGTATGCACATGCTATACTTGCTCTCTGTAGCTTATCTTAATTTCAATAGTGCATTCATTTTTGTTCGTGATTTTCGTTGCAAAACTGCAACACTTTTGAGGAAAGAAAATGTTTTGAGCTGTAAAGGTCTAGATAAATGAATGTGCACCGCACAGAATTATTTCTGTGCCCTTTCTACCTGCTGAATGAATATTTAGGCGGCTTTCTTTTTAATATGTCTTTTATTTTAATCCATGTGCGAGTCCCCTGCATGAATAATCTATAACATTTAATCAAGCAAAATAGCCTATAAGGAAGGCTCGCACAGCTAGCGGCAGTGGATCGGAATAAATAGAATCACCGTGAGTGGGAATGATGGGGTTGACGAGTACGTTTTGAATGCCTGAAGACCTGGTGAGGAGAAGTTCCAAACAGGTGCATGGATTTAAGACACGAGTTCTACAATAGTGGGATAACATTGTGGACAGCGGGCTTTGATATTGAGTACCGAAAATGTAAACTAATACTCCACTCGATCAACCCTGATCGAAAACACTGCGTATGCAGTAGCGAGCGACCGGAAAAATTCTCAACATCTCTCCCAACCTCCTTACTTCTTCTCCTTCTTCTCCTTGATCTTCTTGTCCTTCCCAATCTTCCTAAACCTGTCCCGCCACCGCGCAACCGTGACCTCCTTCGGCACGGCCGAAGGATCGCGATTCAGCTTCTCCACATCCGCCACAACATCATCGCCAAGTGTCAACGTACCCTGGCCTAGCAGCAACTTGTCGCTCTCCTTCTCCAATTGCTCTAGAAGCCCCCGCGTCCTTACGTCACTCTTCCGCGGATCGCGCCAGAGCTTGACCGCAAACTTCGCTCCGGACCGGAAAAAGAAATCCGGGTCTTTCAGCAGCGCCGCGTTCGTCGCCGGAAACGGCTGCATCGCGGCCTCGTGTTTCTCTTCAAATGTGGCGATGAGAGCGGCAGCGTTGTTTGTGTTGTTGCTAGCCTCGCTGTTGGCGTCGGGCTTGAGGAAGCCGCGCACGTCGATGCCGCCGTTTAGCCCGACGCTGCCGGCGCTGAGCGCGATGTTCTCGCATCGCGTGAAGAGGTGGTCGATGTGCAGCTCGTCGCTGTTGTTGGCGTAGAGATAGAAGGGCATGCGGCCGGATGGATAACCGTCATCGTGGGCGCGCGCGTCGAGGGGGCGGTTGATGATGACGGATGTGATGGTGACTGTGATGTTTGATTGCAGGATGCCGCTGTGGAAACAACTAGGTTAGAGAGTAGCAGCGGTGTACGCGCGGGATGGAGGGTTCTTACTTGGATTTGGTCGTGAGGTTGCCCAGAAACGTTGGCTTGCTGTCTTTGGCCCTTTCGAGAAGGGTGGTGAGGGGGATTTTCTCAGCAGACTTGAGAACAAGAAAGTCTTCAGTTTTCCCCTTCGCGGTACGATAGCCTTCAAGTCCGTCAGCGTCGAGGTCGACAGCGAGAATGACTTGGCGCCGATGACTGCCGATGTGGAACATGGTGCGGTAGGACAGGCAGATCGACTGCTGCCCATGTATGAGGAAGGAATGGTAGTCTGGAACATCGCTGTTCCTTTCTCTACATTTCTGCAACACGGTTAGACCTTCAGAGTATCCCCAGTGGCATTACAAACTGCCGGATCTTACCTTGACTTCATCCTCTACGACTTCACAGAAGGCTGCTTCTGCCTTGCTGAGCGTGCCCTTGACTGTGGCAAAGGGGCTCATGACGACATTTCGCAAAACCATCAGGCTTGCATTTGTAGTCGAGTCCAATTGAAGCCGTTCCTTGAAATGTTTTGCACAGTCCCCATACAACTCATGTTCAAACTGCGTCGAAGTCAAATAGAAGTTGATCTTGGTGGGCTTGTCATTGGGGTCCTCGATTGAAAGCCTCCTGACTACCCGAGTCATCAGGTAGTTTGCCTCTTCGACATCCGTGTTGGCTGTGCCATCTTCGTACTTCCAATTCAGTGCGAAAGCGTTGATATTCAAATCAGATCCGAGTGCGCGGAGCAGTTTCATTAGTTCTGGGTTCTTGACGAATTCCTTGGAGTCTGTCTTGTCGAGAATCTGTTTGCGGATAATGGTTTTCTCAAATTGAGGGTTCACTCCTGCAGTCGTCTCCGACGGAAATTCATTGAACGGGACACACATGAAACTGCTTCTGCCGACATCCACGGCTGCCCATAGTGCTGAGAACTGGTGATACAATCAGCAAATGTGAATTGACGAAGTAACGTCGCGAAGATGGGTTTACCATAGAAGATGTGAAGCATGCTTCGGCCAGAAGAGCTCCGTACCCCTGGTCATGAAGACCGATACACTTATTGGATAGCCAGGTTGACACGGCAGATGCTCCAGGCTTGCTGTGGTTATGTTAACATAGCTCTTTATCAAGAGAGTAGAGATTACGTACCTTCCCTCAACACCGTATATTCCAATGCTGGTGACTGATCCACGGGAGAGATATGGACTTGTCCAAGTAACCAAAAACCGCAACCTCCCATCACGATAAGCGAGTGCCCCGGCTGGGTACGGGATGTATCCAGCTTTGTGTGGGTCGACGGTGATGGAATCACAGTAGCGCAGCGCAGCCAAGTCGCGCTGTGTTTCGACTCGCAGGCTGAGACCAGGTACGAAGCCATCATCGTCGGGCTCACGGCCCGCTCGGGTGTCTAGCAGCTCGTCTACGTCGCTATCGACGTACTCAGAAGCAGATTCGAAGTCCAGTTCATCCAGATCTGTTTCCTCACCGACCTCGATCTCCTGGATGGTCACTATTTCATCATCACTGCTGGGGGCCTTTGGCTTCTTCGAGGGTTGGGTATCCGCTGGCTTGAACTCCTTGCCCTTGCACAGCATCGTTGCAAAGTAGCCACCCCAAGCAGCATCGGCGTGTACGAGGAATGACAGACCCTTGGTCTGGAACTTTTGGCGTAGCTGAAGGATCTTCTGGAGCGGATCCACGGCGCCCTCTTCAGTTGAGCCGATGATTGCAACGACGGCGTAGACAGGGCGCTTGGCCTCAAGCTGCTGATTGAGCCTGTCCTCGAGATCGCTGAGGTCCACACGTGCAGCCTTGTCAACCTTGATGCCGACAATGTTTTTTGAACCGATTCCCGCGACCGCTGCGACATATTAGCTCTGTAAATGTGATAAATGAGGCGGGAGAGAAGCTACATACCTCCTCCTTTGGGCCAGGAGTAGTGGCGCGTCGAGGACACCATTATGGTCGGAGCACAACTCTCACTGTCAATGCCGAAGTGCTGCTCTAGTGCGTCCTTACCACGCGTCTGAATGTTGAAATCATTCAGTGCCCCCTGCAGAAATGATGGCGTGATCTGGTGTTTCACATGAAGCTGCTCGGGGATATCGAGAATCGTCTTCGGCTTGAGGTTGAGCAGCTCCCAAAGCGACAGTTCGCGGAATTCTTTCAGTTCATTCTGGCAGGTTCTCACGGTAAAGTTCTTGGGAACGAAGGCAAGAGGATTCCCTTCCTCCATTGCCCACTTGAGCGAGAGAGGGTAGAACTTGAGGTTGCGTGCTGAGCGCTGGCAATGTAAGCAGATATGATTGGAGCGATCTGTTGAGATAAAACCTACCAACCCAAATACTCTCAAGATTCGCCACAGTGCCGTCGCATGTGATATGGCCCCATCCTAAAGGCTCACCTTCTTTCTTCTCGTCATTGTTGTAGCCGAACATGGTGCAAAGTTGCTCGCCAACTTCGATCTCAGCTACAGTAGTGAGCGGGGATGCCCTAGACCGCTGTTAGTATAGAATAGGCACGAGCAGAGACTCTGGAAGACAGACTCGATGGCAACATTGTTGCTGTTGTAGATGGAGGCCATGAAGTATCCTAGCAACGACGGCATGGTCAAATCGGTCCCCATGTGCGCCTGGTAGCGTGGGGACCAAAACGGTATCGAGTGCTTGCCAAGCAGATTGGCCGTGTTGTGCACGGCTTTCTCGAACCTGTCAGTGATGCGCTTGTACTGTTCGGACTCTTTGTTTCCAGCAGTGATGTAGTCCTGTAAAATCAGCATGACAAGTTAACAAATTCAGAGACGAACATACTGTGTCGCCATTGCTGTCCGCATACCGGATTCTCGCCTTCTTGAGCTGCTGGAGTATCTTCGTGACATTCCCATGGAAGTTGTCGAGGTTTTCGGCTCGAGGGCCGATGAAGTAGGCGCTGATAGCATTGTGTGTGTCGTTGTTCTCGTCCATAATGTTGCAAAGATGAACTTGTATCGATGCTCTGAGACGGCCGTGAGGCTTTATATCTTGCTTTGCGCTTCGAACTTCATTCCGAAGTCAGAGAGAGGTCCCAATTACATACGTCAGATGCTATCATCCAGCTGCTACCTCGATGAAACTTGCATACATTGACAAGGACTGCACTGTGGAGACAACGCTCATTTTCGCCTGCAAGGAGCTGTTGATATTCCGCATTCTATGACTTCAGCGCTACTTGGCATCTGTAGAGTTACAAAGACGTAGATGTTGAGCGGCTACGACGCTGCAAATTCACCATTGCGTCAAATGAGTCACCTGCTCTGGTCTTCGCAATACTGTTGTACGACTTGAGAGAGAAACATAGCCCAACCGACGGCCATTTCCCGTTTGCGGATTAGTCAATCAAGTCCCGTTTCCCAAAAAAAATATTTTTCCGTTTGTAGCACCATGAAGACCCTAGTTCAAGGTTTTCATGGTCGGGAACCGGCATTGCACCTGAGCGCTGGGCTCGGGTGTTCTGATATTTGCATGGATCGCTCGTCCAGAATTAACCCATACCTATCATGTTGCTCTGTAACCACACTGTGTGCACTAGGAGGCATCACCGGCCGTGCTTGCATAAGGAAAACCAGATTTCGATTCTTGGTTGCGGCGATACCACGGAACGGGCCAGGCCCGATCTTGTACGCCGTATGCAGGGTCTTCGCGATCGCCTAGACTACAAGCGGAACAAGGGCATGATTGAGTGGAGGCTGGAAGTGCACAATATTGAAATTGTCTTCAAACGATGGCACAAAATGAAAGTCGCTCGGTGCAAGAACCTGGATCTTAGGCGTGTCACAACGTAGCCATGCAGGCTCTTTAAGAGTAAAAGGAATTGTGACCGTACTTAGATGAAATTTCGTGAGCGTTCACGACGCCAGCTCGCCGAGTAATGTAACAAATATGGATTAGTCGAAGTTTCGTCGAGACGCCTTTGTTAATATTAAAATGGTACATTTACGTTCGATTGAACGCATCAAATCACCGTCTTTTGTTACGATACCAAGTTAATGACTCCATAACTCTGCAAATCTGCGGAACGCGAGCTTCACTTCTCTGCTCTATGTCCTCTTTCGTAAACACCGCTCCCAGAATTTGAGCAAGGTATGGAATGGTGTACAAACGCGTGCCAAATGCTACAACAGCATTCCATCCACGTCATCATTCAATCTCACTGCAGGGAAGAATGCTGCACTTCGGGCATATCTCACTTCACCCCAACAGCGCGGATCGAAGATTGGTGCATCTGACGAGCATCCACCACTCCAAATGCTCGGAGAGATACTTCCGAGCCAAGCTGTAACAGTATTTTGTGTCTGACAACGTTGGGGTTTAACGTCGGTTTGACATTGGATATTGGCGCCTGTGGCGCGTCGGACACGCTGGGGATGCCCCGCATGCTGCGTGGCAGCCTCTCATGCATCTTGTCCGACATCAAGAGGTATGTGCGCTTGGACTGATTACCGAGGTAAAATTTGGTGTGGCAAAACTATTGCACAACTCTTTACACTAATAATGCCTACAGGATGGGAAGGTACAGGTCTATGCCCTCATCCTCCTTGTTGAGGCTAAAGTCCATCGTATGTCTTGTGGAGACTTGTAAATCTGAAAAGATTTCCTTTGATCCAACTTCTAACGCAGTATTAGCAGAAGTGTATGATTGAAGGTATTATTTTTGGTACCAAGTGTGTCTCACATGACCCGCTTTCGGCATTATGTGTGCATCATCTGTAACCCGATTGGAACTCCTGCTACTAAATTGTACGTCATTCGTGAAGAAGTTTCTCATTGGTCGTCCTTCTGAAGCGGCGTTCTCACTCTGACTTGGCGATATTTTCTGAAGGTTGTTTCTGGCCTTCCAGAATTGGCCTATCCAGCAGTCATGACTACATGAGAAAAGACGGGAAATGATCTTATGGTAATAAATTCCTACATGTATATTAGAGCGAATCGATATTGCGTTTTACAAGCCGAGTCCCATCAAGTTGCTAAATTTCTCCTCTATGGAGGAATAGGCTCTATCAACTCCCTCGTTGAGCGCCTGTTGCAAATATAGTATTTTGTCAGAATCGAAAAAGCGAGAACAACAAGCCTTACTCCTACTGTGTGTGCTGCGAATAGAAGCTATATCGCTGAAGATGTGGTGTTTCTAGCATAGGGCGTGAAGGCTACGTGCTTCAGTAAAGGAGATAATCTTCCCAGTGTTTTTCTTATCACAGTCAATATGAAAATTCACCTTGCTGACATGAAAGCGTACCATTGACTCATTTGATGTGGTGAATAACGGTTGAGAGATGCCTAAGATCCCTCTGCTTGCAATTTAGTATCTTCAAGTCTAGAGCTTGAAGATTAGCTTGAAAAGCTGCGGAGTTCCGCCCGGTATATCACTTTCGGTTTTGGCTGTTCGCTTATCGGTGACTGCCTTCTAAAGAAGGACAAATCTTTATCGACAAACGAAGTTAGCTCAAGTGCTTTACTCAAATCTAGCGCGTTTCATTGACTTGACCCACCACTTTTCTTGCGCAGCTCACCCAAAGCTTTCTGAGTCGCTTATGAATTTCACTCAACCGTAAGCATGTCAATGAACGTGGTCACTCTGATCCGCAATGCGCAATACGTCGAAGCCGTTCGGCTGCTTGAAGATTGTGGACCAGAGGTCCGCGACGAAGGCATCTTTCTTCTTGTCGACCTTCTACAGTTGACAATGGTTCCTCACTGGCTTCAGCTGTTGGCTAATCTAGCACTGAGCCTCTACAGCGAACATAGTGAGGCTTCAGAGGTAATACTCTCCTCTCACCTGAAAGGAAATATCACTAACACACGCACAGGCATACTTGACGAAGGCTCAGGAACTCTACAACAAGACTACCTCCGAGATGTGTTTCCCGTGGCTGCTCCGTCAGTTGCCCGTCGTTGTTGAACACATCGCGCTGTCCCGCGCGCGCGTCTCGCCGTGCGCAAGCCAATTGAGCTAGGCAATGGCGCCTTTTCTGACGGTGACATGATTAGCTCCAGACCGGAAAATTGGCCTGGGATTGATGCGCCCGGGCTGCGCCTCACTCAGACGCAAATCGATGACTACTTCAAGCCTACTTCCGTCATCCAGATGCTTGGGACCGGCCCCAGGATAAACGCGGCCTGATCATGCCCTGAGGGATAAATCACAGCTTCCCGCAGCCACAGTATAATGTTGACAACACGGTTTCAGATTCCGGACAGCCAAGCGTAAGATTTGCGGTGAAGCCGCGGTGGCCATATGCTAGTAGCAGCTGAAAATTAGTGAAGCAAAGACCAGGAAGTAGTGATGCAAGGCATATTCGAGGGTGGAAAACACAAGGTTTAGACTATCAGAGAAGATTCGGGGAATTACAAATGCAGTCTCCTCCTAACAGAGTGAGTATGCTATAAATCAGGCCATGCATATGTAAGGCATTAGCTTTCATTTGCTTTTGTCAAATATACTCTACAGACTCTAGCGTTGCTCTAGTACGTCTGTGCCACAAACTAAAAAAGGATCGCAAAATTCTTCGCCTATGTGTTGATTAGTAAGAAGTGAAGAAGATATCGTGTGCCGTTGGTGTTCTAGAGCCTTGCGGTGTGTGTGTACAATGATAAGTATTTTAAACATAAAACAGCTCTTCTTTGATTTGTGCCCTCGAAGCACATATCAACATCAACATGCGGGAAAATCATCTTTAATGTGGAAATAGCTGTTTGGATGTTCACCAAGATCGCAGTCCTTCAAATAGTGCTGAATTGTCCATCCCGGAGAAGCTGAAATGATTGTCCAGATCTGAATGTGAATTTTAAAATAACACATTCATGTCCTGATAATCGCTTCAACTCCTCTGGTAAGCGAGTTGCAAGGTGCATTGGATGAATGGCGTGACATATGGAGATGGTGATATTTTCTCTCTTTTTTTGTAGGCTGTACCTCCGTTTTGATTGAAGTGTAGGCTGACGATAGCTAATGCTCTGATGAGCATGGATGTTTTTACTGATTACGGCTCTAAGACACCATCGGCAGTTATTCCTGCGCCGGCTTGACGCCATGAGAGGTTTCTCAAAGCGTCGCGGTGCTTGTGTTTGCTACAAGGCCATCACCCAATTGGATCGCCCGGACTGATCAGGTGTAATTGGCGGACACCGCGGCGCCAGACACCGGCTTTACTGCGGCTTTCCCTTTGGCGACCGGGTGGCCAATGCGGCTACTTAGCGCATTCCGAGTGGTAGATATTCTGGTCGCGGTTCGCCAGCTCACCTGTCTTCTACACTATCGTTTCCACTCTCTGATAACCACTGTCCCGCATGTGCGCAACGACAACGTCCTTCTAACATTCATTTAAAACACAATCTGGTATGTCTTCTCTTCCCCGGGAAAAACTGACGTCTTCCAGGTCTTCGTCCGCATGCCAGAACGGCTCCCTCACCAACCTGGCCTCCTCCGCCACCACCACCTTCGGAACGACACTCGCACGAGGAACACGCACGAACCGCACTCCAACGAGGAGGACCACACCCGGTACGCCAGGCTCAACGGTGACGCACATCTCGAACACTACATAAATACTTGGAATCGGGACGGCTGCTACCGAGCGGAACAGAACGTGGTTTAAAACCCTTTCTCTGACGATTGGTGGCGAGCGCCGCCCGAAATAAGCCAGCGTCTAGCAGGGAGATATTTTTCAAATCTCCCCAGCGTCCCCGATCATGGGCGAGGAGCATTGCACTACCCGCTTCCTCGGGCAGGGAACAAATCCCAACGAACGACAATAGAGTTTAGACTACGGCAGGCCACAGGCCGCTTGGGACGGCTGCTACCGAGCGGAACAGGATGTAGTTTAAACACTTTTCCCTGACGGTTGGTGGCGAGCGCCGCCCAAGTCAAGAGGGACGTGTGGGAGAGGTTTTAGAAAACTCCATGCCGTCCCCAGGATCATATCGGAGATTCCACACAAGATACTACACACATGACACTACACACAAGGAACAGTCATATCGGAGACACCACACAGGCGAGAGAGAAGCAGGGAATGAGGAAAGCGGCATGAGCCGGCAAGAGGAGGGACACCAGCGAATGGCTCGCACTTCTACGCAGTGCTGGTGACTAGTAGCCAGGCGCTTTGTGATGGACATGGTACCATCTACAACGGCGACCAATGGTGAAGCTAAGACGAGCCAGAAGGATGGGTAGTTTGACGTTCCATAGATAATTATTTTGTTGATAATCCTATCGTTCTGACATTCGTAATGGCCTTATTGAAATCGCATCGCTTCAAAGGAAGGCAAATTCACACTGACTTTTGACTGCAGAACTCGCCTGTAGTTTGCTCGAGCCATGCCTGTTGCTCAATCGCGCATTTCACTTTCGCACTCTTTTGCCAGTTTCGTATGCGTGAATCGTTGCATCTCGGTTATGTTGCGCCATTCCTGATCCCGCGTTCACTTTAGAGAGCTTGGTTGTTCCGCCGGCTGGCAACGCAGAGGTCCAGCTCGAGAGGAGAAGTCATAATAAGGTCAGGCTTTGCGCGATTAGAACCCGGCGAGTCGCGTCGGCTGGCCAAAGGCGGCAAGAGCCACCCCAGGATTGTGTCATTCGTCAGCGTGCTTATCGGGCAAGTACCCTTCACCGGCATGTCGCGACGCGCCTCCACGCCTCCACGCACTCATACCGCGCTCTTCCATTGTATACAAGATACTGTTATCGTGCAGTTATCTTTTCACTTTCGCTCGCGCCGCAAATGACAGACTCCAGCGCCAGAAACACCGCAGATGCCTCTGCGCAACCCCAACCTCTCCCATAGGCCCGTCCTCCAGAAGCACCACTTCCTGACGAGCAGCGCCTGTGGGCAGCGATTAGGTAACCTTTCTGATACCCCGGGATATGTAGGATTGGTCCTTCGAGCTCCCGAATATGAGATAGCAAGGACGACCAGCTGCGTTCAAGGAGAATCCCCAGCGTGGGATGGAGAGCATTCGATTAAGAAGACTGTTCTCCCAGAAATAACCGCCATTGCAGTCTTGATGTATTAGTATGAAGGACTGGTAGACAAAACGTTCATTTCATCAATTCATTTGCACCCACTGTCCATCCAACGAAGTCTTGTAATGAAGCCGAAGGTACACATACCTCGGAGCTCAGCCTGTCTCATGTACAAGAAAGCGGATGACTCACGCCAGAAAGGGTAGCTGAGATGTTGTCCAAGCGATGATGTGAGCAATGGTCGTTGCGCAAGCGGCTCTACGCACAATACAGATGTCGCCCAAGAGCAGCAGCGAATTGCCGTCGAAGTGGAGCGATAACCTACCCAAGTTCATGACCAGCCTTACCAGCACTAGTGCTATGCGCGATGGGCGTGACCGAGGCGCACACGGTCGAGACGCGCGGTGCAGTCGCGCCAGAACCGTGACGGCGCGCGGCGGAAGCTCTGGTTGCGTAGAATGGCCACAGAGCAGGCCGTGCGGGGAGTCGGTGGCATAAACGGTGGTGAGGCGGTCATGCAGTCGTGCTTCGCTGATCATGGTGACCGCCGTTGACGCTGCCGATGTGACTGGCAGGAATTGGTGGATTTTGAGCATGCCACTGTAGTATATAAGCCCGTCAGGTAAGCCATCTGGTATGCTAGTTCCGCTCGAAGAGGTGGTGCTTGGTTAAATGAGAGCCCGAAGGTTTACAGTAAGGCTGCCCAAGTTACCGCCCGTCCTCTGTGGGTATAAAAGAGGTCGTAGGTTCGAAGACGGGCTAGGGAAGATAAAAAAAGACGGTCCCAAAGAGTCTTTCTGGGCTTAACCCGCATGTAGCGGGGTTCAGTTTTGCCTTTTCATTCGAGGACAATTCTCCTTTTGCCAGAGCCATAGCCGTCGGTAATCCTAAAGAGACTCTGACCCGGCTTGGCACATATGCTTTTCTTTTTCCTCGCTAATGCTAACTAAATGCCTGCAGAGTCACTCCGTGCAGACGCCCGCGCCGAGCTCGCAGACCCAACTGCGAGAAAGCCGAACTGCAGAATGACGTGCTTAATCGCGAGAGGGAAGCGCCCAAAGCCCGCGATTTCCCAAAGCGACAAAAGAGGCCTCTCCCTCACACCCAGTAGCAACTTGTCCACCGCCTCATCCAGCTCTGCCGCGCAACGCCCTCACTCACCACAGAATATCTCAGGCCGCTGATAAAATCTCACAGCCGACGCCGTCACCGACCATTTTCACCATGCCTTCTGTCATCTTCACGGGAAACCGCTGCTGAAGCCGAGCCATCTTCTCGTCCAAACAAAGTCTCTGTCATATTTACTTCTGCACAGCGGACCGCGCACCGCTCGTTGTCGGCGACCCGCTCCACCAACACGGGGCCCTGCCTTCACATGTGTGATGGCATGACATCCGATATTCGGCGGAGTACAAAGATAAGGCGTGCGCAGGAGACAACAAGGAAGATGGCCATGGAGAAGGACGGGTCATAGGTTCGGCAGATGACGACGCGGCAATCGGACCCCTGCTGCTACACCGGTCAGCCCAAGCTTTGGAGCAAGTGCGGTCACTTTATGACTATCGCTGGTGCGACTTCGCACAAGCCATACAAGGACTCCCTCGCCATTGTCATCCAACGGGCACGAAAGAGAAACGGGCCGCAGAAACCGTGGAGACCAACGACATGCTGCTTCAACGCGGCTCCCGTACGGCGTGCCGAGCGCGACACCGTTGCAGTCAAGAGTGCGCTCAGGTAAAAATTACGTCGTAGTTCAGCAGCTTGATGAGTGGCAGGAGGAGCATCCGGAACAATTCTGGAGAAGCTGAGGTGAGAGCCCCCATGATGACCCCGGAAGAAATGAGTACATGTCACTCAAGGTTTTCCGTGGTTTGAGAAAGGAAACGGCCGTAAATTTTCCAATTTGGAGATAAGAAACATCGCATACTTCCCATTAGCGAGTGACTTCCTTGCCTGGTTACAATTTCCCCTCGTTCGCTTCTCCACGAAACCTTGACTCCAGGCTGACTACCTCCATCGTCCAGTCCCCAGACCAGCTCAGGAACAATCCTTTCACCCCGCTCCACGCGTTCCTCTCTCCTTGGTCAGAGCTCCGCCTCCTTCCAATCCCACTTAACGTCCACGTAGTCCTCGAAGACGGTTTTGCCAGTCCTATCATCGGGCAGCTTGTTCGTGCCGATCCAGAGGCTCAGCTCCAGGCCCTTGCCGAAGACCTCACGGGGCATGCGGAGGCTGCCGCGGCTGATGACGGCGACCCAGCTCAGCTCCTCCTTCAGGAACTTCTCGGCCTCGGCGCGCGTGGTGCGCTTCTCCCGGGGAATGCTGCGCGTCAGCGGGACCTGCGCTCGTGAGCGTACGCCGGCGTCGGCCTGCTTGTTGCAGTTCGAGCAGCCCGTCGCCGGGCTGCTGTACTTGGACTTGGTGGAGTCGCCGTCGCCTTCGCGCTTGCTGGAGCGCTGCAGAGGCGATGAGAAGGTGTACATGCTGCCTGCCAGGCTCTCCTGCTGGGCGTACGGCACGTTGCGTCTGACAGGTCCGATGAAGAAGAATAAGGTGTACTGCAAGCCACCCAGAGCGTAGCTAGGGCATAGCATTAGCGATGCAAGGGAAGGGGGAGATGTATTACGTACCGATCGTACTCAATGTTGATGAAGGGGTCCACGTCTGTCTCTGGCTTTTCGAAGGCATCTTTGTCAGGGCCGTATAGCTTGTTGATGTGCTCACGAAGGTCCTTATCGCAGACATTGCCCTTGCCATCGGTGATCTTGTCGCTGTCGTCGTACGTATAGCCCAAATCGCCGATCTTGCGGACCCCGTCTGAGTCGTAAAACCCGTGTTTCCCTACATATTTGCGGAACGGCCGCAGTGGCGTTGTGGCGCTCTCATTCTTACCGCCATCTGAGCTGTGGAACCACAATGATCCATTTACCTGTTGCCACAGGTACAACAGCCGGTCAACGTTGCAGTGATGGAGCCAGAAGACAGGATCGAAGGCGGCTACCGCGGGCGCCTCCATATGGCCAATGCCCATGGGAGTGTTACCACCAATGCAGTTCTGTATTGGTAAATAATGCATCAGAATATGCGCATACAACATGGGAAGATGATGTCTTACATGAACTGTGTTATGGATAGCCTCCAGGGACAGATAGTTCTTAGGTCCTGAGGGATCGGTGAACTTGGTAGTCGCGAAATACTTGTACTGAGCGATGTAGTCGTTCCCAAGCAGGCGATAGACGGCGTCCTTGAGAGTTTGACCTTGCATTTTGGTTTTTTCAAAGGCTTTGTTCACCTTTTCGGAAACAGTGTGCCCCTGAACCCAGAGATCCTGTTTGCTATATAGGCTGATGGCATGCCGGCTGGTGCCAATGCACACATCCCACTGGTTCCAGCTGTTAGCATCGTCTTGGATTAAATAGCAAGGCAGGGGATACACACTGGACCTTCGCCGTCAGTCTGGATGCGGTAGTCGCCGTACGACTTGTCGCCCATGACAAGGCCACCGGGCATCTGGAAGCGGTACATCGGATTGTTCACCTCCGCCGTCTCACGCTTATCAGTAATTGCATCCCACGACACAATCACCTTGATCTTCTCGTTTGCCACCAGCTCCGGGAGTTGCGGGTTGGCCGCCCAATCCCAGTAGGGCAAACGCCAGCGGTTCGCCACCTCAGTCCACTTTGAGTTCCTGTCCCTGCTGCGATTTCTCACCTCCTCCTTCATCAAGTCGCTGACTCTGCGCTGCACGTATTGTTAGCTCGCTACTAGTTAAGCATTCGCTAGTGCCGAAGACTACTCACCTCGAAAAGTAGCAGGTAACAGCGATGCCAGGTGGGGAACAATGTTGTGTTGTGCTCACAGTAGCTGCCGTTCGCCTCGTCTTTGACGGTTTTGTTACGCCTGACGTCATCATCATCGTGGTATGGGATTGGTCTCTTGCCCATGTTCCACGAAACATTTCTCGGGTAGTCGTGGATCCCAGCAATGCGGAAGTACGAGAGCTGGTCGGTCGGAGGCAAGCGCTGGAATTTGTCCATGGCGGCGATGAACAACGAGAGCTCCATGGCTTCTTCATTCGCAGGGTTCTTTGCCTTTTCAAACCAATCTTTGACATTTCGGCGACGAGGGGGCTGCGGGCCGCTGCAGGGAAGAGGTTTGATTGGCCAGGGACCATCGCCGCTGCCCACGTCGAAGACGAGGTACCCGTTTCTGGCGTAGATTGTCCAGGCCGCGTACTGAGCGCAAATGCGTACGGCAATAACGTTGCCCTCCTTCAATGATGTGTGTAAGCTTCAGGTTCAGCATGATCGCAAGCGCTTACTTACCTCCAGGGAGCTCAGGAACTCGTCATCCATTGTGAAGACCTGACCACCCTGCCATGTGTAGTCACTCGAGCGGAAAGAGTTCATGTGACTTAGCTTAACAAGCTCCTCATTTCCAACCATTCTGGGGGCCGTGGCATCTTCGTTTTCCAGAATGGCGATCTCGAACCAAGTCCAGTTGCCTTGTTCGTCGTCTCCGCACCAGTCTTGGTCGTGAGATTCAGCAAACAGCTTGACACCGTTAATCAGGCGGATAGTGTCTTGCTCGAGCGGCTGCATAAGTAAGCTTTGGCTATTCCAATTGATAGAAAACAGGCATACAGGCGACTTGAACCATATCCTGGTCTGAATCTCGCCATCACAGGCCTTGAGAACCTCCTCCTCAAGGTGTTTGATCACATATTGATCCGCTGTGATTGGAGAGGATTGTGATGGTAAAGACGAGAGATTCTGGACTCTTGCCTGGGTAAGGTGATTGAGACCATCCATTGCGAAAATGTCTGCGTATGTTGAAGAGGATATCAATATCCAGCCGTGTGGGAGCTTGCTTTATATCTCTTTCAGCAGGCATTGGAAGATTGACCGGTAGAGAGTATTAGCGGTGAAAGCTGATGACGCATTGTAGACCCGACCAGTGGTATGAGGGGCGCATAGTGCCGTCGGCGGAGGATTCCGCGTACAGGGAAGATGAAGTTGCACTCACGACGCACAAACTGGGGCATGGCAAGGATAGATCCGAAAATCCCGCACGGTGTTCAACGCCAATGCCACATGGAGCTGGGATGTTTACAGTCGCACAATACCTCTACCAATGACACTGTTAAGCTGAATTGAATCTAGATTGCAGCATAGATATCATGGATGGGACTTCCGAGCAGCTCAGACTTGAGAAGTGCGTAGTGGCCATCATGACAGTCCAGTTCCACATTGGAAAATTTCTCGTGGTTGTTTCGGCTCTCTTTCTGAATTGGCAAGCTAGCAATGTGGTAATAAGTTCTCCGAGAGCCATTCATATTCAAGATTTTTGCCCTGATGAATTGCATTGAAAAAGCTCACCCGATATTAGCAATACTCTATGCTGTAAAATAGTGGATGGCAACTGACCTGGCTTGTAGAGCTACAGTCGAGTTTCAATCATATTAACTGCACTGCCCCTGTGTACAATCTAGCATACTACGTACCATGGCCGTTCCCCGCCACAACTCTGTTGCTGTGTCGTATTCATGTGACGCTTCACATTTCAGAAGTGCGGGGCTAAACATCCTCCGATAAAGAGCATCATTATTGGAGTAATATTCTCCTTCATGCATTCACAAGCCCATTATCTGGGCTAACAACATATCAATATCGTTTTAGTATTACCAGGGCTTACGAGGAAACATCGGCGTGGCCGTTATCACCGCCGTTGACGTAAAGCTTTCCGACGACGGCTTGCCGTACGGTTAATGAAGCGGAAACACCGATGGAATTCTCAACAACACGCCGCCACCATTAACTAGAAATGGTGTAGTGGCTATATAACATGGCGTGGAATAGTGTGACACGTAACTCCTTTGACATGTGCCATAGAGCAAAGTGGGCAGACATGTTACCATATACGGTCTCAAAATCCCAGTAATTGCTTCCAACGTTCTCGTTCAATATACTACAAGTGCGCTGTTTAAAGTACGTTGACATCACGATATCCTTATGCTTGGAAGTTTCTGTGATCTAGCGCTGATTTGGGCAGCTTTTGCAGGATTGGAGATTGCTGACCTAGAAAGGAAAATGGGGATGCTTGTCACTCATAGGGTATTTACGCGCCTTTTTCCCGCAGTAGTTGCATTGTGTAGCCGGCGATCAGGCCCTGAGTCCCACCACCGACATCAAGGAGAGGCGGCGGGTTTCGGCTGTGCGCTTCGTGATACGCGACCAAGAACTCTCAATTTACACATCCCTACCAGATTGATCCCCTCCCATCGACACGAGAAACTCACATAGACACCCATTGCTCCTTTGCCGAAAGCAACAGTCGTTTTGCACAGTGTTTTCCCCTCGCATCCTGCCTCGATCATCTATCGAGTTGCACAGCCTCCGCACCCATATCTGTAGAATTTCTGAGCAGCACCCATCGCCCTCACCCATTCCTCTGCCACTAGAATGCAAGGCGAACCACATGCACAGTAATAACACAGCATTGACGGCCCGACAGGCCTCCCTCCCCGCAGCGCAGGACGTATGCGCCCAGAAATCACTACAAGCCGGCTGCCGGATCTACAAGTCACCCGTTTCGCTCCTGTCGAGGATCTTTCCCTTGTTGCTTTTTTCACGGCAACGTCGTGCTCCCATAGATCTCGTTTCCTGCACCGTCTTCCGGATCCCGGCTCACCTGATCGCTTTATCGAGCCGGACTCGCTGATGCAAGATAGCACTGCTTTGAGTTACACCAGAAAAAAAAAAAACAAGACCGCTGCCCGTCTCTTCCACTCATATTGAATGCCTGATCCGCCGCTCCTCGTATTCGGCGGCTAAACTAATTGAGTAGATGGCAGAATCGAAGAGCCGAGGCTCCGACCACATCAACAAGATTGGAAAGGAATCTCGAGATCCGGAAAATCCCGACGTTGGTGAAGCTGATAAACTCGGCCACGGACTTGATAATACTAGTGCTGCGCTTTGATGACCCACCACCGCTGTTAACCGGCGGCTGATTAAGATACAGCTCGGAATCATCGCATGTCTACGACTCCTAATGCTTATCTGGCTTCTTCGCCATAATGTGTAATGAGTGCTTTGCAACGTATTGTAACAGCTGAGGATCTTTTCCCGCGCCTAAGGCGTGCAATCAAAGTTTACTCCCTCAATGAGTGCTTTTGAAAGGTTGATGTGAATCATAGTCTCGGCCATCTCTCCCTTTTTCTTTTTTTGGTCAAAATAGGAAGAGGTTTTGGGTGCTTGGGTAAGGAGTCCGACAAAACATTATGTGATGTGCCCTTTTAGCTACAGTTGATTACGAGGGTGACGGGGACTTAGTTGCAGTCACGATAGCGTACAAATGGATTGCATACGGTTCTGTTCAAAGCACGGAGAGTACATCACGGACAAAGCAGTGTTTCTCTCTAATTGACTACTGCTTTCTCACTGGATAAAGAAAATGCTAGCTGGAATGGCAACGACTAAAAGAAATTCACTTCCGCGAACGGGGACTTAAGCAGCCCGAAACATCTGAATTAGAAGAAATTTCTCTCTCAGACGGATATTGTAGTAAAAGCTCTTCCCCTGTCAGTTACCTTCATTTTATGACACATGTCCCTGCACAAACCCCGTCTCTCTGTTCGTGTTCTGGAATGATGCTCCATTACTAGAAAAGACAGTGCGTTTCTCGTGTCTATTGTGGTGATGTCAGCCAATAAGAAAGGGCTGGGACAAAAGAGGACAGGAACACTGGTATCGAGGGAAGAATGTGGGGCATTATCGAAATGTAGTAGCGCCAAGCATCAACCTTCTACACCGGGTTAGCAAGCGGTCGACAAGAACCATGGATGGGGAGAACCATAATGGAGTCCTGCGATATGCGGAATAGACTTCACTCCACTGCCACCCGAATCAGACCTGCAAATGCTTTCCTCTGCTCTCTACTCCAGGAGCAACTTTTCCGCATGACCAAACAATGTGCTGCGCCCCATGGTGGTAGCTGGTGAGCAAAAGAATGACTTCAAAGTTAATTTCTTTTAATTTTTGCATTCTGGATTGAGAACGAGGTAGTGGTGAAAGTCAGCTGTAGGGGGAGGGGTATCCAAAAGCCTAGGAGTGGTAGGGCGAACGTCACGAATCCCTGGGATGGCACCGACTGGCTACTTGAAGCGGCTTCGAGTTAAGAACAGCAACCGTTATTCCAGTAACAGGCGATCAGTACGATGAAGATACGTCAAAGTAGCATACGGCTGTCTGCGACGGGTTTAGCGTTTTAGGCGATCACGTAATTCATTTCGCATTATCAATAAGGGACCAAAAGCGGAATGGCTTTGTAGTCCTTGAAGTCGAACAAGCCATCACGCCAACGTCCCAATGCACTGCAATTTTACCAGGCGATCTAGTAGAGGCATGCTGATTGCGGCGTATCTCATTCGAAAGACATTAAGCAGCTCATCAGAGCCATTGGTTCTACCTTCGCCAGGCAGGTGCATTGTCCAAATTGAACCACCGGCATGAAGAACGAAATAATAAACCTTGGCGCAAACGCCGATGCCACTCCCAGAGTCTCCGAATACTAGCCATTCCCACGCAGTACCACCAACATACCATCATCAAAACCACCATCACAAACGCCCGAGCTACCCACTCAGTCTCGCACATACTAGCGCCGATGGCTTGAAGAATTGAGATCATATGCACCTGAGCATCGAACATGTCGAGATTCTTGGAATTGGTGGACTCGACGCGGACTTGGTGACAGCTGATTGGGAGGTCCGTTGGTCCATAACTTTATCTCAAGAGTATCAAAATCACTCTAACACTTGGTTATGGCGATCACAGTCCCATTCACGCGCTCGCGTGCTGCCTGTCCGGCGACAGATTAGCTGAACGGACACCTGCATATCCGCGACCACACTCACCGCCTCCCACCTGGAGAAATTCACCATCAACTGTTCTGCTCATCGAAACTTCAAGATCGACTCACCCATTTCGCCCTTCGCAAGCTGCCCTCATCCATCCCCGCGCTCTTAATCCATTACGATCACCACCATGCCCTCCACCAAGAAACGGCGCACCAGGCCTTCCTCCACCACCACCCTGCGCCGCAAGAAAGCCGCGAAGGTCACAAAACCCACCAAGAAATCCAAAAGACCTCATCCATCGCCAGGACCGACACTACCACCCAGGGCCATCATGCATGCCGCCAACGCCCACAGATTCGCGACGCCGTTCGAGACGGACGAATGCCCCGTTTGCCTCCAGGAACTCGAGACCGAGGTTGCATACACGGTCTGCGGTGGGTTTGATAGGCTGATCGCCCCTCTCTCGCCGGTGGTCCAATGCTAATCATGACGTAGGCCACACATATTGCCAGGACTGCCTGGTCCAATTCATGAAGGAAGAGAAGCCGAGGTGCCCTGTCTGTCGGCGTGAGCTGGAGCCATCCCAGTGTTGTGGTGAGACGGTTGAGAAATAGCCGCCTGGTGGAATGCAGGACGCCAAAGGCTGGGCGCTCCTTCGTCTAAAAGGAGATATAACAACAACATGGAAAAGACGATGGAAATCCTCAAGATGTGCAGGCGGAAGCGAAGCCTCAGAAAAGATATGACGGCGGCTTTTGGTGGCAATTTTGTTTGCATCTGGCTATACGGCTTGTACTTTTTGAGGTGGATTAATGAGACGGTTCTGCTTGACCATTTTGTAGTCCGGGAGCTGCGGGAAAAACAATTCAACAAAGGGAAAGGAATCGTCCCACCACAGTATAAGACGCCGTCTGTGTCTCTGTTACTGCAAGTGCCCGTGAAACAGCCGACCAAATGCCTCACCATTCTCCCCTCGCGGCCGATCCAATGTCTCAGAGCTGGTACCAGGCCCCGCTGTAGGCTGGTCAAAAGTATCAGAGCAGTTGCTTTCTTTTCAGAGTCAGACAAGACAAATGTTGTTTGTCAGCCTATCCGCTGAGGTCCAGAGGGCAGAACTTGAAGAGGTGAGTTGTCCCGCCGGCCTCGCCGTAGCACTGCATCTCTCGTCCCACAGGAATTGGATAGAAGGTTGGATGCTGTGTTGTTGCGATCATAGAGCATACATAAGAGTGAGATCCCGGCCGATGGTGAGGTTTGGTACCGTTGACGGGACGAGAAAGAAAATGGTAGTGGTAGTGTTGCGGCAACTGTGAGATCCTCGCACCTGGAAAGGGGGTTTGTCACACGCGAGCATGCTGGTGATCAATTTCCTGCACCATGTTGGTACTTTGAGGTACGATATACCTTTCCTGGTTTAGCGCGGACTTCCTCTGCTGTGCGCTTTCGAAAGCAACGTTGTCAAGAGCGAGGAAGCTGAAGAGCATTAGCATCCAGTGCAGGCGACGTCATCGTGAGCTTCACAGAGGGGTGTGTGAGCCAAAAGCAAGCGTGGATTTGTTTTTCACTCATGTCAATTGTACTTCAAGCTATGCTACGAACGTGGATGTATTGCACATTCTCAACCACACAGAGCGTCACGGTAGCGGCGACAGCGGGCAAGGTCAATCTAATGGAGATCAGCTTTGCGCCCAGGTTGGGCGAGCGGCGTAGACAGCAACTGGCATCATGAAGGTTGTGGACGCAGCGGGATCCACTGGAGGACTTGCAGCAGAGCAAGTATCCCCGCTCCGCCGGAAGTAGCCTCAAGCTTAGCAGTTCCCTCACGCGACATCTCTGCCAGCAACACAGCATGGCTCGAACCTTCTGCCCGTAAAACAGCGTCCTTACTTATAGTACCAATAGCCTACAGGTGCGCCTTGCTGCCTGATGAGCAAGCATTGTGAAGGGCAATCGCGGTGGCGATAGTGTTCTAGAGGCAGCGTGGTGGGCGAAACGGGGCTACGGTCGCAGCGCGGGCGGTGCCGAGGACAGTCGGTGGGCGAGGCTGAGGCAGGTTCGTATGAGGACTGGATATCGATCGGGCGGGCAGTTGACGTTGTGAAAGTGGCAGCGGGATGCAGTTTGCAGATGTATTCGGGAATACACTGATGGAGCGCGGAGCTGCGGAGTTGTGGGGATGCGAGGGTGGAGATGCGAAAGGTAGCGATAACACAATGGGTGCAACACGCAGGACACTCCCAACTTTCTACGAGCGAACACTGACACGGAAATACAAGTTTTCTTCTTGAACGGAAATAGATTTCCAGCAAGTAAAACGCCGTTTATCCGGGATAAAGGCGCTCCCGACACCCGATTTCTTTTCACTGGCTCTGGGAAGCAAATTAACCGCAGCTGCGCGGCTCATTGATTCGAGTGTGTCTGTGAGTGTTCTCGTGCTGACGCCCGCAGGGATGTGAACATTAGGCAACTGCGCCACTGAAGCGGGAGAACACAAAAGGCTGCCTCGTTCAATGTTCTTGCAGTGATCGCTCTCGTAATATCCCTGTCAAATGCACTGCTGGCGACACATGAGACGTGCGAGGAGGTTCAGCCTTGGCTTCACATGTGGGGGCGGATTATGCACATAAACGGTGGGAGCGCCGAACGTGCAGCGTGCGCCCGTCGAAATCTGATTTTCAGCAAACTTTCAATTTGTGTTGTGAATCTCTCAACGGAACATCTCGTATCATTCAACCATGAACGGGCCGAAGGATCCAGGTAGATCGGCTCGGACAGACGCTTCAAATCAAGACGGCACTAAGCAGGCTGAGGCCACCGATTTCGCCATAGACGCTGCTTACTTAGTCATCCACACGGTCGATTGCGATTCCAAATCCAATGAGGCACATGAAGGCCATGCAATCTCCGCCTCCTTCCTCGACCACCCCCGTCTCTTCGCCGGAGACAGCAAAGCAAGCGCATTGCGTGGCAAGAATCCAATAGAAGATGTGAACAGCTATATACAGCAGCAGGAAAACGTATGCTTGGTGGTTTACAAGGTCTATCACTGCCGTGAATACCACGAGGATATCAAAAAGGACTTTGTGCGCACCAAGCTGCCCAACGCCGATTTGACTGTGTCAACCCGAATCTGGCCCTTTCTGTTCATTCTGCCGCGCGATAGTAAAGAGGCCAAGCCAGAGCACGAGAGCATGGCCGTCCTCTCCGATGCGTTGCGCCACTGTCTTGAGAAGCTTGATCCCACGTTGAAGCCCGAGGACTATTCCGAGCCACCGCCTCCGCCGCCTCCGCCGCCACCTGGATCGCTGATGCCGCCTCCTCCACCCGACCTTCTTGATCAAAAAAGGGAAATGTTGCGCATGGATTTCCCATACCTGAGCCTTTATCACAAGCGTCAAGCCATCAATGAGTACATTGCCGATAACGAGGACGAAAGCCGACACCAACTGCTGGCTCTGCAGAAGTACCTAAACGAAGAGCTTGGTGAGGAGTACACAGAAGCAGACAAGCTTTTTGCCAGTGGTCGCGTGTCGAAAAAACATTTTCAGAAGTTGTTTGGCCCCGATCAGGTTGTCGTGGGTGTTCAGGATAATCAGCCGCAGGCATACATGTGTCGAAAGCTAGAGAAAATCCATCCCACACTCGAGCTGCAATGTTGGACCTGGGTGTTTGATGGCTTTTTCCGCAAGCAGGAGACCATTAATAGAGTGAAATGGCCTCCAGAAGGGGAAGACACAATTAAGGTGAGGGATTTGAATATGTACCCACTTCGCTTTGATCAGACGGGGCTGGAAGAACGTCTGAGAGCAAGAGGGGAAAAGTTCTGGCCACTTCGATACCGCAGATTTGTGAGCTACAATACGAAGCACCCATCATTTGAAATCCGTACCGTATGAATATCCCTGAATCATTTCCATGCGCACTGCTAACTTTTTTACAGACCAAGCCGAGATTCATGGTCGACATGAAGACATACCAACTGTTGCATGCTTCGACTGTCGAGGAGCCAGCCGAGCACAATACCATCAGTGCAGAAGAGATGAGGGAAGAACACCCACCTGGCGACGACTTCCCCTTGCTCCTACCAGCCACGGTTCTGGGCTACGGCTTTCACGACAAAAAATGGCGTACGTACTGACACTATAAAGGTCTTTTTGACGGAGCTGACCATCGCGTAGGATCTTTATTCGTTGATTGCATCGAGGAAGTAGACTGGAACGCCACAGCCTTCGAAAGGCTCGTGCTAGACGGCGACAAAAAAGAGATCATTGAAGCTCTGGTCACGGTCCATACGCAGACCCTCAACTCGACTGATCTAGTCGAGGGCAAAGGAAACGGTCTAGTGATGCTACTTCACGGCAGTCCCGGCACAGGTAAGACGCTTACAGCGGAATCTGTTGCAGAACTTACGGAAAAACCTCTATACCGCGTGACCTGCGGGGACATGGGTATAGATCCGGAGGCGGTGGAAAAATACCTCGAGTCCGTCTTTCACATCGGTACAATATGGGGATGCGTTGTCCTCCTTGATGAGGCAGATGTCTTCTTGGAGGAGCGCTCCGACGCTGATTTGGCGCGAAATGCATTGGTCTCGGTGTTCCTTCGGGCTGTCGAATACTACGATGGCATACTCATCCTCACTTCCAACCGCGTCGGCAAATTTGATGAAGCCTTCAAATCCAGAATTCAGCTCGCCGTTCATTACCCCTCCCTCGGCCAAACAGAACGCTTCAAAATCTGGTCAAAGTTCATCAACGCTCTGGTTCCCGAAGAGGACGCAAACGTAGTCAACGAGTTGAATAAACACATCCATCTGCTATCACAACACGAACTAAATGGAAGGCAGATTCGAAACACCATCAAGACTGCACGACAGCTTGCCTTCCACAAGAAGCAGAGGCTGCGGTTTGACCATTTCGAGAGAGTCATTTCAATTGCGAATGAATTCGAGAAGTATCTCGTCAAAACTCGAGGCGGGTACACGGATGATGAGATAGCCATGGACGGGAACATCCGAGCTCATTAGATGTTGGATCTAGGATCCTTTTCCTTTGGTGTTGTGTTGACTTGATCATTCTTCGTCCACGGGTGTATACATGTAATCGATCCAGGCGTGAACTACGTACTAGTTAGCTTGAGTGGCTTATTGTGATGTCATTACAGACTGCCAATGATCCCTTCCCTTTTTTTGTCAATGCTTTGTATAATTTGCTCAAGTTTTGCGCGATCATCGCACGAGGCGATAGATTTCAGAAGGTCTGGAACCATAGCTGAGGAGCTCATGGGTCCCGTGATCACACTAAAAAGTCGTGACACCTCTAGGGAAACCATTGCGCCGTAGATAGCGTAACTGACGATGCTCAAGTAGGCTGTGATGTCCATGGGTGAGCCTTTGCTGGACTTTTTGGGATGACCATCTCCATACCTCCACTTGAAACCAACTCTTCTTTTCTGGAAATGTTAAAGCGAAACCAATGGTCCATCACGAAGCGGATTCTTCGCTCATCTATTACAGGATATCGAGAGGCTAGATCGTACCACATCTGCCGTTTGGTAAGGCCTTCTGAAAGCTGTTAGTATCACGGTATCAGGTACATGAACTAGGGATATACCCTTATGACCTGAAACAGCCTGTATCGACCGTTAGACAAGAGTGCAAGCTAGTCTATTGGGAATTGAATACCCAGCTGCTGTACTCTGTAATGATCTTATAAATCTGCTTTCTTGCAACAAATGCCGAGCGCAATGCCTCAGCAACTTGGCCGACAGCCAGAGGATACCCCAATCCAGGTGAATTTGTGGACCCGCGGGAGACGTGAGGATCGACTGAAATAGCGCCCTTTTTTGTTGGTGTAGCATCATGAGCCGTCTGGTAAGTTGGCTTGACCTTGTGGGCTTGCGTGTTTGTGATAACCACTAAATGCACCAATGTTGACTCATCAAGAATGGCTAGCATCCTTGAAAGTTTACTGAGCAAGTTTGACTCCGTGGCATCCTCAGAAACGGTGTAGTTGACGTGTGAACAATCTTTCGATGGACCTATGGCCGAACTCAAAGAGCCGTACATATTCTTCCCGGGGATTTTCGATGATCTAGGACCGCGAGGTGTACTTGTGTTTGAATTACTCCATCGCTGTATGGGAGCAAGCCCTGGCTGTGCTGGTGAGGTGGTTTGCTGAAGCATGGTTCCATGTTGGGGTTCTCGCGTCACGCCGCCGAGGCCGGAGCTTGAAAGCGCAAGGGAAACGTCTGGTATTCGTCGTGCGCCCAAAGCAGACAGCTTGGAGCTATCGGACTGTACCCTTTCCATGCCGGTGCTGGCGCATTCTCTGACCAGTGGCTGGGGGTGAAATACGTTTCATTCCTGGACAGGCCGTGGGCTGAAAGCTTCGCAGAAAGTTGTGGCAAAAATTACGGGACGCGCGATAACCGGTGAAATACTGCTGCTGCCTGTCAGTGCCCGTCGCAGGCTGAGAGTTGCTCAGCCGCGCTTGGCAACTGCACATTTCGGGGCCAAGTTTGCCGGTGATCCTTACCCCTCATCAAGCGCTTGGGGATGAGTAATGCCCAATCATATGCGCCGTACGATACCGGGTGTGGTCTATCTCAGCGTATCAACCATCGACGTTTCGTCTTGCCGCTGAGGCGCATCGAATGGCCCCAGAGTGGCTGCATCATGCACATATTCATCTTCAGGCGCCTGCAGATGACGTGGAAATATGCGACTTGTGATTTAATGCTCAGCCTGACTGGATGAGAAATGGATTTACGCTGATAGAGAGGAGACAATCCCCCTCGCGCCTGGTGCGGGCCAGCTGTTGCGTCTCACCGGCTTTCGCATTACCCATGGCTGCCACGATCCCTCTAAGCGACGGCATTACTGCCGCATATCTTCCACTGGCAGTTCAACCGTAAGTTGACTAATAATTGTGACTTATCATTTACTTACAAAATTGCAGAACGAATGACATTGCACGTCAGGCTTACGATGAAGCCGTGTCTACGCTGCAGAAGGATCTAAAAGGGGACGCTAACGGCCTGAAGATCGTTTTCTCAGCTAATTCTCCAGAAAGCATTCTCCAAATTGTGAGCCATTTGGAGGATGAATACAACAAGCATCGATACAAGCGCAAGAAGGTTTTGGATTGTTTGCACAGCTTCTCCGCTCGCGTCGCGCACTACGAGCGCGTCCTCGATACCCTGGCACAGCACCACCCAGAGTATGTATCGCTAGCGTGGGGAACTTTAAAGCTGGTTTTCACCGTGAGCATCTTTCCCCACATCTTATTGGGTGATTATTTTTCTGACTGCTCATTCAGGGAATTATAAACCACCATGAACTTGTGGAGAAACTTGCGCAAGCCCTTACCGACATCGGCAATATACTAGCGCAAGTAAAACTCACCGCGGAGCTGTACCAAACAGAGCACATGAAACATGCCGTGGCAGCCCTGTATGCCTATATTCTCAAGTTCTTCGTCAACGTCATCCCCTGGTACAAGCACCGATCAGCTACTCGCCTACTGCTCTCCATTGTCAGCCCATTCGATGTCGTCTATAGAGACACCCTACAACACGTCAAGAATGCCGCCGATACGATCGCCAGTCTTGCCAGCCACGCCAGCTGGGCAGAGCTCCGGGACATGCACGGCGTGGTCAGGGATGTTCGAGGGGGCGTAGACGACGTCGACCTTCGCTTGCAAAGACTCGAGTATGGTGTCCAACAGATCAGTCGGTATACTATGAACTGCGAGCAGAAGATCGACCACGTGCTGAAGGTTGGCATCGCGACGAAGTCCCTCGTGGAGAAGCCACCGGCGGGACCCCGGGACATATACTGCTTCCAGCAGGAGATCCTCGTGCAGCTCAGCCCACCAGTTGATCCCGAACGAAACCTGCACAAGCAACAAGTCCTGTCCAGAAACCGCCAGAAGAAGCCTGGATACGTCTTTGACGTTGGCAGCGTCATGGCGGCCTTGAATTGGTGGGGAACAAGCCCGGGATCGTCACTGCTGATGCTGCAATCTGGATCCCGCGCGAATGCGGCTACCAAGAGTCTGGCCGTTGAGTTGATCTCTCATATCCGATCACAGCACTGTGAGACCCTCTACACACTTTCACAGCCCAGCTCTTCTGATTACACGCCGTCGATTGAAAACATCCTGAGGTCACTTTTTTGTCAGGCCATTCGCCGCCACAGCAACATCTTGCCCGAACTGTATGATGGACTCAACTTCGACAAACTCAAGTCAGACCACGCGGAGAAGGAATGGCTAGACCTCCTCTGCCGAATCCTGTGTAGAATAGGCACTTCCTTCGTCGTCATTGAAAGCGAGGACCTCTGCCGACTACACAGCGGCGACCGGAAATGGCAGCTGCAGTTTCTCTCAGCATTCAAGCAGCTCACGGAATCCGTCCAAGCCTCAGGGGCCACAGTCAAGATATTGGTGCTGAACTTTGGTGCGCCTGATTCAAAGCTGGTAGATGAGCTCGAAGGTAGCCCGCACGGGTATGCAACGGTGCATCGGGCATCGCCGCTACCCCCACGCCTTAAACGGACGGCTGCTGCGCGATCGGAGAAGCAACGAAAGAGTCTGAAGTCTCTTCGGATAAAGTCTTAGTAACGGCTCATGAAAAGAACAACCCGGGGTCTTGTCCTGGGAGGAGTTCGACCTTGAGGAAGGAAACATCTATGTAGTGCATCCGTGCGGCCACCGAGACTCGGGAGGATTTCACTGCAGTGACGGAACGGGAGTTCATCTTTCTCCTGATGAAATAAAATCAATGTATCTTTTCAAGATAACTAATCACAAGTGTGGAAGCAGTGGAGTGATGCGGTAGTTGGCGAGGTTAATGGATGGGAGATTGTTCTGTTTGCGAGTCCGGGGAATTGTTTTTTTAACACACGAGAATGGATTTTGGCTAGCAAGCAGCATATGCAACTAGCACCACTTCCAAATTTCTATTTTGTCAACGAGTGGATATCTTGGTTTTTTCAACAAAGTAGATTGTGGAGCTGAAATGTTGCGGAGTAATTTGAAAATACTTGGATAAAATCCGAAAAAGCCAGGAGCTTCGATGTGAATTCACCTGGGCTCGGAATATGTACAAAGATATATACTATTCAACTTGAAATACTGCTATACAAGTGCATTTCAATCTGTCATCAAGTCATGTGCAGAAACTAATACCACCCTCCCGCAATTCCCCCTCTTCCCCCAAACCCGAACCCGCTCAACCAGACGCCGCAGAAGCCATGTGCTCCACATCCCTATACCAAAGCTTCAGCGCCGACCCCACCGCCACAATCTCCCACACCTCTCCAAACGCGCCCGCCAACCCGCTCCCCAAAAACGAGAACCGCATCCCCTTCGACATGCTGCACGACGCATTGTGCGCAATCACAGCCACGACCTCGTTCCCATCGCTCGAGAAACCACGCCCACTGCCCACCGGCCCCCCGTTGGCGCCGCCGCCGCCAGACAGCCGCACCAGCTTCCAGCCGAACGAATACCCCGTCGCGACGGCGCTGATCTCCTCGCCATGGCTGCTGCGCCACTCGAACGTCTCCCTCCTCCCGCTCCCAGGCCCACCGACCTCGACCTCGAACCGCGCCGCCCTGCTCATCTTCCCCGTCTTGATGCTGCTCGTCGGCACCACGACGTCGGCGCCGCCGGGCCCGCGGCCGGGGACGGTCACGGTGAACTCCTGGTCCTTGTAGCCGCGCGAGAAGGCGCTAACGAGGACAGGGTGGTCGGGGGTGGGGCCGGCGTGGAGGGCGAGGGTTTGCTTGGAGGAGAAGAGCTTGTCGTGGATCTTGAGCGCGTGCGTCTTTTCGGATTTGCTGGGGCCGAGGTAGATTGTCGTCATGGATTTCCAGCTGTAGTAGCCGTTGATGGTGGGTGGGAAGGCGTGGAGGCTACTGCTGGAGGAGGAGGGGTAGGAAGCCTGGGGAGGATGAGGAGGAGGAGGAGCTGGTGCTGCTACTGGAGGGGCACCGCCGGCGGGGTAGGGAGAGGTGGAGGGAGCGTAGGGAGCGCCGGGGTAATAGTAGGCTTGTTGATTCTGGGCCTGTGGTGGTGGAGCAGCATATCCTGTGGAGGGAGCGAATGGGGCGCCGGGATAGTAGTAGGCCTGATTCGGTGCTGCGTGCTGCGGGGGAACGACAGGTCCGGCGGGCTGAGGGTATGCGGCGGTCGTGTATGGAGGAGGTGGTGGTATGAAGGACTTTTCGGATTGTTGGAAGGACTTCTCGGAGTCTTGGTAGGGAGCTTTTTCGTAGCTCATGGTGTATGTGGCTTTGGATGCAAGCGACAAGTGGTGTGTGTGGATGTCCGTAAGGCTTCGTTAATTGCAATTGTATGGTTAATGTGCAGAATGAAAAGTAGTGTTGCTTTGAGTTCTGAACGAAGGGCGTGTCGATGTTTTATCATCCTCTACCATGAGCACGGGTTCTACCCAAGCCATGCGATTCACAGCACAGCCTCGGCCTGGTAGTACTCAGATAGACCAATGAGGAGAATGCGTGTGCACGGCTCAGATCTATGATGTCATATCTGACAGGTTGGGGGCGGAAACCTATACGCGTATCGGCAAGTTAATTCGGGGCCACCGTCAGTAAAAGTGTATTCTTAGCCCCAAGCTAGCTTGAACAGTTTAGAGGCTGAAAATCCGTGTATCGCCGCCTTATAGTGGTTAAGGCTGTGGTGTCGGCCCGAATCGCTCAATACCTCCATCCCTCCACTCACTTGCCCCCATAACACAGTTCAGTACAGAACAATATCGCATAAACCAATTGAATTCGCACTCGATTGCTGGACAGCAGTCATCCCGTATGAAAATCTACATTTCTGACTGATCACACCACCGAAACGAGCTTAGGCCCCCGATGCTGACTTGTTGTTTCGCCAGGCGAAGTTCAGGTTCCTTTGTGTCGATTTCTGCGCTAGCATCTTCCCGCAAGATGGGGCTGTACATGACAGAGCCACCGCCCCCTGGATGTCACTGGCCCATCAAATGGGACCGGTTCCAAACATGCGCATAGAAGCAAGCGATCGGCCGCTGGTAGAATAAACAGATCTTTCTCGATCTCTCCGTCTAGAAGCAAGCCCATGGCCAAAAATAAACATTGTGTCACGAACCGCACGCGGCGTTCATTGTTTGCACCAGCGTTATCCACGGGCCAGATGGCGTCTATGATATCCAGGCGCAGATCAACAGTCAGTAGTTCGAGTGCCCTTTGATTCTCACAAAACCAGGTGAGGCTAGAGTTGTGCAGCTGAGCAGGCCGGAAAAATTCCTGACTTGACGTATGAATAGTTGACAGCAAGATGTAGAGACACATGTGCAGAGGCTGGCTGGCATGTGTCTATGTTTGGGTGTGTAACGACCCAGAATCTGTGTTGGGGGCGCGAAAGGTAGTGGCGGTTGCCGTCTTGGACGCATCGCCGCGATGTTTCCGTGTTTCAGTAGCTGTTCTGAAGTAAATGGCGACGGTAGAGAAGGTGGGAGAGGGGCGGCGAGGCAAATGACCAGAGCGGTGGTATGGCTGCAGGGCGCGCGATCGGGAAAGTGTGAACTGTGTGTCCCTTGCAGAAAATGCAACACATGTTGCACCCGATCAAAACGTGCAGATAGACCAGATGGATGCCGAGGGGTTGCAGATTCGCACCGCAAATTCCTGTTTGAATAGTCAACTAAGTAGAGAAAACAGTGTACAGAAGCATGGCGGGTAAGGAGCGTGGGAGAGCGTCATCACGCGCAGATAGACAGCAAGATAATATGAACAATTTGGGATTGCACTGCAAGCACAGAGGTCCTGTCCAGCGCCAAATTACGTGATGTCACTAATCGTGAATGTCCTGTTGTGAAAGCAGGTAACCGTGAACCGTACGCCGGCTCAGCCAAACCCATCAGCTGCTGAAGAACTTCCATGAATGACGTAATGAGATTGCTTTTGATACGTTCCTTTTCATTACCTTTCATTGTCAAATAGCTTTTTATCCTCTCGTGTTATGCTTCGCGGGAACTTCGACAGACTCAGAGACGGTGTCGCCCAGCTTGTAAGTCAGGGCCCAGATACAAGCGAAGGCGCCGTTTCGAGAGATCCAGTCTTCGTCGATGTTGATATTCTCCATACCAGCTTCAACCTCGTAGACACATTTGTCTCTCATCAAAGACGAGTATGTGCACTGTTCGGCGCTCGGAGAAGGAGGGGCTGTGGTGGTCTGTGGTGAGAACATTGGTTAGAATTGAGGTCAAAGTGCCTGTTGGTTGGGGTGATGACGAACTCTGGACGGCGGAGAGAGAGACGAGGTAGTGGGTTTCTCTTGTAGCTTCTGGCTCTGTTGCTGGCGATATTGCTGGTTCCGTCGATACTGCTCGTCCTGCTGATACTGTGGGCGCGGCCTGATCAGCGGCGGTGGCTGGGTGTGTGGCTCTTGTCGCTGCTATTTGACTGGTCAGCTGGATGAGGCTTGGCCATGCCACAGCGACGTACCATGTTGTCCGGCGGTTCCGGGAGCGGATGGGTAGAGGCGTGGACGGGAAGAGCGAGCGAGCGAGAAGATAAGTATGGGCGACACGAGAGCGGGGAAGCGCTCAGCGTGTGCTAAAGCGTTGGCGTGACTGCGACAGGCTCATTGTTTGCTTAGGGCTTTTCGGCTGGGGGTTGAGGGAACCAGACGGCGAGCTGCAGGTGGGCGCTAGGCCTCGAGCGGCGGGCGCGTCAGTGGCTTCGACGGTCGCACGCATGGTCGATTGAGATGCTGTAACGGTGATTTGAAGCGAGATCCGGGTTCGCGGTGCGGGCGGCCTGGTTGATGGTAGAGGTCACGGTGGAGAGAAAGGAAGGCGTAAGGTCGTGGCTTGCGGCCGCACTTTTTGCCGGAGGGCGCGCCGGCCGCCTGGCTCATCTGCACCGCCGTTGCGCGTGCTACTGCTGTCTCGCGCGCGCTCGTGGACTTTTTCCATTACTCCGTCGTCGAGCCGCTCATTCTGCTCGGATAGCGCCGACGATCTTCCTGCCCACCCGCGTTACTCGCGCCGCTAGCCGGCGCGGCAACGGATCGTGTGTTTTTTTCCTCCTTGCTTCGTGCGGGGCTCACTTTGCGAAGCGAGCCTTCCGTCTTCAGCAGCTCTTCCTTGAGCTTCGCCCCAGCCGACATCTCATATTTCACCCTTCCACTGACGCATCTAGGCACGGCCCCGATGTCTGTCGGCTACTGGCGACGACTTCCAGCCACCAACTACATTGCCTTCGCTGCCGCTCGCCTGCGTTCGGTTAAGTACAGCACTCTGAGATGTCATGCGGTGTGCTGCAGCCTGCTGCAACATTTCTCGCACTTTGGCCACCGCGACTCGTTTCATGTTATCAGATCCTATTTACGCTGAAAACGCCCTGTCGCGTCTGCTGCTTCCGCCGAACTGGAAAGCTCCACAACCAAGTCCTATGACCATTCGTCACCGCTTCGAAACCCGGACATATCCAGTACATTACTTCAACTTTGATTTTGATTGGTGGGTCATTGCGCCGTATCATTTCATGGTCAGCTGGTCCCCTCACGTTGCTTCTAAGTATCACTGACCACATGAACAGACTACCCGTTGCCAATTTCCTGTCGCTCCCCAGCCTACGTCTCGTGTTGGCCTCCACTGATCTATGACTCGTGAGTCTTTGCAACGAAATTGCGTTGCACAGCAGCCCGAAAATGTGAAGGGAGAACATTTTGATGATCACATCCCCATGTCATCAATCTTGGCCTTCATTGAGCCATGACATTATAAGCAGATTCTCTTTTAGCATTCGTCGCAGCTCGCTTCTTCCCGCTGACAGCTGTCAACCAAAGTATAATAGGCTTTCTATTATGTATTGACGGGGCAGAGTCACCAGATCCAGAATGACAAGCATCATTGCCGCAGATGACAACCCTGCTCGCCTCGAGCCACCTACCCTTCTTTTCCGCCAGAACAATGGTGCAGCGTCTGCACCTACCCGACATTTCTGTCCTGCTGCGCGTGATAATCTCCGCCTTATTACCAGCAAGGGCGCATCTTCCGCCAGTGCTTCAACTATCTCCCGGAGATAGTCGAACCTTGTATTCCATACCGCTTTTCATGCTTCTGTCGTATCAATTTTCCAACTGACAAGTGATATCATCGCCTTGTTCTACCGCCAGGAGAGTCCAAAGATTCCTGTAGCAGCATAGTAAGCCACCTTTCCCCGTTCGCCTGACCGCTTCCTCACGCCCAAGGCTCGGGATTATAGGCCAACCTTTTTGGTTGCCGCTGGCGGCCACTTTCCTACAAATGTTGAGTGTCATACCTCAGTGTTTATGGTACGATGAAAGCTCACTACCGGAAAGGACGATCCAACTGTAGAACTAATTTGACAGGTTAAAATACTGATGGTACACTTCAGAAAGGGTCTTTTCGTCAGAAGGTACATTCATTCGGAAGTTCACTCGAGGAGTGGATAAACCTTTCCTTCGCGTAAAGCCACAAAGGTGGATTGTGCCATCTTGGGCCGAGTGAATCTGCTCCCACCCGATAATCCGTTGACTATGCCCGACCCTTGACGGATTGGATGGATCCCGTAACCGCCGCCAAGAATACACGATATGTTGAGTTCCCAGGGGAGGTGCGACATTCGTGCAACCAAAGGATGTTTTCAAGAAGTTCCAGGCTTCCGCTTTTCCCTGTCAAGTTGCATAACATCTCGCGCAGCTACCTTGCATCTCAACTGTCAGCTGCCCCTGGGTATTGCACGTATCATTGAGCGAGCGCGCCTCATTTACTGCAGACCCTGATCGATGCAGCATGCAGTATGTGCAGCGTGAGGATGGAATCACTCTCACGCAGCCTCATGTTTCGAATGCTGTGTACCCTTGAAGGCATCGTCGACAGTTGCCTCTTCAGCTCCAACTCTCTCGAGTTGTAACGATGACCGGGGTTTGGTGATTACTGATCATGCATGTGCTGCATTGGTGGTGCAATGTATGCTGTACTGGGGTCAGGACAGGTTGGCATGCGTCTGCAGCCCGTCAAATCCGCACAGCTCTCCTCCATGGATCTGATTGCGGCAGAAGTATTTGCCGGCACGACGCGACGCGTCTCGGTGGGATTTGCAGAGATCAAAATAAAAGAGCCAGCGAAGAAAGGGAAGCAAGGGCCGAAGTGTTTCGCATCTTCGTTCCACAACCACCAGAATTACCTTTGGAATTACGAGCTCCACGTCTCCATCATTAAGCTGGCATTGAGGTCTGAAAGGAGAAGCTCTGCGTCTGGACCTCCGGAGCAACGTACGGGCCGGATGAACCACTTGCAGGCGGCCCGGCTGTCCGTACCGGTCAAGACCCTACGTTGTACATTACAACTGTTCCTGATGTCACTGCTAATTCGCAGCGGCTAGATTCAACCACATACGGGCTTGGCAATGCTCGACACGTAGGGGTCGCCTATTGTCGCACAGTCACCCTCTCTTCTCCGCTCTACTCGATCCCCACCGCCAACTCCGCGAGGCAACTTAGCCGCCGTATACCAAGCTTTCCGGGATCCATCATGACGCGTGTCATCCTCGACGGGCCGTTTCTGCAAGCACGTCCATCTCACTCAGCCGCATCAGCCTGTCAACGGCAAAGAACCCAAGATCGCACGCTATTCCAAGCGGGGTTACAGAAAGGACCGGCAATGGAATGTCCCACAGGTCCGGGCGGCGGATAGATGCATGCCCTCCGCGCACAACGACCGGTCGGTGGTTTGTTTGCCTCGTCGTCCGTCCTACCATCGATTCTCTCCCGGAGCCAGCGGCACGTTGCCTTGAGAGAGATTTCGACGTGCTCCGGAGGGCCCAAGACTCGAAGATAAAGCGACTGGTGGCTTCCTCAGCTTATTCCTGTTTCCTCTCAGGCCCGCTTCCATCCTCCTTCCTTCCTTTGCTTCTGAACAACGAGTCCGCCCCGTAGCCGTGCGTCGACAGTCAGTCAGGATGGACGCTCCCATCTACGAAGACGACCTTACCACCATTCATGGCCGGCACGCGGCCCCGTTAGTGCGCCTCCGTGACCGCACTGCCACCGATGTCATCGCCCTGAGCACTGCAGTTACCGAGGAGCGATTACAAGCTGCATTGGCGGATCTCAATGATGTTGCCACAATCATTGATGACATGTTCGTCGATGGTGAGATAGAGGACCCAGATATCCCGTTTGGAGAGCTACGACTGGCATGGATCGGTGGTGAGTTTCCTCAGTTCCTCAAGGTGTATCACTCAAACAATTAGAGTAGTGTGGCTGATAACCACTTCGAGTAGGTCTCAAGCTGAGCGGTTCTGCGGCGGATCTAGGCTTCGGCGGAGACGAGGAAGAGGACGATATCCACAGCTACCCTACGAACGGCATGCATCCTTATGATTACAGTGACGACGATGATACCGACGGTGACACTGATGTGGACGACGCATCCTCCTCTGGATATTCGGACTCCGGAGTAGACTCACTGTCCTTGATGGAGCTTGCGAGCAAGTGGTAAATGATGGTTTCCTTCTCAGATGTCATCCAATTACGTCAATTTTAGCACGGCGGCCGTTGTGTTGGGACCAATTTACCCCACACACCCGGCTTTCAAGCAACATTCAACTTCCGTGTTCCTGCACCCACGGCTCGAACGAGACATGGGCCCTATGCTCCAATCACCTCACTCCACTCCAAATCTGCTCCCTCCTCCTCCACCCCCCGGCGCTAATCACTCGCTAACCATCCACACCCACAGCGCAACAACCACCTTCACCGACCTCCGTCACCTCTACGCCCTCCACTACGCCATCCACATCCACCGCCTCGACCGTCTCCTCCTTCGCCTACCCCCCGGCATCTTTACCCCCGTCGACGCCGCCACCTCCGGCGTCTTTAGCACCGCTCCTTCCGCACTCGACGGCCCGCACCGGCCCGAACCCATCCGGCAGCCGCCTCCGCCACCGCCGGGCGCCGTAATTGCCGACAAGGCGTATGAGTACAGCATAGGCGGTGCGGGGGCGCCGTTGTCCAAGCAGAAAGAAGCAGAGTATGCGCGGGTGCTGGCGGACGAGATTGCACGGGTCGCGGAGTACAAGCAGGCGGTGGTGGGGGTGCTGGTAAGGGAGATTGCGGGGTGTGGGGGTGTGGGGGTGGTTATGTGAGCGTGGGGTTTCTTGTTTCTGGGGGAATTGTTCTCTGATTGTCTCCTTGTTGATGTCTTTGGGAGGCATTCTTTGCTTAGTATTATTGGTTCTGGAGGATCTCTCCCTGTCGTCTTCTGAGCTGCCGGCGGTTCCGGGGCTTAGTTTTGGGTCTGATGGTTCTTTTGTGGTCCATCATGTGGAAGTATCGTATAGGAGGTGTATGTGTAGGGTCATAGTGACGAGGATGACGATCAATCAAAAGTTTTGTTTTTGGGGTTCGCATCTTCCAGCACAGATCCTCCCACTGCTTTGACTACAGGGGTGTGCTGCTCCTATCTCAATTCGTATATGCTGAAGTACGCTTTTCGACTGCTCTGCAGCAGCCCTGCAGTCGCCCCGTATTCCGTATAGAAGAACCGTGAGAAGCGATACCAGGGGCACAATCACATGAATTTCCTCCGCACGGCATCATCTTTCCCCCGGGCAAAAGTCCTCGCCTCGCCTTTTTCTCCGCACCACCGCTTCCACCCCGTCGCCAAGACGACCCCTGCAACTCTCGCCTCGCTTGCATTCCCACCGATCCCGCCGAGCCCGCCAGCGAAATAGCGCCGCTGCTGTCAACTTCAAACGTCTGAATCGGTGCGGCACGGCCCGTCGCCGGGATAAGGATTGGTTCAACGGCGCGGGCTAAACTGGATGCAGAGAGTGAGGCGAGGTGGAGTGCACCAATTGGAGAGGGACGACAAGGCACGCGGGCGGCGGACTGAAAGTGGGGAGCCGATACCGATGCGGGAGCGGAGCGCACGTGTTGGGGGGGAGGGGCGAGAGCGAGGGCAATGCGGTACCTGGTGTACACGACAGCGAGCTGGTACACAGAAGTGTACCTAGGTGGTTTTCCTTTTTCTATGAATCATAGATGCGGCTCTGCAGTATTACAGCGGGAAAGGATCTGACAAGCAAAAGGGAAATCAAAAAAGAAATCATCGCGCAGCAAGGCTGCCATCGTCGCGCAAGGCATCCGCTGCGATACCACTCTGTGCAGTAGTTACCCGATCCTGTTGCAGCGACCCCGCTAGGATAAACGGCGCGGATCTTGGCTTCAAAAGGGGATCGGGGAGTTTCCGATGGCTGGGTAGCGCGAGGGTATGACCAGGGACCGAGCCAGGCCGTCCCCGCCATTGTGTTCCGTCCAGCTTGTTACGCCCTTCCTCATTTGGTAGTTGCCACAATAGGGCAGAAATTTTGAAACCGAGAGCTCGAGACGCGGCACTAATTGTTCCAACCTTTGAACGTCATTTTCAATGAGCAAGGAGAGCAATAAAAAATAGAAGAAAAAAAAATGACGAACTTCAGAGCAGGGATTCTCTATATTTACAGCAAGCTCTTTGCTAACACGACATCTCACTCGCGGCAACGACATTGTAAAAGCTGAGGTCATGATGCGGACTGGTGCGTGCATGCACGCATGAGCGTATGCGGCCGAGCAGCGCGTGTATCATGTGCCTGGCTTATCCGCAGGCAAGACAATCCTGTTTTCGCGCTGCATTGGGGACGAGTTTCTGCTGTGCTATCGCTCTAGGATGCTGGAATCAAGAACAGGGGTACTTACATAGTGCAGTACCATGAAACTCACAAGGGCCAGCCTTCGGATCATATTGGCTGTTCAGCTAGGACGAGGCAATGGCCGCTGGACTTTGGTGCCTTGAATTTTGCTTTTATCACACGCATGCGCCAGGCATTCTGGGTCTTAACTACGTGTCGAAAAGACACGTTTGTTTTTTTCTTCTTTTCCGAGTAGTAGACCAGTGTGCAACTATAGCCATCTCGTATACTTAGTCTGCTGGACTGCATTTTGCAAGCTAGCAAGACAACGGAATATGCAATCCAACTCCCAAGCTCATGGAGTTACAAATATCCACGCGTACAATGCGGATATAGACCCCGTCCCTAATGGCGGCGGTGACAGCGGAGACGTTGAGGATTCCACTCCTTCTCTTTTTTGGCTGGGACTTTCCTGCTGAAACGGGCTGTCTCAGAGATTAGTTGCATGAAAAATGAATGGTTCTCAACTTGAAACCCTGTGCTTTGGTATTTTTTTTACTTGTCGCACGGCCAGATAACGTTTCTCAATTTTGGCAGCAGTTGTGGACATTGAGATGTCGAGCTTCATGGTCAAATTGCGCGAAAGCTATCATGCAATCCACGAGTCTACGGGCGCGGTTTCAGTCTATTGAAAGTTCTTTTACAGTGCAAATGTCATGACCAGGGTTTATTCAGTTCATCATCCCACAATCAAGGCTGCTATCGATACCGGCTCGGTGGTGCCCGCCGTCAAGACATGCAAAAGGCATTACCCCTCTGTGCAAGGATCCACTCAACGCCCAAGTTGTATCTAGGGACTCTATTCACATACCTCAAGACTTAATCTGAGCAGCTTCTAGTAGATGATGATTTTCTAAGATTACATCACAGGAGGGCCTCAACGGGCCGATAACTCGGATCGTAGTAGTATAACCATAATGTGCCGAAAAAGCAAGAAATCTAGAAACTTTAAGTGGCCAGGAACCTTCATATCGGAATCCTTCAGTATCAAAGCATCATTTTATTCCTGGGGCCGGGATCGGAATTAATCCCGCATGGCCTGTCGTGGCGTACCAGCAACATCTGCCGCAAGCAGCTCATTCGTCCGGAGACCGCTCCATTCGTCGTACTAAAAGTTCCCAACGCTGCCTCATTACCCATTAACTGGTCCGCCTCCCGCGGACCCGGTATCAGGATGGCGCAGACATTATTTCCCCGCAAATTGTGGATCTGCTCCAGCCGTCTGGCAAGCGGAGCCTGCTGCAAGGATGATGTAGTAGGGCTGAAGATCCTATGGTGTGTCGAATTGAGCCTCAATCGCGACCTCGAACCGGGGTGGCCGAGTGACACCTGCACGTAATTTGGTAGTGGCTAACTTTGCAGTATGCGCAAGTGGAGCCATACCTCGGATATTGAACCGCGGCTCTTATCTGAGCTGGATGAACGATCCCGAATTAACCTCTATCTTCTTTCCGACTTTCAGCTCCACTCCGTCCACGAACGTAATAATTTCTTTGCCAATGCGCTCCACGCAGATCTTCTGTGGAAATTGTTGCAATATCCAGCGCTAGTGCCGGCTGGGAGAAATCAGATTTTGTTGAACAGTGCAAAGTGATTGAATTGTACACTGCTGAAGAGCAGAATAACAGCAGAAACTACCTGTTTATATACATGATTGTTGTGTGCACGCGCCTTGAAGTATCGTGAGTAAGTCACGCTTGGTGGTGAGATAAACAGGGGTTCTGCCTTGGTGTTGAGAAAAGAACACGAGATATACGGCAGTTAAACTCGGGGTAAAAAGTAAAGCACAGTCTGACAGATTTTGGGTGACTCACGCTCGGTGTGGTACCTGGGTTGATCCGCGCATGCCACTGTGAGACTATCGGGTTATAGGTTGCCATGTTCCAATTCTCAGGTCCAAACATGGTGTTTCTCTTCCTTACACGGCCGAACGTGTACCTGGCGTTATCCTTTAAGGTGACTTTATGGAGAGGGATGTGCTCTACGGACTCGTCTGCGACTCCATCTCGACACTCGTGGCTGATGAGCTTGACAACTTGCACTGCAAATCTACTAGGAACACGGTGAAAGCGAAGAGGGATCTTCCTACCGCATGGAGTTGCCATTCTGGTCGGTATGTCCTCCCTGCGACCTCTGAGCGTAGTGGACATTGAGCACAACGCGTCTATAGGAAAGTACTGTGACACAAGCTATCTTCCCGCCCACAACCGTGCGTGACTGCTGGCAAGATGTGCCCGGCACGCTACCACGGCAACCCCCCGGTCAGGCTTAAACCGCATCTGTTGCTGCGTGCATGCCATCAACACGGATGCGCACGAGACACCCGCCATCGCGATTCAAGCACAAATTGAGCTGCACAAATAATCTAGAAGAGTCCAGGCATTCCATCACATTTTACTTCAACCTCGGCCTCAGTAGTATTTCATCCCAATATCAGGATATCATCACCACGGGCGCACCTGCACAAAATATCCACAGTCAGATCTCCGTCGCTATGTCCGAGACGCTTGCTCTTGATCCTGCTCTGTCTGCCCAACGTTTCGTACTGTGACTTACCAACGCCCGCCTTCAAATCCGGAGGCCTGGGCTCGCAAAGCACCTACTACCCTTTCATCACTCGTCATCACGCTCGTCACCTGCTTGCGCTTCCCAGATTCATTCCCCTAAATGTTCCACTTTCAGGATACTTGCTTGTCGATCCTTGTTTTGGTTCGAGCGTTCGAGACGCACCACTTGGGAGAGAAGGAAGGTCAAAGAGGCAAGAGCTCGCAATGGGGACTGAGGCAACGGTGATTCACTGGGTAACCCGGTGATAGAGGAGTGCAGGGGTTTTAATAGCCGTAGCGGGTTCAAAGAAGTCTACAAGGCGCTTCTTATATGGGGGATCAAGTGTGAAGTCTGAGAAGCCTTGCTGTGCGAACTTGGTGGCTGATTTACGCTCTGATCTCGTACAGCGGTAGGCTTGAAGCAGACGGGTGTTCCTCAATATAGTTCTAAAATGTCTTACTGCTGCCCTTTTGGTCGTACATTGATCTTATCGATCAATATTGCAGCACTATAGCTGATGAGAAAACGCCGAATTACATTCTCAGGAGTGCAAAGTGTCTTGCGAAATATGCCAGTACCTTTTGACTGTTCTCTAAAACCTTTATTAGTACGCATGAAATCTTTCTAAACCTTCTAGAAAAGGTGCAATGTTGAACCCTTTATTCTACATCACATGTATTGCACTCAATATAATTGTAACATTAAGCAAGTCTACGGCAGATAGAAACTTCTTCAGCGGTAGAAAAGGAAAACAGGCATGTAGGTGCTGCAAGGAATACGTATATCAAATATCAAATTGATCCTTCATTAAACATAGTTTCGTACAATTTCCCAACACCTATATCAATCTGTCTGTGTACTTTAGAATA